GAAATATTTTTTTTTATTATTATTTCGAAAATATGCAGGTTTCCTCACGATGTTTTCCTTCACCGATTGACAGTTTATCTATGTACACTTGTTGTTTACATATACCACTTGTTGCTTATAATACCTACATTGACTGCCTTGAACTCTCCGTTATTGTTTTTCTTGTGTTTATTAAAAACACAGCCCTTAATGTAAGATAAGATTATCCCGTTTTGTAACGACGTTTTACAAATATAAATTTCATGTGGAGACCCAAACCCAAATCCGAAACAATTATCCGTTGGTCATATATAAGTTGTTACATTACTTTTAGTACTTTATTTTATTTTTACACTATTAACCCCCACGGGATAGATTGGAAACTATAAATCGATTAGATTAAGTAGTTCAATAGTTCTGTCTAACGATGGTTAGCTGTGTATCAACGTAATAAAACAAATTCGCTGTAATCCGCAAAATTTTAAATCCTAGTATCAATCATTTTGAAGTATGTAATGATTTACATACTTCAAAATGATTGATACTAGGAACATGAATTTAAAACAATAATTTGTTTACGTGTAGTTTTTATGGCATTACATATTTACTTATTACTTTTGATGGCGATTGCGTTCATAAAAATAAATAATTACATAAGGTTCATGAAAGAACTCATAAGTATATGATTTGAAATTTTCAAAATTTAAAAAATCCTATAAAACTTTGCCGAACAACCGTAACCAACGTTCGCTGAATGATCTTATAGTATGTTTGTGATTTCTTTATTAAAAACTACGAATTGGATCACGGAAAACAAACAGAAAACAAATCATATAATGTTTTGACTGCTGAAAATATAAACAGTCGTAATAAAACACTCAAAGTAATCGTGACGCGTATACGAAAGCGGTGGCGGAGTCATTTCAGATTTTGAAATGCATATTTCAGTAATGCTTGCGCGCGTGCTAACGGAGAACACTCCGAGCCGTTTCCTCTCGCGGCGATTAAGAAACATCGATTTACGCGCGCCCTGCTTGCTATCTGTGTTGTGCAAACGTGGTGTTTAGCGATCTTCGCTCTGTTGATCAATAATTCGTTTGTGTTTCATACGAATGTACGAAGCCCACCTGTAAAAGATTTCAACGATAAAGCAATGATATATCTTCTCTCACCTCTTACAGAGTCAATCCTAAAAACTGAAGCTTATAAATACTTTAGGCAAACCCCTGATTTTGTGGTAGGGCCACGCAGCGGCGGGTCCGGGTAAGTACCACGACCTCATAGAAGACCGGCGTCAAGTGGAAGTATAATACTTTCGCGTTTCGTCTGGTGGAGTGAAGTAGCCGAAGCCCAATTTTCAAAAAAGCTTTCAACGCATCTGCAGACCGTCGGGTGTAGCAGATGTCCATGGGCAGCGGTCTTCACTTAACATGAGGTGAACCGCCTGCTCGCTTAACAACTTTTCACATAAAACATGTACTTACCTCGTTTGAAACATATTTCAATTTCAATTAAATTTTTTCGTTAAGTTGACAAGACAATCGTTTTATTTAATTTCCATAAAGTGATCAATATTTTTGATTTGACAGCAATCCCCGCTGACAATCCTCTCATTAATGCCCCATTATCTATGTGCGTGACATTGCTTAACTAGAGTCTAAACCTCTGCTCTGTAGTCTCGGGCTTATAGAAGTACCTGTCTCGGGCTTATGTAAGTAACGTGCGTACCTTAAGTGCGTGTCGTCTGGTGAGTGAGGTAGCCAGGGCCCACATTATTAAGAGGTGGCAATGCATCTGCAACCCTACGAGTGTTGCAAATGTCCATGGGCAGGCGGTTATCACTTAACATCAGGTGAACCGCCAGCACGTTTGTCACTTCCTCACATAAAAAAAAATATGTCCTTATCGTTTCAAATCCGAAACGATCTCCTCGAAAAATCTTTTACGGGCCACCATTAATCGACCCAATTCCACGTAAGCGAAGATTTACAACGACGCAAGCAGATGTGCCGCCAGTTTGCAACCGCCGCTGAATTCTATCCTGAGTCCAGATGGTGTATGGAGAGCAGAGGGGGGAATATAAATAAATAAATATTTCGGGACATATTATTACCATTCCACCAGTCATCTAGTCCCAAACTAAGCAAAGCTTGTACAATAGATACTGGATCTCGTAACTGATAAACATACTTAAAACGTATTATACTTATAACTATATCCATAGGGGCCCTTCCTACTACTTGGGCTGCTATGCAAACATTGTCCAGTTCAACAGTTCAAGCAAAATCTTTTCGCTCTTTACCACAGTATACTTTGCGTTATAACTTATCGTATATATATATATATATAAAATAATAATAGAAAACTTGCCTGATACTAGTAAGTGAGTGTAAGTATATTAGTGAGGAGTCTGTCCTTCGTGGTATCTCAGCGTCTTTATATATTAAAACTAAATCTTTGCGTAGAAGCGTCTGTATACTGTAGTCCCTAAATTTCATTTTATTTATTTATTCTCTATTCCACTAAAAATTGTACAAAGGCGCTCGCCTTTAATGTATATAGCTTGAAGCTATAATGCTTTAAGCTCTTAAAGCTATATTGCATTATACCAGCTAACCTTTTACAGTCTGTCCGTTCAAAATTTCCAAATGTCCTCAATTCTCACTCAGATCGCTTACAATCGTTTAAACTTACCAATTAGGACGCTTATTCGTTTGGATCCTCTTCCCTTCACTTGGACCCATAGAAGAGCCGCGTAAAGTAAAGTAAAATAAGTAAAGTAAAGTAAAGTGAGATAAACGACCAACATATTCTTTCTATAATTGGCAACACCAACTTATGTTGCGTGTACATAAGGTATTAAAGAGGTCTATTGCAATCTCTTCACAATAAAAAAGTTAAGTCTCTCCGTCGTTACAGCTCTGTTTACATTAAAGCTAGATCTATCCGTCATCTTCATATTTAGTAGATCTAATTCTAGAACAATCAAAAATTATTTTTGTTTATCAACTTGGAGAAGATGAAGGAAATACTTCTTGGAAAAAAGGTATAAATATTTCGAACATGTGTGATCTGTGACCTAGAAATTTTTTACAGAGGACTTTGCCCAATACAAGTTACACTGGAATTATACATATGTATAGGCTATTATTTTACTGGCTGTCTGTCCAGCTGCGACAACGCCCACTATGAACGGAACGGGCATTCCCCGAATAGCGCCGAATAAAAATCGAATACTAACAAACTGCCCCACATGTGCTCTTCAATTACGTATCTAAAATAACGAGGGCGCTTTGTTTCTCGACCTACGGAATAAACTTATGATTTGTCAAAATTCTATTTGAAGGATTTAATGCCATTGCCTGATGAATTTACACCCTGTATAATATTTAGTATATTATACAGGGTGGCTTTTCTCAGTGTATCCATTTTTTTTTAAATTACATTTTGGACATAAATAATGTTATATAAATATTTAAAATCAGTCGTAAGTAATTAATTCATTAACAATTAAAAACATTCATTTGAACTTATCTCAAAAAGTGCGTGATTTATACGCAACTCATTTATTTTACGAGCGATCATTCATAACTAACGCGCACGCAAGTTCGTGCACAGTAAAATTTAGGTATTTATGAATGACTACCGCATTGTCAACACGTTCTGTTTTTAAGAAAAGAATGGCAGTTTTTTTTTGGAAAAAAAAACCTTTGTTTTTTTATTTCAATAAACGATTATACTACCGAGTCTGAACCTCCTGTGAAACTTTGTGCACTTCTCAAAAAATCTCCCTGTATATCTATTTAGTACATTACCGAACTACCGAGAAGTTCAAAGTTTCAAACAAATTCCGACCACCTCATTGCACGGTTGTGTAACGACAATCGTCGCTTCAATTGCTGCTATAGTCCATAAATTTGTTTAATATAAGGTTGACTCGCTTAACAGTTAGCCTTTATAACTAAGTACGCAGACTTGACTTGTGTAATGTGCAAAAATAAAGTTCACTTTATTTTTGCACATTACACTTTTCAATTCTCTAGTGATCTCGGGGTCTTGAAGTATTGAATAAGTTGCATTCTATTTTAAAATTGATCGAGTAATATTACATTGAACTACTTAATTTTTCAATAACTAATTAGGATAACATTACCTGGAGTATTCCGTACCGTGGATGTTATAATGTTGTGCAAAACTTTAGGAATTTAAAAACAAATTATAGGACATTAAATCCGTACTATATTTTTATTCACAACCATAACATTGGTTTAAATTAAACCTCAGTATCACGAATACCGGTAAATTTTTCATATTTTTCTCATGTAAAATAACTCATAATTGCGCAGCTACTGCATTTTGGGCTGAGAACATTTTTGATATTTCTAAACCGTACATTTTTATTTAATCTTCCTACTAATTTCTAAAAGAAATCATGTAGATTATCATGTATATCACAAACTATTCATATTTGTTTTTTTCTTTATTCATTATCAATTCCTTTTAACATTACCTGTAAGAACATGTTTTTTATGTAAGAAAAACTGTAATTTGTCATGTACATTTTGACCATTTGGACTGTGAGTGCTGTTTACTTTTTTTTTGATAAAATTCTAATTCAAATCCAAAATATCTTTATTCAAATAGACGCTTGTGCGTTCTTATGAAACGTTAAAATTTTCATAAAAATTGATACATATTGATCGTAAGTAAGTTACCTAAACAAAGCCTATGTCTAGTACTGTGGCTATGGTGTTCTGTCGACAGCATCGGATACCAACTTAAGAAGTTTTCTGGTATAAAACTCACTGTCTGTCTGTCCCTATGAATACTTAGATCTTTAAAACTACGCGACGGATCTTGTTGCGGTTTTTTTTTTTTTTACTAAATCGAGTGTTTCGAGAGGAAGGTTATATGTATAATACGTTTCACCCGTGCGAAGCCGGAGCGGGTCCCGGGTCGCTAGTCCTAAATATAAAAAGAAGGAAAAAATTAGAATGGAAGTTTTTAGGAGGACAATTCAAATGAAAACTTTGTTCCAAAATGTGTCTCATTTAGGTGGTTTTGCTTAGGAAGGGAATTTTATTGGACTGCTTTAGGAGGATTTTTTTTGAACAGACACTGTTGCAATGTGACCGGAATAGGCCAGTGTAGACCAGTGTGTCTATACTACGCTTCGTTGCAGGTGGCGCGGGGCGCGGCGGAGGCGTGGGCGGTCCAGGCTTCGCGCGTCGTCAGCGCACGAGCATGCGCGCTAGGCCCGGGGAGACAGCCGCCCTCCGCTGCCGCGTCCTCAACTTAGCGGACCGAGCGGTAAATGGCGACTGGCTGATTTATTACGACGTCCGTGACCCGTTTTGCCTTAAGCAAGGATAACAATAATTTCGATAACGTCGATGCTACTTGTATTATTTGAAAAGTTGTCAAGCGAACAGGCGGTTCAACTTATGTTAAATAAAAATCGTTGCTGAAGTGTTGCCGATGCGTTGGCAACTTCAAAAATGTGGGCCCCGGCTACCTTATGAATGCGAAACGCGAGAGTTTAATACATCCACTTCGCGCCGGTTTTCTGTGTGGTCCTGGTGCTTCCCCGGACGAGCCTGCCCATTCGTACAACAGCAGAAGCTGTTGGGTGAACAGTTGATTGCCCATCATCCTGGACTCTTCTACGACTCACCGTGGTAGGGCCACGCAGCAGCCTCGGCTGTTGCACGAATGGGCAGACTCGTCCGGGTAAGACCACGACCTCGTAGAAGTTCGGCGTGAAGTGGAAGTATAATACTTTCGCGAATCGTCTGGTGAGTGAGGTAGCCGGACTCCAATATTCAAAAGGTTAACGCATCTACCCTCGCGAGTAGCTGATGTCCATGGGCGGTATTCACTTAACATCAGGTGAACTGTCTGCTCGCTTGGCAACTTTTCACATAAAAACGAAACTGTAATGTATTTATAGACGTTTTAGTAGCGCAGTAGGTTAGTGAGTGATGAGTTAATATAATTTTAAAATACTTTTTTGTTACTATTAATACAATAATTCTCTTTATTTAAAGTTCGCATCAGTTTGCGTATTTCTCGAAGCGGGATAAGCGTTCGCGCCCAAAATAACAAATGTCGCGCGCCGGATATCCGGCCAAACTCCATCGGCAATGCTCCCGGACTGCTATCCAGAGTTGTAATGACTTATATTTTGTTGATGTATATTGATATGCTTTATATTGATTTCAACATCCAAACAATTACTGATTGATGTACTGTTTTGCTTCTAACACAAGCTGTTAGACTATTGTTGTTGAATGTTTTCCAATCCATATTTTCTTAAATGTCTCGGCTTCTGTGGAAATGATAAGATAGAACGTAGATACGATAAAACGTAATATAATAGAGTAAATAAATTCATCATTGTAACAGTCAACATTTGAAGTACTTTCGGAGGGATTTTCTAAAAGCATGTAAATTTTATCCTTCCCGCACCGTAGCTAAACTGCGTCCTTTGATCCTAAAAACAAAATAATAGATTCCTTTCTAGCTTGAAGGTAAAAGCTTACCGTTGATTGAAGAATCATAGCTTCATATTGTAAATCGGAAATAGGTTTATTAGAAAAGATATTATCTTACACATAGTACGGTAGAGAGTAACTTGAATATAATTTAATATTTATCTTACACACTTGGGCGTAAGTGTATAAGATAAATATTAAATTATATTCTGGTTTCTGAAACACTGATTATCGTAGATATTAACTATTCAGCTGTCAAAGGGCTTTTCAAATTTCATTTTACATAGTTAGAGTTGACCAGAATGATTTTCTTAATGATCAGAATGATCAATTCAAAGAGTTTAACCATCTTTTTGGCAACTTAAATGACATTTGAAAAGCCATTTGACAGCTGATTAGTTGACATCTACGATGTTTTGATATATTTCAAATATAAGATTTGTTTAGGGAGTGTCACATTTGAACAAGACTTATGGAAATAGAATAGCTAGTTTGGATGATAGATGATTATATTAAACCACTGAAATTATGTTAACCACAGTCTTCCGCATTAAGATAAATGCGTGTCTTTTAAATGTAGTGTGCTCGTTAGTTTAATGTGTTATTCGTCCGCTTTTTTTTCGCCCCTGAAAGCCTATTTCTCGCAATGAGGATTACATATCTAAGAACATTAGTGATGCGCAGAACGCTGCAAGTTAATATTATGATCTTCGCAATTCCCAATAAAAAGAGTTAAAATATATGTCTTTGATTAAATAAAATAAAAAACAGGTGTTCTTAAGTGAAATTCTGTAGATAAATGGAAAAAAAACTTTCGACGCTTCCTCATTTTTATCAATTGAGCTAACTAAGGGGCCACTTTTGACATTGCATTTTTACCAACTCTTGGCGCCATCTAGTTGTATACTAGGGTCGCACAGAAAGTTTTTAGAACTGGCCAGTTTGAGACATTGCGAATGATTTTAAAGTTTGAATATAGAACACTTTGGTAATCTCATGTTTTATCTTGCATTCATTTGTCATTTGTTTTTGTGAATTGGCGGCAATTTCAATAATCTTGTTACACTTCAAAGTGAATTTAATGCGAGAACAGGCCATGATTTATTACGACTTTCTTTGTGGTCTTACTCAACAATAACGACCACGATTGACTTTGATTAGCATTTAATAATGAAACCACATCTCGTTCTACGGTTTCATGAGTTTCAGCGTGGGTGTTCCAATGTCAGTGATGATCTCCGTTAGGGACTGCGACATCTGAAGATAACATCCGCGCTGTGCGGGGCATGATAGAGGAAGATAAGAAAGTGAACTTAGTATATTTAGGCGTCAGGAAGCTTTGTACCAAATGGATTCCCCATATGACGTATGTCGCGACACCAATCCATTAAATGGATTTTTGTTGCGAAATGTTAGAAAAGTTTAACGGAGGTGAATCTAATGCTGTATATGACATCGTCACAGTTGATGAAATCTGGATACCTTGCTACAAACCCGAAACCATAAGACAATCTGCTCAGTGTCGATTTCCTTTTGATAATCGACCAACTAAAGTAAAAATAATAAGAAAAAAAGATGATAGCCTCGTCCTTGGGTCGAAAAGTTCATTTCGAACCTGTTGTTCTGAAAGCTGGAAAGACAGTTAGTGCAGATTTATATGTTAACTGATGTTTGCCTGTTGTCTCGGAAAAACTTACATAGCAGTATACTCGGTGCATCCTTCACGCTTCAGCGCACTCCGCGAAACGAATATTTAACGAATTGCGGCAGGTGTAAATAATAAAAATATATAAAGAGTCATCCGCCATTTAGTCCCAAACTTGCACCCTGTGTTTATTCCCAAGAATCAAAGATATACTTCGAGGTGTTCGCTTTACGAGCCTTGAAGATGCGTTGACGCAATGTATAGAGAGGAATAGACACTACTTCGAACAACAATAAAAGTATTGGCAACTTTCTACATTGAGCCGCTTTATGACTTTCTAAGAATTTTCAGTGTGACCCACGTACTTACAGCATGAAATACCATAGAAATAACATTTATAGATGAATATTTGTATAGAGCGATGTCGGATTTCCTCCTAAAATTTTTTTTTTTTTGGTTTTATATCGAACCCCTAAAAGACTTCTACAGATCTTCTCAATTATTACTTTCATAACTTATCTAGCCATACGACTTCAAAGTTATTCAATGATCTCTCGACGACCCGATTGGTGTAGTGGGTAGGGCATCTGCCTCTTACGCCAGAGGGTGTGGGTTCGATCCCCACTAATGGAAAAATATTGTGTGATGAACATGGGGTTCTCCGTTTGTGTTACAGTTATCTAGTACAAACGTTGCTTAGTTTGGAAGTTAAGAACGTGTGTAATAAAGTGTCCTAAATATTTATTTATTTATTTATCTTATTCTGAATCAACGCAACATAATCCAGCCATCAATCAAAGCCATCGACTGCTGTCATTTCACGCTCCACCCGCCGTGGACACCCAGGATAAGATTATCGATGTCTCGCTAATCGACAAGAAGCCTTAATGTGTTGCACTTAGGGCATAGAATACACTGCCGATAGCTTATAGGCCCATGTAGTTTTGCCAAGAGTTGGTTTTGACGAAAATATCTACGCTAGGTATTTGCGAGGTGTAATATTTAAAGATGCACTAGAGATATCAATATAAGATGTAAACATGTAACATATATAATTTTCAACAATTAGTTTAGCATTTGTGACATGTTTAACAGCATTTTATTTTAGTATCTCTAATGTGTAGATAGTCAGTTTAATCCTACTAAATAATATTATTTTTGTATTTATTCGAAACTAAGGACCCGTACCAAATAATTCCGTATTTAATAATAAGTTTCTATTCTGTTCTACATTTATTTTATTATCAACGTTTTGCATTTGTTTATGAAACTACTAGGTGCTGTCCGCCACTACGTCAGCGTAGAATAGGTTGAAGGCGTAACTTTCAGACAGAAAGACAGATATACATAAAATTTGTATATTAATTATAGCCTATATCTTATTCTGATATATAAGCTATATTATTGTAAAGTTTCATTAAAATCCATTCAGTAGTATTTGCGTGATAGAGGAACAAACATCCATCCATACATACAAACTTTCGCCTTTATAATATTAGTAAGGATATTTTTACACAGAGCAACTTTTTATTCAATCTAAGTACATTATTTAACTTATATTTGACTTGTACGGCTGTTACTCATATGTAGACTCATATGATATAACATCAATATTTTTGAGCATTGTCAAATAAATACATTATAGTTTAATTTGAGTATACAGCTAAAATAAATTTTTTGGATATAGTTCATTCAGTTTTCATTCCGATGATAAACACAAACGTATGGTGGTGTCTAAGTTGTCAGTTTTCCCTGAAATTCTAGAGTAGTGCATATGAAATCATCCATTCTTTAGAGTTTTCATTTGTAAAAGTCATTTTTCCGCATTAAACCGGTATACAGCAATGGGAGCAGTTATCACATTTATGACTAAAGAACTTCCAAACTTAGCGGTTCAAACTTCAAATTTTAAAGTTGAAGAACTTTAAAATTAAAGGGACTTAATTAAGAAAGTCACGACTATGATTTATCAAGAAACGACCTTTTTCGGCTCTTATTTAAAGCAAGGGCCGATTTTGACGTAGAAAATTGCATAACGTATACTTCGATCTTTCGTTCCCTCCAATCACTGCGTTGGTTCATAAATGCACAAATCTTTATTTAACGTTTCCCGAAAAATTGACACCTTTTAAATAGGTCACTATAATTGTAAAGGTGCGACGCGTATTCCCGTCGACCCGGTCATTAATCTGACCTAGCCCGTATTCCCGTTCGGCAGGTATCCTGGATACGCTCCAGTGACCTGCAGATCCTGACTCACGCCGGCACCGTGTTCACCGCCGACTCCCGGGTCACCGCCATCACGGGGCAGGCGGAGGACGGCGGAGCGGAGCCCAGCGCAGAAGAGGGCGAGGGCTGGGAGGGCGCGGACGTCTACGACCAGACATGGGAGAGTTCCGGGTCGAAGGGCGAGGAGACAGTCCACACGTTGCGGATAGAGCGCCTCCGCCCTTCGGACTCCGGACGCTACGAGTGCCAGATAAACACCGAGCCCAAGATGAGCATGTTCTTCAACTTGACCGTGACAGGTGGGCCAAATAGATATTACGACGCCCGCTGTTGAAGCTACTTTGAGAGCTTTATGCACTGTGCTGGAATCGTGGGCATAATTACTATACTAAACTAGCTGATCCGGCAAACGTCGTTCTGCCATATAAATTATTCGTAGAATAGAAAAAAAATTGTTATAAATCTATTCTCATACCTACTGAATACACATAAAAAATTTCATCAAAATCGGTCAAGCCGTTTCGGGGGAGTATCAACACTAAAACTGTGACACAAGAATTTTATAAGAAACCGAAGAAGAAAAAAAGGGGGGCTTTTTTTCATTTTATAATCAATGTCTTCACTTAATCAGGACCACCCATAGGTTGACTGGCAAATAATGCCGATGGCATCAAATCCGACTATTTGCACATTTTGTGTGCATGAAGAATAAATAAACTGTGGTAGGGCCACGCAACAGCTTCGGTTGTTGCACGAATGGGCAGGTCCGTCCGGGGATATACCACAACTTCAAAGAAGGCCGGCGTGAAGTGAAAGTGTTATTCTTCTGCGTTTCGTCTGGTGAGTAAGGTAGCCGGGGCCCACTTTATTAACAGATTGCAACGGATCTGCAACCGTACGGATGTTGCAATTGCCAATGGGTGGCGGTGATCACATAACATAAAATAAATATATAGATAATGATATATAGCAAATAATAAGATAAATAAATCTGTAGTCAGTTGAGTCAGTTTAACGACCCGATTGGCCTAAGGGTAGTAACCCTGCCTCTTGCAGCAGAATTTGTGGCTTCGCTCCCCATTACTGTAAAAATATTGTGTTATGATCACTGTTTTCCAGTGTCTGGTTGTTTATTGTTTGTTTACAAAAGAAAAGTATATTTATCAGTTATCTAGTATCCATAGTACGGGCGTTCCTTAGTTTGGGACTAGAAAACGTTGTGTGAATATGTGTTCTAAAGACTATATAAGTTCAGTTAAGACTTATCGTTCAGTCATCACTCTTACGAAACGCTGCAGACTCGTCATTGCCGGAGGTGGTGGTGAGAGCCCTGGGGCCGCGTCAAGTGACCGCCCCGGCGGGGGGCGCTGCGGAACTGGCCTGTGAGGCGCACTACGCGACCAAGCGGGGCGCCGCCCTGGGTGCTCTGCCCCCTCTGCGCATCCGCTGGCACCACGGCGGCCGCGCGCTCGACTCCGAGGTCTGTATCGGGATTCGGCAGTTCTGTTTGTCCCTTTCAAGTGTAACTGAGAAAATTACAGAATGTACAGAGAGGTTTAGTTAAATTTCTAACAGACAGAACTGTACAGCGAAACTATGTCAAGAAAATGACAACGCTGTGCAAACGGTACTATATAGCAGTAAAGATAAACTACCCGGTCTAAAACTAAGCCTTCCAAATCCGAATTTGGTTGCCTAATCCGATTCAAATGTTTCACTGAGCATGAGGGTGTTCGTTATTTCGAGGGCTCGAGGTGGCGTTACTTTCTATTAACAATAAGAAGTTGGGTAGTATTCTTCTTATGTAGTAAACTTTATATACGTATCTCTCCTATACTATGTAGTTTGTATCAGTTATCGTTTTCCTTTTTTATACCTTTCTGTGCACCTACCTAATCTCTGTACCACGCTAAGATTCACTGATTATTAAATGTCACTGATATAATACTATTGGGTACACATACATATTAAATGAAACTAGTTTACGGATTTTGATCACCTTTTTGATCACAATTTTGATCTTTATTTCCCGACGTTTCGAAGCCTTTCCAGCGTTCATGGTCAGTCTGTCCCGTGAAAAAAGTAATAAGTGTTCAAATTGAAATATCTTCATTCAATATAGAAGCATTACACTTATATTACTTATTGATTGTCGTAACGCTACCACCCACCGGTTCGGAAAAGAAAAGCCAATGACCTGAGAAGAACCGGCGAAAGAAACTCAGCGGGACTTTTTATTTACCATTATTTGTCATGTTTACCAAAGTATTGAAGTCCACTTGAAAGAGCCTGGACCGATCAATTTGTAGCGCGCATGCAAGTCAACTCGACCGCTACAACGATCCTTTTTACGACGGGGTGCTGTCGAAGATTCACGGCGAAGCTACTATTGTCTATCGAGTTTCACGACGTAGTTACTGTTGCACGTTAACAGCAAATCAACAATCTTCTAATGCACAGTAGCTCCACCCACTCGGTGATGCGACACTATGGCGGCTGGTGCATCTATTGTATTAGTTAATTATCGCAAGACGGCCGAGCGCGAACCTTTTAAGTTAAGCGGCCATCTTACATTTCCAGGGTGTTATCATTTAAATATTCGCGTAACATGAAGATGTAAATGCGCAAATGCTTATTTCACTGAGAACGCGGGTGTGGTATAGAGGGCCCGTGGCGGAGTCTCACTGGAGGCAGAGCGGTGGGCGGGCGGTGCGCGCTCTCGGCTGACCCTGGCCGCCCTGGGCACGGAGCACTCCGGCCGCTGGCGCTGCAGCGTTTTCTCCGCGTCCGACACGCTCACCCTCAGAGTGCAGACCGACAGCGGTCAGTCGCCGGTTCAAGTACATTTTTCTATCGAAGGGCATTCCACTTGCAGCTTTTATCCCGTTCCATCGAATGGCTTTGACTTCTGTAACACGTGCTAACCTAGCGCGGGAGTCAGAGTTCAACAATGTTGTACCTTCTTTTTATTTGGTATCGGGGGGAAATCTTCAAAAGATCCCTGTCGTGATATGACAGGGTTATTTGGGGTTCGTACCCACTAAAACCCCCTCGGTGGCCACCTGCTGTGCGTTTGGAGGGACTCCGGGATCTCCTACGGAACGCACCGGTGTCCCTCAGTACTGCGCGTGAGCACGCCTCGGAGAAGGATAGACCTTCCCCGATTCCCTCGCCATCTTGCATCAGCTCGAGACCACTTCGTGCTGCTGTCAATCCGTGTCGCCTTTAACTCGCCTTTAACGACAGGCAGGGGATACCTTAGCCCTATTCTATGAGCCCGGGTTTACAGGGCTGACAATATTGTACCCTATCTCATTTACTTTTATAAACGCGATAATAGCGAGTGTTTTCTTTTTGTGTTCGTTGCCTAAATAAGTTATTATTGTTATATGATTATTTTTCGTGTTTCTTTTGTTATATGTGAAAAGACGTCAGGCGAGCGAGCGAGCGGACGGGGCTCAGATGATTTTAAGTGAATACCGCCGTTCAAGCACATCTAAAACAATCGACGACTTGCGGATGCGTTGGCAACTAGAGGAAACGCGAAAGTCTTATACTTCCACTTCACGCCGGTCTTCTATTAGGCCGTGGTACTTATCCGGACGCGCCTGTCCATTCGTGCAAAGTAGCCGAACACATTTTGTTTTTTTTTTATCTTTGGAGTTTTTAATACGCTTTCGTATAGCGAATTTCGTGTACAATTTATAGAAGGAACTTAGATTTATCGATGTAATATTGATATCACCATTGATATTAGTTGTATAAGCTGTGTCTCTCCAAGTAAATAATTGAAATATAATTCATGGGTTATAAGGAGTGTGAGGTTATTTCTATATTCATTAGTGGTAGTGGTCTACAACACGACCACGCAACAGTCTCCACTGTTGCATGAATCGGCAGGTTCGTCCGGGAGGTACCCCGACCTCACAGAAGGCCAAATGTGTCAAATGGAAGTGTTATACTTCCGCGTGTCTTCTGGTGCCTACTTTGCTGAAACGGTGGCAACCGCAACGCATTTGCAAACAGATGTCCATCGGCAGCGGTTCTCGCTTAACATCAGGGGAACGGCCAGCCGCCCATCTTCTTACACGAAAAAGAACCATTTCCCAAATAATAAAAGCATTGCTTCAAATGCTAAAAAACAATGTAGATGAAATCTAAAATTAAGATTTTCGTCGGTGTGGCAATCAGCCGTCTAGCTCAGTGGCTAGAGCGCCAGGCCGCGAATGCCGAAGACGTGGGTTCGATTCCCACAGCGGCGACAATCTTCTCGTGCTTCTTCTACAAAGTGTAACAATAAACATTCGTCTCGAACAGAGAGCGACATGGAGGCGATGCAACGCGACCAGGCCGTGGCGCGTGTGAGCAACGGAGCCCACTCGCAGCGAACACGGCTCGCATACTCGCTGCCACTCGCGCGCTCGCTGCTACTCGCTGCGCTGACAGTGTGGCACTTACTCGCCCCGACCTGACCATATGCCGCGCAATCCACCGCCGCCCGGGCGTCGTGCGCCCTTGTAAATAATGTACATACGACCGTAATTTATAAGAACGCTGTAAATAAACAAATCACAAATCTGAGCGTTTCGTTTTATTTATACCCTTATGCACAAACAGTACAGAGGCGAACTTAATCCCAAGAGCATTATACGTTTTGATGCTTTAAACCTTCTTTCACATAATTTATTATACATTATTTATTTCATCCACACCACCTTGATGTCGAGCGTTCCACAAAAGCGCGATTTTCAAGGCATTTCCTGCCTCGACCACTCTATGGAACCAGCTGCCACCGGCGGTCTTTCCGAACCGTTACGACCGAGGAACCTTCAAGAAGAGAGCATACTCTTTCCTAATAGGCCGTCAACGCATTTGTAAGCCCTCGGATGTTACTGGTGTTCATTGCGGTAATCACTCACTATAAGGTACTTATGACCATAAAAAAAAAAACACAAACACTAGAAATATTCATTCTTCTTTTAAAAGATCTTTGAAAATAGAAAGTTAGCAGATAGTCAATTTTTTCATTCGTTTGTTTTAATTTTCCACTAATAGAATGTTTATTCAGTTATTTGTTGATTTTGCAATCGTAAATGTTAATCAAAAAAAATATTTTGTTTGTTTTTTGCTTCTTAAGCCATCTTGTTTGATTACAAGCATCGGAGTATGCAATACTAATAAACATTTGAGACAAACCCTAGTAAAAAAAGACTGCATACATTTCTTTTTATATCGTAAGTCTTTCACGATCAGAAGATATCCTGGTTATCTTTCAGGTGCTACCAAGTCCCTATTATTCTTTCTAGGTTGTACAAATTAGTTTCTTATAACATTTTCCATTCACTATCAGACTTATCGGCCTATAACAACTACAAATTTGGCCACCTTCAAAATCCCACCCTTATGTTTACTTAATACGATATTTTAATATGATCAAAAATAATGACAAAATGAAACTATGTTAAAATTATGTTGTTTTTATTAAAAGTAAAAAAATACAACAATCGCTTAAAATAATAATATGAATAAGATATAACTGCGCATTTTAAAAAAGGACATGAATTACAAGGTTTCATAAACATTACAAATGTCGCTTAGTATAAGGTAACCTAAAAAATAAATGCCTCATTTTGATATATTCGTAATCAGGTACGACAAACAAATCATATTATTTTAGCTGCGCTTTTGACATCGTTTATTTTTAAACTTTCATAACACATTTTTGGTATTCAAAACATACGCATCTAAAGTATATCCAAAAGGTACCTTTAACCATTATAAATGAAAATTAATTCAATTCACCAACTGATCTGTTAGTTTGTAGTTGCACTGAGAAATGAGTTGGTGAACTTTGTTCACAGACTAATTCTAACCGTAATTTGTTTGTGGTTGTACTGTACATGTGTACATGCATTTATATTGAACGATTCTACGTAACTGATAGATATGTTGCACGAGAATTAACAAAGAAATAACAATTTAATGTAAAAATCTATAATAGTTAAGAGTATTTTTAGCATTATAATTCGAACGTAACAAAACGATTCTCTTTAACGCCTATAATTAATATCAGTGATATAATAAAAAAAATACTATCATTCATTATGCGGCTCATAAGGCACCAAAAAATCACATGTTTTTTTAAAGATATCAACATAATTATATACATACAACAATACAAAAGGCTCTCCCTTCTTTGAAACTTATTTTTTTTTTATTTATTTCGGATCGCAAACACAATTACACTTGAACATTTTCTATAGAGACAAGTTTAAAAAAATATTACATAAGTGAATATTCCACTATAACACATCATGTACACATAAATAATGCTCTCAAGATGTGTACAAGTATTCAAATTATGTGAAATAGAAAATTTTAACTTAAAAATAATTTAATAATTTAAGTAAACTTAATTTAAAAAACTTATCATAGTAAAAGTAGTACTTTGAACTTATCATAGTAGTAAACCGATATAAATTGTAAGTTTTTATCGAGGTTAGATTTTGGCAGATAAACAATAAAATGAAACGCAAAACGATCCAGCATTTTCAGATAAATATTCCAAATGGACAGAGATTGCATTCCTCCTTTTCTATTTGCGAATTGAAATAAAGTTTTTAAAATATACATCCATCGTTCACGCCAATTGTTTTGTAAATACAGCTTACAAAACAGTAAAGTCTCAAAAATATAGATTCATAGTTTTATTTGTAAAAATATTCATATAAATTCCTAGAACCTATACAGCGTTTCTTTACAATCGCGACAATAAATGAACACACATATAGGGAATCACTTTTTAAAATTGTATTAAACATTTACATTCTTTAAACATCAATATTTACAGAGTTATTAAATTTTCCAAAACAAAGAATTTTAGAACACCCTTATACATATAAAACTGTAACGTAAAGTTCATTTGTAAAGGTGATGACTCCACAAAAAATTGATGACTCCGTGGCGCAGTTGCCAAGGCATTGGCTTCGGCGTCGGGGGTCGTGGGTTCGATTCCCACACGGGACAAACTATTTGTGCGACCCAGAGATAGTTGTTTCTCATCTGGGTGTTTGTCGGCGTGAAATTTATGTTTGTAAAACGTCCCTACAACACCGGATAATGTTATCCTAAAGTAAGGGCAATGTTTTTAAAAAAAAAAAACAAACAAACAAAAGGTCACAAAGCATATTAATGGTTGAATTAATTTAAAAGAGACAAAACATACTGTTAGAAGGAGAGTCTTGTAATACGACGCTTTGGCGCGAGTTGTATAGGATGTTACAAATTATGTTTCTTTTTATTAAGTAAAAAAGAAACATAATTTGTAGTTAGTAAACATTAGTTCGTTTGAAAAATATATTTTTTTAATTATGGATTTTGTTTAATTATTTTTTTATGATTATTGGCTCGTAGCGTTAGACGTGTGTTAATTTATTGTCGCGGTGGTAACGACGCCCTGTATAATATTATACATTTTGTGGAGAATAGTAAATACGTTGGGAGTTGATTTACTAAAACACAACTTACTGTTGTGATTTTTGTGCGCTATCATGTGCCGATTTTCAGTTATAGAAATACAGTACAATTAATATTTCTGCAGCACTGGGATTCAAACCTATTGCATAAGATTCCTGGACCTCCTTTATGGTGTAGCCATAACGTCTCCGATTTTTGCCTCATGACAAACAAGCTATAATGGCTGTGAGGCTAGACTGGAATCATCTTATTAGATATTTAGGGCAATGTGCCCATAAATAACAATTACTCAAACATTATCCTTAGTATAGAAAAAGACAGTCTTGGGTTGTAAATGTGTCTTACAAACATATATAAATTAAACGAGGTATACCTATAGGAAAAAGTTGTGACCAGCCAGCAATCGAGTCATCGGATAAATCTTTATCTATCGTATAACGGTATAACAATTGAGGGTGAGCGAGGGTTGGTAGTTTTCCCCCCTACAAAAGTTCTAGAGATTTTCAAGTGAGAAGTGCAGAAAACTAAAATTTATTGTTACATTGCTTCTCTGCGTAGCAACGTGAGACTTTGGATTTCACGCCAATCGATTTAAAAAAACAAAATGTGATACCGCTTTTAACATCTTCTATATCAGCGTATTCAGATTTTCTTTATTCGCTCCCCCTTCACTTCATATTCGCCTTTACGAAGCGCACGGAACGTTTTAACGCGTCTAAACTTAGCTTGATGGAAATTAGACCTTAAAACCTATGACGTAAGGCGCGGGAGCGTCTGTAGCGGGGTATGGAGCGGGGAAGGGGGCGGAGGGCGCCGGGAGGGGGGGGTTGGGGCAGCGGGGAGGCCCGCGGGGGAGCGGCAGAGGCGCTGATGTGGCCTTGGGGCGGGAAGTCGGACGGAGGGGGGGTGGGGGGGGGGGCGGGGGCGGGGGCGGGGGCGGGGGCGGGGGGCGGCAGCTCCCGGGGAAGACGATGCCTGAGGGGGTGGACGTACGCACCGCCGCCGGTGGTTATGTCTAACGGGATCAGCCCTATCTGGATTTCGCACTCGTCCTGGAGGTCGTCGCTGCAGCCAGACAGTTTTACAATCACCTGTTGGATGAATTTCATTTTTTTTTTTTATTTGAGAAGGTGGCAGTGAGAAGGCGGATCACCTGGTGTAAGTGATAACCGCCGCCCGTGCAACACTGGCGGGGTTGCAGATGCGTTGCCACCTTTCAACAAAGCGGGCCCCGACCACCTCACTCGTCAGACGACAATGATGACAATTACACTTGACGCCGGTCTCCTGTGAGGTACTTACCCGGAAGGACCAGCCCCTTCGTGCAACAGCGGAAGCCGTTGCGTGGCCCTACCACAGTCAAATGCTTCTGTGAAACATTGCCCCACACTTTATTGGTGAGTTGGTCGAGCCACTGGAAACACTGTGTTTACGTTTCATGAATGGCACGTTTTAAATGGCATCGGGAAACACAACTCATGTTTCCAATTGATGATGAACGCGAAGTTTTATCGGCATATTCATTAATATTGATTATGCTTATTTAATAGAAATATACATTTATTACAATCCGCGTTTTCGTGAGGTCTGCATAAAACATTACCGAGATATATTTTTAAGTCCGCCAATCCGCAGTGGTGGACCGTTTGTTCAAAGGAGGCCTTCCTTTGTATAGCAGTGGGCTTTTGCTGAGACTTTAATCTGTTTTTTTGACTGAAACATATTCCAAGTGTTGCAGGAATGGCATACCCGACCAGTGCCACGGCCTAGCAGAAGACCGGCGTGAAGTGGAATCATTCGTTTGCGTTTCACCGAGAGTTTCGTAAGATCAAGGTCACCTTGAAGAAGTATCCCAGGTCGATGATGCCGCAGCCGGCCAGGTTGGGCGCCAGAATCTCCGGCACCCGGAGCTCGCACTGGTACTCCCGCTTGGTGTTGCCCAGGACAGGGCCCTTCTTCGCCGTCGCGAGGATCCTCTCAGGCAGCACGTATTCGGACACCGGGCTTCGGCTGTGGTAGCGCTCTTTCTGTGGTAAAGTGGGAGGCGAGATGAAATCACCACCGCCAGACGATCGCGAAGACAATGGCTCGGTACTTAGCGAATGATGAATACCAGTTTCCAAGGTATTGCCTTCGGCGCCGGGGGTCGATTCCCACTCGAGATAACTATTTGTGTTACATATATTGTTTCGAATCCAGATTCGAAACTTATGTATGTATGTAAAAATGAAAAAACTTGAAATTTATATATGTAAAACGTCCTTACAACACGGGATAATGTTATCCTAAAGGGCAATATTATTTTTTTAAAAGAAAGAAATTAAAAAAGAATGGAATGTACATTAGCAGAAAAACGCATGCCCAAATAAGCAAAAAGTAACTTGTTTTTAATTCATATCAGAGCGGTACAAATTACGCGCCAATGGACCAACCGTGACATTACATTCTAACTAGGGATGGGCAGCGTGTGTCGATTGTGCACGATTAGTGCTGTACCGACCTCATCGATGAACCGATTATCTTCCTATCAGTATATTTATCGAAGGGGCTACTAATTTTTTTTTGCGTTTTATTCAAACATTCCGTATAATATGATAATAAATGAATATTTATAATAGGTAACTGATAAACATAATTAATACATACTTTTCTTCAATAAATAAATACGTATTATAGATATAAACACACAGACACTACAACTATGGTCATCACACAAAATTCATGTATTAGGGATAGAACCCTGTGGTCAAGACAAGTTCACTATCCACCAGGCAGATCGGATCGTAGACGGCTGCTTCCACTGAAAGTTCCACCACCACAGCCCTAGCGACTCACCATGACCAGTTGGAAGTAGATCCTCGATATCTCCGTCGCGGAGTCGTTCTTCGCGCGGACGGTGATTGGCATCGCCTGTCCAGGGCAGAAGCCCGACACCGGCACCTCGACCCTGATCGTGATCGGCTGCGAGCTGCAGCAGCAGCTATACAACTCCTCGAACTCCATCGCGATGGGCCGCTGAAACCGCAAACGTCTGAGACGACTCCACTGTGGCAGGTGGATTCGCTTCCCTAACCGGACACCTGGCGGCTCAAGTGATGTTAAGTGATTACCGCCGCCCGTGGACCTCGGCAACACCCGTACGGTTGCAATGTGTTGCAACCTTTTAATAAAGTGAGTGTGGTAAACGAAGTAACGTAAGCCCCACTCGCGATGTGTAGAAATGTCATCAAGTCATGCTCCTTCTGTGGAGACGCGGTACTTCCCCGAACGAGGCTGTCTATTCTTTTAACAGCAAAGATTACGACGTGAACCTGCCCAATCAATAGTAACGGCCTATAATGTCCCACTGCTGGACAAAGGCCTGATCTGTGGAATTAGAATATTGTCCACCACGTGACCCCATTGCAGATAGGCGTGTTTCAGATGTTTGAGATATTTTCTTTTAATTATAGTTTCAAAAATATGCAGGTTTCCTAACATTGTTTTCCTTCACAGATGACCATGTGATGAGTGACTCATGTAACAATCAATTTTAATAATTACATTCAGCAATTATATTGTATTTTAGGTAATATTTTACTTTTACATGTGTTTTATTTGTTGTAAAACTTGAAACGTCATGAACTTGAACTTATAACGGTAATGCTATTATTTTAAATGAATGGAGAGAAATCATTTAAAAATTAAAAGAAGAAACGATGACATGAGTTGTATGCATTATGTTCAGCGAATATCTTCTTGTTATTGGCGCAAATTTATCTAAAAAGAAAAGCTTTATGTCTGCACATCAGTAATCGCTTTTAAAAATTTCACCACATTATGTAAAATCCTTAATAAACTTGAAATTATGTATTGCAAAATGTTCAATCATAATGCTAATACTGCTGTCCTTACTAAAAGTTTTAAAATTTACGTAAAATTTATATAAAACTGTAGTATATGTACCAACAAAGCAATAACTTCAAAATGAAAACTTGGTCCTTCTAGCCGGATAAAAAGCAAACATTCTACAATTCTGTCTTCATTACCGAAAGTACGTAAATCTATAAAGTTGCTAAAATATAAATGATGGTTACATAAAATCTGTATAATAAATTGTATATAATCAGCCAAAATAGTCGAATACTATTTTTAAAATTATGACAGTTTGCAAACTCACATTCACTTCTCCAGTTGGATCTTTATTCAAGTCCAGCGGCGCTACTACCTCAAAAGTCTTGACTAGCTCCTCCCTCGTTGGTGGACACTCCAAATATGCAGTAACTTTGTATGAGACTCTGCCTATGCTGCTATTGAACGAGGATGGCGCGGTGTACGGTATCCGATACGAGAATGGGATAGAATGGGTGCCCGCCGGTAGTACAGACATGCCTGCAATAGAAAAGCAAACACGTCATAATATTTAATTTTGGGGGAAATACGTAAAAATACATTAAAACCCATGACGACATACAAGATGTGATGTTCATCAAAAAGTATATTGAACTCAAATAAAATGTAATATAAGGTGATTTTCCTAATATTTTTTTTGTAAATAAATGAACAAACAGTATCAGCACTTCGGGATTCGAACCTGAGTCTTCTGATTTCACGCCCAGGTGATTTTCCATAATTTTATACGGTAACTAAACCCAATGACATTTTATCTATAAACACATCATAACCCAACATTAACTGTATTGTTAACAAAAAACACTTGTGAATGCTATAAATGTGTGATTGTTCATCATGGTGACTATTTGTATTTTTATATTATTTATAGATAATATAATAGACCAAAGAACTAACAAATGTATAATACAGATGAGGAGACTAAAATAAACATGATCAAATAACACAAAATAAAAGTGCCATATAACACTCAATGGCTGTCAAGGCCATATACATTGAATTGAAACATGTATCAATCAACACAATTGGGCAAATGAATAATTTTTTTTAACAGGAGTTGATACAAAATAATCTAGAGGAGAATTATTGTTAAAATTATTTTGGGTGTTAAATAGGTATTAAAAATATACCTAATTTTTAATACCTGTGACCATGGCAAAAAGTTTCAAATATCAAAGGTATAAAAACCAAATTTAGGTGCAACATTGTCTACTTAACAGTTTAATTCCACAATAGACAGAGACAAGTAAAGAATCACCTAGTTTGGTATGAGCCCCCCTTAAAAGGAAAATTTTCTGGGTCTGGGGCTTTCAACTTTGCCAGGTGGAGTTAGGGTCAATCAACTTGGTTCTTTGACATAAGTTGAACCTTATTGAAGACTACAGGGAAAAAACAAGGAATGTCAGTAAATAGTAAAAAATGGGAAAAAAATGTTGTTCAATATGACAGTGTTTTATAGTGTTACATTGCGTTATATTCTTGTGTTCGACATAAAATAAAATCAATTTGGAATAATGCCTAAATGTAGTATTATGATGGGATGTGGTGTAAGCAAAAGTACAAATCGGATAAATATAACAGTTCACTGTTCAAAACATACAAATATTTTCAATATTTTTTTCTCAATAACTACAGGTCTCCCGCATGTTGAAACTTTGCATGTGTGCTTAAAACTTAAATGTAGGTTACATTAAGTTTTAAGCACATTTCTGTATAAATAATATCAACCCACAACTCGACAGAAGTCAATGGAAAACAGAGCCATTACCAGTACTACCCCGGACAGACGTGCCAATTTGTGAAACTGCAAAGACAGTTGCATGGGACTTTGTTTAATTTAGGGACAGTAAGGGAAATATAATTATAACAATAATAAACTTACCATGATTCCCACAAATGCACTGGACACAAGTAAAGTACTCCTCGTAGCCCTTATACTCCACATTTATATATCTCTTCACACCTGAATATATTTCAGTTTGTCGCTCGGTCCATGAAACATTTGCCTCACCATTATAAACAACATTGATTGCTATAAAAGTAAAAAAAAATTGTAATGAATTATATTCAACAATAATATCAATCAATAACCTAGACCACAGTGTATTCTTCAATAGTTTAGTAGACAGGCAAATGTATAATTTCATAGGACTTGTTAAACAAGATTAAATTTATAATTATCTTGATCCCTGCACTATAACAAGTCAATAGTATTAATACAAGGCAAAAAGTTAAAAACTAATGTTTAAAATACCCATTACCTGAAAAGGATAATGCTTCGCTTAGAACAAACTCGATTTTTCCTGATATTATCTGGCCAGAATAATAAATAGCCTCAGGATCATCAAGAGTTATCGCACCATTTTTAAAACCTGTTGTGATTGTATTCATTTTTGCATTAACAATAAATTCTTGAGATACGAGCAAATAAATCTATCTATAGTGGACACGAGTATTTATATTAAAATAAATTCCACAAAAAGAGCAGTAAAATTTATAAAAATGTGCAATTATAAATAATTCTTGAGTGCTATTCATAAATTTTACCTCGATCTTAAAACTTTTAAATAAATGTTATAAATGTACTGACAGCTCGCATCGCATCGCACTAGGGGTTGTCCGTGCGTTGCGTTGTCCGTTGTCGGTTGAGCTGAATATTTAACATCTTAATATAATTCTCTCTATTGACATATTTGTTTTGTACTGTTCAAGTGTTAAACTAATTAGTAATAATCAAATAATTATATCCTTTTAATAACCGCAACTGTTCACAAATTGTCAAACAATTTAACAAAGCGAACCTAAGCATGTTGTTCGTAAAAGCAGTCCAATAGTATCTTTATTCTTTTTTAAAAAAAATATGTCAAACAATGAATAACTTTCGAGTTCGTTATGTTCAACATAAGTCTTTTAATTAATTAACTTTGTTATGTTTGCGTTCAACGAGTCCTCGATATCTCTACACCACCCTAAGGTTGACTGGTAGAAAATGCCTAATCTAGTACAAAGGCGGACTTAATGCCAATTAAGTCCGCCTTTGTACTAGATTGTGCATAAAGTGTAAATAAATTAAAAAACGAATGGATTTTATTAAACGAAATATATTTCCTTAACGTCGTGGACGAATTCAACTAGATGATTTCATGGAGGGTTAAAGTAATACGTTGACAAGAGATCAAACGTTGATTTAACTAATTCGTTGATTCATTGCCCATCACTACTGTCACTTGTCACCTTGTCAGTGCTGTCAGTGTCATAATAAGAAAAAAAAATAACTCAGTGTGACCAGATTTAGTAGATTTGGTAGATTTTGAGGTACTGGCAACAGAATTTAGTACGTAAAAATTATTTGGAGTATTTTAGTAGAATTCACGCTTTTGAGTTATTCTGGTACTTTATTGAGAATTTTATTTATAAAGTTTAAAATGAAACGTTTACATGAAACGATACACAAGGATATCGCGATGAATGGGAGAGCAAGATGAGGGATCTGGCTCTCCCATTTGAAAGTTGGTAATGTAAATCTTAGTTAAACACTATGAGTGCTCATTGTAAATGTTGATTAGTAATCTCAGATTATACATACTCTTTTGATGTCAACTCTGACCTGTTTGGTTTATGTATTAATGTTTGAATTACTTAAATAAAATTTGGAATGTTAGTTTTATTTGTTCAGACTGAATTGTGTCATGTTTGATAGATTCCGTAAAAATTGCTCAAAGAAGTAACATGTCCATCTATCTAACAAAACTCTTGTATTTTATATAAATTTCATAATCATGACGTTTGGTCTAAAATAAGTTCAAAATGTTTAAGTTGAAATAAACAGTTTTCCTATCAGTCCTTAAGTGTCTTTTTGGTTTGAGAGCGATCCCATGAGCCACATCCACCATTCAAAAGTAAATAGTGCTACTAAGTAGACTGACGTCGTTGAAGGAACACATGGCTACATCAAAGCATATAAAAAATATGAAAGGATATTCCGGTATTTCTCAGGTATGCAAGTTACTAACGTTAATATGTGGAATGTAATTCTTAGTTAATTATTCTTGTTAAGACCTTTTTTTAATACTTTCAACTTACGCAGTAGTGTGAACGCATAAAAAATCACTATCAAATGCTAGTCTGAAACTTTTATGGTGGATAAATTTTGGAGTGAAGTCAGCCAAATCTGTGATGCTAATAGCAAACCAAAGTATTGTAATTTGGCCCGATTTGTGAAACAAATGATGATACTACCTTTGTCAAATGCCAAAGTAGAACGAATATTTTCTGATATTAATAGCATTAAAAATCAAGATCGAAATCGATTTAATAATAAGAATGTTGCTGCAATAATGGATGGAAATGAAAAGTTACGAGGCGTTAGTTGGAAGGAGGATGTGGGAGATTTGATCCTGACAGTAGTATGATCAAGTTAATGGACTCAAAACAGCTTTATGACAATGTTACCCAACATAAAGACGAAGAATTTTAACTTTAAGTTTAATTTTATTTTTATTTACAATTTAACTTTAAAAAAATGTCATTGGTTTCTCTACTCATGGTGATTTCTTTATTATTTTTATTACTTTATCGTTTAAACTTTCATGTATATAGGTTTTAACATGACAACAAAAAATATAATAGATTTTTAGTATTTTCTCGTTCTCTTTTTGTAAAATTCAGTAGTTTTTAACCTCGACAAGCAGTAGATTCGTTATATGAAATCTGGTCACACTGTCAAGCATGTTTGTGGACCATTGATTGTGTAGGAAGAAAAGAGTAACGAAAATCCCAAGTTTTTAAGAAGTAGGTAGTATCTATTTTTAAAATGGGTAAACTAGACGTAGCTGTAATGCGTTATTTAACTGCAGAAGATTTTCGTGTGTTGACTGCAGTAAGTATGAGTTCTTCGTTTTGAAATATTAAAACATATAACCTTATTGCCTTCTTAAACTTAAAATTTTGCATAACCGATTTCCAGGTTGAAATGGGCATGAAAAATCATGAACTAGTACCCGGATCACTGGTAGCATCTATAGCTAACTTACGCCACGGTGGAGTACATAAATTAATGAAGGAGTTGTGTAAACATAGATTGTTGTCCTATGAGCGGGGAAAACATTGTAAGTTATATTAATATAGGTCATTTTCTATAAAAGAGCATAAAGAACCATATCTAATAATTATGTGACAATAATATACAGCACGGTTGCTTCTCTGACAGTGCAATTTTATTTCCCTTTCAGATGATGGTTACCGTCTCACAAATTCTGGTTACGATTACTTGGCTCTCAAAGCACTTACCAATCGGAAGGTGATTGCTTCATTTGGCAACCAGATTGGAGTTGGTAAAGAGTCAAATATTTACACTGTTGCTGATGAGGACAGAAATACATTATGTTTAAAGTTGCACAGGTATTTCTTTGCTATATAATTATAATAATTTATGTAACCTTTTCCAAATTGGATCATTTCAGATTAAAGTATCATAAAGGGTATATAAGATCATAGTTAACTTGTCATCATATGGCAACAATAACAATCTTTACTTGTTTTATTATAAATTATTTAAATAAAACTACTGAACAAAATTCTAAATAAATAGTAAATAAACAATAAGCTGCTTATTTCCTTGCCAACACTGGCATTAATATTTTTACTCACTTCAAGATTGGGCCGTACCTGCTTTCGCAACATCAAGGACAAACGCGATTATCACGCGCACAGAAACCGTGCCTCGTGGCTGTATTTGTCCAGGATATCAGCGACCAAAGAATTTGCCTACATGAAAGCGCTGTATGACAGGGGATTTCCAGTGCCTCGGCCAATTGACTTTAACAGGCATTGTGTGGTGATGGAACTAGTACATGGAGGGCCATTGTAAGTGTTTTCATTTCCTTACATCTGCTGAGTACACAAATTAGTTAACTGTAGTTTACCGGATGCCATAACAGTTTTTTATTCAAATTCCGAAATTAAAAAAGATGACCTTTTTGTCTTCAATAGTCCCTTACAATTGTAACATAAAATTCCATAGCTATCTTTGAAACTTCCTACACTTTGAAATATGTTTCAAAATTTAAGTAAAGCAAAAAGTAAATGTTAAAATTGTACTTGTAATGTAATTGTAAAAGCAAAAAAAAATGTACTGCTTTTGCATAGATTTGATTTACCTTACCAAGTATTATTATTTATTAATAGTACAAATTACAAGTAAAAGTTAATATAACACTAAACATAAATAACTTATTAACAAAAAAAAACCGACTTCAAACAGGAAACTAAATGGTAAAAAATAAATTTACTCAGCACAAAGTAATTCATATTTTTATTTTGTTACTCAGAAATTATTAAATAAGCATTTTATAATTTTGAAGTTGGTGCCAAGTAAAACAATAACTAGGTATTATTATCAATCTAACCTAAAGAAAAATGAAAAAGGATAGGGAGTGAAGAAAAGCAACAATCATTCTTCGTTATTATCTTTGCTAAAAGATTTTATGATTTATTTTAATTTAATATGTTCATGCTATAAATATTTGCTGTACTTTCAAATTAAAGAATATGTAGGTAATAGTGTATTAACTGGTTATAACAATAATGTTATTATAGATAGATAGCTATCAATATTTAAATGTCATTGGCTTAAATTTTGAGTATTTCATTATATTTTTTCTTTATTTTATTAGAATATCTTGAGTACATTAATTTGTTATGTAAATAGTTACTATATGTGTAAGTTAATATGCTCTCTCTCAAAATTTGTTTTCATTAACTATCAGTTTGTAAGGCAGGACATAATATCCGGGACTTAGTAGTTACCTATTTCTACATTTTTTTTCTAATACTGTTATCAGTCTGTTATTGCTTTGACATATCTAATAATATTCTGTCTACTTAGTAATTTGTTAGGTATTGCATTATTTACTTGGCACCGACTTAAAATTATAAAATGCTTATTTAATAATTTCTGAGTAACCAAATACAAATACGAATTACATTGTGCTAAGTAATTTTTTTTACCGTTTCGTTTCCTGTTTGAAGTCGTTTTTTTTTTTTTTTTGTTAAAAATTATTATATTTTATAATTTTTAGTGATGGGTAGATCTAACAAGGATGCCTTTCGGATGAGGAAACAACAGCCATTTGAGAGAGAAAATAATAGACGGAGAGGCTTATAAGAAAATAAAATCTAAATAAATGAAACAAGAAAAATTGAATGAAACAAATTGATGCATCATCATGCCTAGTAGGTAGTGGTATTACTATGTACAATTTCATTCTTAACTAGGTATTATTTCTGTTCGAACAGAACATTTTGGCATATTAAACCTAACATGAATTAAGCAAGCCTAACAAAACTGTTAACTGCTGTAAATCTTTGAGCAATCCCCTCAACTGTTTGTAATGGTACTTATAACCCATATGGGAGCAAAGTTGTCATCAATAGAAAAGAATTCAGTCCAAACACCAGGTGATTGCTGTAAATCGATGAGGTGTTCCATCGACTGTCTTTCGGCTCCAACATCAGATGGACTCCAGACCTCCATCAAATAGTAATGCTTTTAAATACTCAATGAAAAAAGTTAACAAAGGCACTAGTTGCCAGTACGGTTTTCGCAGGTTCCCCTAAATTTCTCTGGGATGCCATCATCAGATCCGCGTTTCCCCATCCTTGGGATATCTCCTCTCCAACAAAAAAAAATCATCAAAGTCGGTTCATAGACGACAAAGTTATCCGCGAACACATAACACATTTTTGGCATAACTGTAGACTATAAATGCTAATCCCCATATTAATAAGCTGGCGAGTAGATTAAGCTCAGCGGTCTTCGCGGTTAAGAAAATAAGACGTTACGGCTCTTTCGATGTATTTTAGTTATTTTCATATTATAATGTCTTATGGCATTCTACTTTGGAGAAACGCAGCTGACATAACCACTATCTTCATCTTGCAAAAGAAAGCTATTCGAGCAGTTTATAACCTGGGCCCCAAAGCATCGCTAAGAAACTTCTTTAAAGAAGTGACTGTTGCTTCTCAGTACAAACATGCAAATGTTACGTATGTGCCCATAAAAATAAAAATAAGAATAAATTTTCAAGGTTTAGTAAAATACATGATAATTTTAATACTAGGAACGAACATAAATTAATTCTGCCCTTTTCGAACAAATTTTTCGTACCTTTTTGAAGCCGGTTAAAAATACGCATCGTATTGACAACCAATAAAATGATTAAAACTTCTAGTTTTTAGCACTCACTCTGTTGTCTTCAGAGAAAATAGTTATCGACGTCGACAAGTTTCTATACATTATTCGAGAACAAGAAATCACCTTACTACTAACCGTTAAATAGCCTAAGTAACTTTCTTCATCAGCTCAGCGTCATGAGATGATGATGACTACACGCAAATGTCTTAATAGCTCGAGAAAATACATGTAAAACATTATTAATACCTACAACATTTGAGGATTTCCCTCGATTTATATGGGATTCGATCATCAGATACGGGTTTCCTTATCATGGTACCACCCTTGGGATATCTCCTTTCCAACAAAAAAAAGAATCATTAAAATCGGTTCAGAAACCACGAAGATATCCGCGAACATACATTAAAAAAATATATATATATATAAATATACGGTCGAATTGAGAAACTTCCTCCTTTTTGAAGTCGGTAAAATATCAATCAAAACAATAACATGAGCAATTTATAATAATAGAGGACACAATTACAAAAACACATAAAGTCATTGTAAATCTGATGACTCCGTGGCGCCGTTGCCAAGGTATTGGCTTCGACGTCGGGGGTCGTGGGTTCGATTCCCACACGGGACAACTATTTGTGCGACCCACAGATAGTTGTCTCGCATCTGGGTGTTTGTCCCCGTGCAATTTATGTTTGTAAACGTCCTTACAACTCAGGATAATGTTATCCTAAAGTGAGGGCAAAGTTTTTTAAAAATCAAAAAAAAAAATTCTCAGATTTATTTACGATGTTAAATATTTACTGATTACTGATGAATAACATATGTGTGTAACAAACCTAAGTCGCGCGACATGGTACCAAGAACGCTTGCTGAACATGTATTTAGAAAAAACAATGTTAATAATGGATTAGGGATATAGTTACAAAAGTTTTCTAAACTATGGAGGAAGCATATCAAAAATGGGAAGTATTTATATTTAGTTTCCAATTTTGATTATCCAAATTTCTATGTTCCAGGACACATGTAACATCCGTGCCGGATCCCGAGGCACTGTACGACGAGTTGATGAACCTGATTGTTCGACTTGGCAACTGCGGAGTCATCCACGGGGACTTCAATGAGTTCAACATCATGATCAACGAAGATGGGCACCCGATCATCATCGACTTCCCGCAAATGGTCTCCACAAACCATCCCAATGCTGAGTTGTAAGCAATTTTTGGACGTTTTTAACATACAGTGTATATAGAACGAAAGAAAGAAATGTTCACTTGGTACGAAACACTTGAAATAACGACGAAAAATTAGCAATCAATGCACCAAAATGGTCACCCACTCAGCGTTACATCGCGAAAAAATTTCGCGTATACATGTACTAAACGAATGTGATGTGGACAAAATGTGCTCGAAATTCCAGTAGCTAGAATATCAAATGAACATTATATAATATACAGCGTGTTTTTACAATGGCGACAATAAATGAACACACATATAGAGGATAACTTTTTAAAATTGTATTAAAGATTTACATTCTTTAAACATCAATATTTACCGAGTTATCAAATTTTCCAAAACAAAGAATTTTAGAACACCTTACGTATAAAACTATAACGTAAAGTTCATTTCTAAAGGTCACAAAGCATATGAATGGGTTGAATGAATGAATTTAAAAGAGACAAAACATACTGTTAGAAGGATAGGCTTGTAATGCGACGCTGTGGCGCGATTTGTATAGGATGTTACAAAGTTTTGTTTCTTTTTTACTTAATTAGTTTGAAAAATATTTTTATTTTAATTATGGATTTTGTTTAACGTTAATATTTTTTTATGATTATTGGCAATTGATTGAATGAAAATTGATTGAAATGAATTTGAAATTGACGTGTGTTCATTTATTGTCGCGATGGTAACGACACGCTGTATAAAGACGATGTACTATTGTACGCCTCTGAGGTACGCACCTGTTCAGGTACTTCGACCGCGACGTGAAGTGCTTGCGGGATTTCTTCAAGAGGCGCTTCGCCTACGAGAGCCAGCTGCACCCGAAGTTCTGCGACCTCGAGCGGGACGAACGGATGGACGAGGAGATCGCGTGCTCCGGCTACAGGAGGAGTAACATGCTGGAAGACGAGCTGTTGCAGGTGCGATTCAATACCAGTCTATCGCTTCCACAGCTGACCTTAGCCCCCCCCCCAAAGTGCTCCGTTGCAAGTGCGAATACAACATCGGCCTATCGCTTCCACTGCTGAACGAACATCCTTTTTTGATCCTACCCACAAGTAGACTCCGTAAAATAATAATAATAATTATTTAAATGATAACACACTCTGGTAATGAACTGATCGCTCCAGGCTCTTTCAATCGGAGTTCTTATATTGTATTTTAACGAATTTATGTCAAACTGCTTATTTAAAAAAAAAAAAGCCCGCTGAGTTTCTTTTTCGCCGGTTCTTCTCAGTACAGTGGCTTTCTTTTCCGAACCGGTGGTAGTGTTTTGACTATCAATAAGTGAGTGTAATGCCCCTATGTTGAATAAATACATTTGATTTTGATTTTGATTTTTTCGAACCCCTCCAGGAAATGGGGATCGAGCTCGCGGTTAGTGTCCATGAAGCCAGCCAGTCGGACGGTGATGAGGAATCCGTCGAGGTCATGGAGAAACCTGCTTACAGCGAAGAAGATCTGGCCACGCTAAGGAAAAAGGTGGGTTTTTTAATTCTCCATACGTCACCCCTACTGTTTAGTTTAATACCGATTGGCCTAGTGGGTAGTGTACCTGCCTCTTGTGCCAGACGCTGTGGGTTCGATCCCCACTGTTGGAAAAATATTGTGTGATGAACGTAGTGTTTTTTACAGTGTCTGGGTATTTGCATATGTATACTATGTATTTATTTATAAAACAAAAGTATGTTTAATTATTTTTATTTTTTATCACTTATCTAGTACCTATAGTGCAAGCATTGCTTAATTTGGGACCAAAGAATGTTGTATAAAGATGTGTCCTAAAAATACATAATTACTTAGACGTTATTAGTTGATCCGCGAATTTTTTTTTTCAAATAATAATTATTTTAGTAATAATTATTTTTTTTTCTTTCTATATGTAAAATTAATTTATGTATGTAAAACGTCCTTACAACACAGGATAACGTTATCCTAAAGTAAGGTCAATGTTTTTTAAAAAAAGAAAAGAAGAAAAAAAATAATTATTACGGAAACCGTTTTTGATGTCGTCTACCTTTCAAAGTGGCGCATTGTTTTTTTAATGGTTGTCTAAAGATATAGTATGTACTTATTCAAAGCAATCGATTGTCTCACAGGTCGAAGAATCGATAATGAGCGACGAGAAGAAACTAGAAAGCGAAGAGTTGACGAATAAAACTGTAGATCTATCGATGGAGAAGGAACAGGAGATCGAAGAAGAAAAGTTGCCGACTTTGGTACCGGTTGAGGGGATCAAAGAACAGAAGCTGTCGGAATTTGACAGAAACTCGCAGAAGTACCGGCTGGCGATGATAGAGAAGGCGTTGTCCGACGTTAGATCGATGAGGACGTACACGTCGGCCAGCACGATAGCCCCCGAAGTGGTGAAGCAGCAGGTGAAGAAGAATCTAGAGGACAGGCAGAAGAGGGTGGAGAGGAAGAAGGCGATCGCGAAGGGAGAAGCGAGCGCTGTGACCAGACAGCGAAGAGACAACAGAGAAACTATAAGGGAGAGCCACGGTTTATGGGGCTGGGCGGAATGATTTTGTTTATAACAATCGTTATATTTTCTAATAAATTTAGATTTTGTATTAAATCGCGTTCTTTTATTATTTTTCAAACTCGTTTAATTCATACGACCACAACGACGCCGTGTTCTTGGCAATCCATAAAACACTAACATTTTCCTATCTCCTTCAACTTCCGTTCCCAACGCTTTTATTAAAACGAATCCAAATAATTTGGAAACAATTGATTTAGGTATGTAAACATTACATTAATTTATTTTATCTACGAGTAAAACGTGTTTATTACCTACCAGTGATGTCGAGTTACCTGATAACTGTAATCGCGTTAGCCCGGGTCAATAATGATAAATATTTATTTCACACTATTATGTCATCTCCACTGTAGCCCAGCGCTATGTACAGGGTGGGCCTTAGTGGGCCGTCCAGTAATCACGCGAGGATTTTGTTTTAGATTTTTTTAACCCCCTCCTCCCCTTTGGTGAGGTTTAAAACTACCCCACACTCCCCACCCAAATTCACGTGTGTTTTTAGTACCTACAAAGATTCTTGAAATTTTTATAATATTATCTTTAAATATTTAGAGTATAATCTAATTTTATTCTGAAATTAAGGACCATGACAAAAATGCATAACGCCGATGCAGCGATTGCTGAATGACTGTTGTAACGAATTTTTTTATGTGACAAGTTGGCTAGCGAGCTAGCGGTTCACCTGATGTATTTGTACATCAGGTGAACCACAAACACAAATTACTTTATTCCCAAAATATTGCTAGATTATACGCCATAAGAGCTGACCCCCACAGAGCTAAAATCTGAACTGGAATCGTGAAATTAGACGAGAAATAGCGTCACGCTAAAGCAATTGAAAAACCGATAATGGTTAATTAATCATTATGGTAATGAAAGAATTGTTAATTTCATGTTCTAATAATTTAATGGCGTTAACGCTGTTCGGCTTTATGCATTTCGTTGTTCCAATTTTCGGGTTTATCAAGTGAAAACCATCGTTCAATTTTAATCGCCACGATAGGAGCCTGTCACATTTTTTTAGTTTATAAGGTGACGTTTACTTTTAATTATTCCTGCATTAATATTAATGAGGTGCAAACGCTTAATAAAGAAATTAAAGAGAATGTTCTTACTTTTCGTAATTTGAAAATACATTACCGCTATCGTAGGATAAGGATCCCGTACTGTGAATTTAGAAATACAAAAATTACACAAGACCGAACAGTTTGATCCAGAACAATCCATTGATTATTACTGGTACAAATGCTTGTTTTTTTTATGAAGGTGGCAAGCGAGCTGGCGGTTATCCTGATGTTAAGTGCCGCCATTTGCAACACCTATATGGTTGCAGGTGCGTTGCCACCTTTAAATCAAGTGGGCCCCGGCTACCTCACTCACCAGACGAAACGCAGAAGTGTAGCCCTTGCACTTTACGCCGGTCTTCAGTGAGGTCGTGGTAATGACCCGGACGGACCTGCCCATTCGTGAAAAGAGCGAAGACTTGCAAGGCCCTTTTACAGTTAGATTATTGGGCACATGAATTGAAGTATCCACGAGCTTTCCTAATAAGAGGCACGCGCGTGGTCATGCTTGTAGCTGTTGGCGTGGTCGAGAGTGAATATGGTTTGTAGCAGGTTTACATCATGCTCTCAGGGTAGTTTAAGCACATTTCCTATTGGCTGTTATGGTTCAGTGGTACCTTACGAAACTATATAAGTATATTTTTTTATGTAAAATTCGACTATTCATAGGAACGCTCAAGCGTTTTGAATTTGACCCATCTGCTATATTTATCGAATGCACCACAGCTTTTTTTAATTTTAAATCTCAAGTCATTGTCGATTTGTTCACACTTCCTTACCAGACCTCTTCCTTGTATCGATTTAGTTTTATCTGCATCATAATTCAAAAGTGGATTAGCCGGACCGACGTCTGATTAAAGCATTTAATAACTAGATATGTTATTGTTATCTGAATTTTTATATTATCTGATTGTTTAAAGCGAAATAATACATGCTGTATCATATCGATGATTGAATAACATAATGCACAATGATCGTAATTAACAAGATTCATCGCCACGAACTTATCTTAGCCCCACCAGAGGACGACCCAGATTGACCGCTATTTCGTCTATGACCCCGCCATTGCTCTTAATTCAGAGTAAATAAAGTTACGTAAACCACGCAACCATCTTTTTAATAAGATAACAGCACTCGGAGTCTTCTTCAACTATTGCAATAATTACGTTTGACACTTTATAAACCTGTTTATAACTAACCGTGCCAAATTAACACTGTATGGTTATTTTAACTATATAAATATAAGTTAACATAACATTTTGAATGTATATCTTTATGTTTATGTACCAACGTATCTTAACTTATATATTCTTATCCTTACTAATCCTTACTAATATTATAAACGCGAAAGTTTGTATGTATGGATGGATGTTTGTTACTCTTTCACGCAAATACTACTGAATGAATGTTACACATTCAGCCTATTCGACGCAGACGCAGTCGCGGGCAGCAGCTAGTATTACATAATTATTTAACAGTAGTAGGCCTACACAACTTTCTTTGCCGTTATGCTGTTAATGGGCGGGTCCGACCGACATAGGACCGTTGGTCGTGGTAAGCTGACAGTCGAGCGGAGCGCGTTAAAGTGCTACACGTCTGCTTTTAGTCTGGTGAATGGAGTTACCGAGGCCCTCATTAATAAAAGGTTTCAACACATCTGCGGCATTAATATTTGTTAAAGTAGGGGCATACCCCTCATGGGAGCAAGGACGGGCTATGTCGGTCTCGCACCGACTAAAATCCCACGATGTTCCACGCATGCATATATCGGCAGGACCGCGGGAACGCTTTCGCACATTTCCGCGATCCCGCCAGCGATGGCCGCCTTATTAGCCTCTTCTCGGGATGCAACTCATGGTGGCGGATCTGTCTTTGTGGCGTATGGCTATACCGACGCTACTCTGCCCCCGCGGCCCCACCACCACTGCATCGGCGGTGCATCCTCTTCCGCCGCCATTATCTCGGTCGCAGAGGACAGGGGAAGTGGCTACACCTCTACTACCCTCAACATGTGCTCCGCACCCTCCTCGCTCGAATTACACAGGCCGGCTCAGTCTGGGTTCCTCTTAGCTTCACCGTGGGGACCAAGCCTTGGCTAGTAAGTCGCTCCGCCACGTCAAGGCGGTAACCCGATCAGGGGAAAGCATCTGCAACCCTACGGATGTTGCTACCTCCCAGGGGCGCGCGGTCATAACTTAACATTAGGTGAACCGCCAGCTCGTTGGCCACCGTCTCACATAACAAAATGGACATGAATTCATATACATGCAAAAACTGTAACTGCAAAATTGCTTTTTATTTTTATAATTGAAACTACATAATAATATTTTTTTCTGAATAATAGAGATTCTGTAAAACGTTATCATTACAACCGATAACAACTTTTTGACATTTACCAATAATAACAAGTTGCATAAACCGTTATCAATTTCATTTAATGTCTTTTTAACAAAGATTACCGGCACAGAGAATTTTTTGTTATTTTTCTTTCGTTACCCGACTGATCGAACCCACACCCTCTGGCCCAAGAGACATGTTCACTATTCCCCACGCCAATCGCGTCGCCCAAGAATAAGATTTAATTTTCTTACAGTTTCTCATAATTGCGTAAAATTAAGTTCCACTGTCATAAAAGAATCTTTTGAAAACAAATTGGTATATAACAGTATCAGTGTGTTCATTTGAAATGCAAAGACATTTTATACTTTTATCAGAGGCATACGTGATAACACTCTCGCAATGAGCTATGCGAGATAATTAACATAACTTTTCCACCGATTACGTGTGGCTTTTATAACGCAATTCAATGAATAAATTGAAGAAAAAGTTGATGAATTTTTTAATTAACAAATTTTAAATTGTACATACATATCGCTGCGGCCGGTGACAAGACGGTCGTTTATTTTTCTCTGAAATATTAAGTGACTTCAATAATTATATTGAACCTTTAAAGAATGAAATTCGTCTTCTTACTTGACCACCGCCCATGGAAAATAGCAACGACGTTTCGAATGTCCTTGGGCGTTGCCAATTTTTACTAAAGTGGCCCCCGATTACCTCACTCACCAAACGAAACGCAGACGTGTGATGCTTCCGCTTGACCCCGGTCTTCTGTGAGGTCGTGGTACTTACCCGGACTGACCTGCCAACTCGTGCAACCGCGGGGACTGTTCCGAAGCCCTACCAAAGTTTAATTTCTTTTGAAAACTTGAAAAAACTATGTATTTACGGCACTTAATTATTGAATATTCAATACTAGCACTATAAGTCTTTGGTGTTTTGTTTACGAGATTTTTTCGACAGGTGCTATCTCATTCCTCGATAAATTAAGTTTAACAGGAATAAGAGGAATTGATAAAAAATAAATTTGTATATTAATAGATCATTTTCGAACACTGAAAATCATTGAACCCGTTACAAAATCTTTAGACCTGGCATCAATGTCGAACAATTTATTTTTGAATATAAGGCATAGAAGTTGTTAATCGCCATCTAGTGGTAAGATATGCTGTCCTTATGCTTACAAGGACCGCATAAAAATCTTCTCTATGGAAAAATACAAGTACAAATAATATGTGCTTCAACACCTATCGTTAAAAAATATTTGTGTGAAACACAATGTATTTATAATAAAATGGGAAGAAGTTAGGCCTTGTAAATACGGCTGTTTTTCTTGGAATAACTCTTGATCCAAAGTTTCTCTTTAACATATAAATTAATAAATAAAAAATAAAGATTATCATATAAATTAATAAATAAATGATCGGTAAACGGTAGGTACTGATGTTTAGATATATATATATATATATATATATATATATATATATATATATATTTCATTTTTTCGAAACATTACCCTTAATAATAATAAATAATCCTGTGTCCTTACAGGACGTTTTACAAACATAAATTTCACGCGGACAAACACCCAGATTCGGAACAATTATCTGTGGGTCACACAAATAGTTGTCCCGTGTGGGAATCAAACCCACGACCCTCGACGCTGAAGCCAATACCTTGCCAACTACGCCACGGAGTCAACGTATATCATGCACAATCATACATATATACAAATGATGTATATACAATGTATATACAATCACAAATGATGTATATACGATGTATACAGCGTGTCGTTACCATCGCGACAATAAATGAACACACATATAGAGGATAACTTTTAAAAATTGTATTAAACATTTACATTCTTTAAAGCATCAATATTTACCGAGTTATTAAATTTTCCAAAACAAAGAATTTTAGAACACCCTTACGTATAAAACTGTAACGTAAAGTTCATTTGTAAAGGTCACAAAGCATATGAATGGGTTGAATGAATTTAAAAGAGACAAAACATACTGTTAGAAGGAGAGGCTTGTAATGCACACTGTGGCGCGAGTTGTATAGGATGTTACAAATTTTGTTTCTTTTTTACTTAATTAGTTTGTTTGAAAAATATTTTTTTTAAATTATGGATTTTGTTTAACGTTAATATTATTTTTTGATTATTGGTAAGTAGCGTTAGACGTGTGTTCATTTATTGTCGCGATGGTAACGACACGCTGTATACAATCATGCGTTTTGTCCTACCCCAAAAAAAAGAATCATTATTTTTATGTTGATCCCCTATACAAAAAATAAGCAGTCTTGGGGACTGCCGACAGAAGTCAAAACTCAAAACTGCTTTTATTTAAAATTTCTAAAATGAATTTTATCAAGAATAATTAAAAACACAAAACATTAATTTAAATTGCAAAATAACTGTTTTATTATTACCAATTAACAAAAAAACAATTAACGATAAGTTTGAGTAGTATACAGCGTGTCGTTACCATCGCGACAATAAATGAACACACGCATAACGCTACTTGCCAATAATCATAAAAAATGATGATCATATGATGAGTATACTATGCGCCAATCGCTTGAGAACTGGGAGGGTGGAATCAAGATAAATGGAATCAACATATCTAATCTCCGGTATGCAGATAACACCACCCACTTTGTAACATCTGAAGCGGAAATGGCAGAGCTGCTGAAACTCCTGGAGACTGTTAGTCAAGGCATGGGTCTCTCCATTAAATACTGATGTAATGAAGACTATACAGCACAAATCAAAAAGTTGCAAATTTTATTGACAGAATTATGTAATTGATATGATTGCAAACTTGGGTATCGAATTTCACAGGTCAGTAGGGGTGTTAAAAATTATGTAATAACAGGGTATCGCTTGAAGATTTCCCCCAATACCAAAAAAAATGTATGTAAAAAGTAAATAGCCCATTGGCGGCCCATTGATTTGATTTGATTTGTAAATCCGCCACTGGTTGTACACAAATGGCAACGCATTTGCAATCCTACGAGTGGTGCAAATGTTTATGGGCGGCGGTTATCACTTAACATCAGGTGAACCGCCAGCTCGTTTGCCACTTTCTCACATAAAAAAATATGTCAAACGTCCGAATCGGCAGAACTTTATGGCTTTATAGCAGGCTTCCTACGATAATCTTTTGGCCTCTATCCTAGCTTGGTTTTTCGGCCACTACTCTGGCGTAGATTGATATGAGACGGGTATTACCGTCTGCTCCCCCAGGTTGATGACGAGCCCCTGAAACTGCGAGTGCAAGAGCGTAAAAGTACGCTTGAGTTGAGGTTTGCCACAATCGACGAATCTTGTAGAGCCAGCGTTAGCTGTAATTGCGCTGGGATTTATGCACGCCATCCGCGTTTCGGTAGTATCAGGTGTCCTCGGGCATGCATGCTTTGGTGAGTACTTGAATAGATTTGGATGCAAACCGCGAACGCAATACCCCGATTGTGGCGGGGACCGTGATTCCCCACATCACACACTCGCTAAGCACCCTGCATGGCCACAGCGATGAACCCTGATCCTTGGGATCAGGCAAGACCTATAGAGGAACTGTCACAGTCCAGAAGGAGATCTCCGAGCGAGAACAGGAGAAGGTAAAGCCCGCTTGAAGACATCGGGCCGGCTGAAACGGAATGCCGCAAGGTCAATCGACAGAGAAACGAATTATTTTCGTAAAAAAAAGCCGTTACTATTAAGTAACTACTTCTGTTTTAATTAATGTCCTCTCTCAATAATAATAATACAAGTAATGTGCATAAGTAATGTGGGTTGCTTTGCTTGTTGCAAATTTGTTCCGCGATATGCACCGACGCAAGGGCGGATCCAAAGGGGGGGTCACGGGGGTCATGACCCCCCCTGGGCTGGGTCCAGGACCTATGTGGACCACTAATTAAAATTGTTAAACATAATATTTTTATATATTTTTTGCCACAATATAGATTTTATATAAGTACCTTCAATATTAATTTAAATTAATATAATATTTTAAACCGACTTCAAAAGGAGGAGTTTCTCAATTCGATTGGTATATTTTTTTCGATGTATGTACACCGATTTCGTTGAGATTTATGATCCGATTTACGAGATTCTTCTTTAGTTTGATGTAGAATAGTTGCCATTTTGTCCCATGAAATTTACCATAGTTTGGCCAATTAGTTTTCATTTTATGAACATTTTTACAATATTTTAATGTTTGTCATCAAATCTTGCAAATTAAATTTGATCTACTTCCCGTTTACCGGTTGAGCTGAAATTTTGTATACATGTGAAAATCGCGAGACAATGCAATATTTTTATGACATGGCAAAAGGAACTTCGCAATGAAACGACAGAGCCTCATCGCGTTTGAGTAGATTTGAATCGTATTGACGAGTAGTTTGTCTTTCAATTCATCAATAAATAAATAAATAAATAAACAAATAAATTAATTAATTAATTTCATAGGTAACCAGTATCTTATGATGGAGCTCCATCTTCAGCCGTCCATGGACATAAACATAGGGTTGCAGATGCGTTTTCTCTTTACAATAAAGTGTGCTCCGGCTACCTCACTCACCAGACAAAACGCAGAAGGACTTTACGTCGATCTTCTGTGAGGTTCCTATGACCATTCTGTAATGATACGACTGAACCCCATCGAGTTTGATTCATCTTGGCGAGTACTTAATTTTGAGATGGTTGCCAGGGTCTGATCTGATGATGGAGCTGGAAGATATATATGTACTCAGTAAGCAAACGACGCAACCCTATTGTGTCTCGGCTCGTTTGATTCGTCATGACGAGTTTTTTAGTGGATGGTAACCAGGGTCTGATGACAGAGCTGGAATGTGGCCATAGGAACTCAGTAATTAAGGAACACAACTGCGTCGAATTTGATTCGTCTTAATGGGTGGATGGTTTTTGTTGGGTGGTGAGAGGTGGTGGTTTAGTGGACGTGAGTATGCGACCCCATCTTTGGGAAGTAAAGTTTGTTCGTTCCGTTTGTTATGAATGTGGATTCTGTCTGTGATTACATGGATTAGATGGATGAGCGCTGAATATTATGAATGAATGAATGACTGAATAAATATTTTTTTTGTTATTAATGCACATTTTTTTAACGTGGACGATGAAATTTTTAGTGTACGGCTATTTTAGGAGTTCATTAGGGTTGATTATATAATAGTACCCGGAGGACCGAGCTTTGCTCGGTTTGTTTCTTTTTTTGGTAAATCGTGTATTTTGGAAATTACATTTAGATACAAATTACTGAGTAATGAAATATTCATAATGTTTTTCGATCTTACCGACATAATAATAAGAAAATATGAACTGATGTTTTTCACAAAAGAAAGAACTTAAAAAAAAGGGGAAAAATAACAAAATAACAAATCGACAAAAAATTAAAAAAAAAGAAAGCAATGATCTGGAATCGAAAAAAAAGTAAAAAAATAAATGTGTAAATGATCCCCGAATCTATGCACATACTAAATTTCATGAAAATAGCTGGAGCCGTTTCCGAGAAAGTGGGTGATTTATGGGCAACTCATGTATTTTACGCGCGATCATTCATAACTAACACGCAGACAAGTTCGTTTCAAAAGTATACGAAGCATTTATGAGCGACTACCGCATTGTCAACAAGTTCTGTTTTTTAGGGAATAGAATGCCAATTTTAATTTTAAAAAAATGTTTGTTTTTATTTCAATAAAAGGTTATACTACCGAGTTTGAACCTCCTGTGTGAATTTGGGCACCTTTATAAAAGCCACCCTGTATAATATATATGATAATAAAAAGCAACGAATTGTTACGAACAAAAAAAGAATTTTGCAAATCCGTCTATATATGACAAAGTTATGCCCGAACATACATAAAAAAAATGTAAACATCCGAATATTATCATTAATTATCGTATTATATAACTAAATATTTCATGATTGCTTTCGAATGCCACTATAGATAATAATATCGAACGGTTCTAATACTCAGCAGATATCAAAACAGTATGCGAGTATCGCGTAAATGGCATGCTTAATTTCGCTTTTGTACGATATTTATTCGGGACGTCCTTCGCGACCGGTTCGTTTTAATTCGCTTACGCGTTGCCGCGCCTCCTCTCCATTGATAATCTACAGCGCCATATTATAATTACATTGTCTACGTCGACTAGAGTATAGTTACACGGTAGCGGCATTCGTTTATTTCAGTAGTGTTTTGACAGTCCGAGCCCGCGCACGCGTCAAAATGTCACAAGATAACCTCACTGCAGTGTTGTACAAGACGAAAGATTTACGTTTGGTATGTTCTTTATTTTCAATTATCTGTGTTCACCATTTTTTTTTAATATAACAGCAATTATGGCGGTAATTTGCTAAACGGAAAACTTTATATAAATGTGTCGGGATTTGTGTTTTTATTTTGTCAACGTTAATAAATTTCGTATTTTTGTAATATTACTATTAAACGTTTCTGTACATTAAAGATCGTAGCGGCTTACTAATCGTAATTGCATCTTAATAGCAGTACCCATAAGTTCTTTTAATATATATTAAATTCAAATAAAATATCACTCGACAAGCAACTTCCTTGTTCGTTCGAATTATTTATAAATAGAATTATAATCTTAAAATAAATAAACAATAATAACAAACATGTATATTGAGATTTCCAACACTTTATAAACTACCCGCTGTGGGTCACTATAAAAAAAAAACTATTTTTATGATTGCTATATCCCTGCTGTTGTGTTATTATCCAACGGCACGGAATACTTTAAATATTTAATATTCATAAAAAAGAGTAAAGTAACACCTTTGTATTATGCCCCACAGCTGGGCGAAAGCCTATACAGAGGGTATTAGGGCATAGTCCACCACGCGACCCCACTGCGGATTGGAGGACGCTTTACATATCTTTGAAATATTTGCTCTTGTAATTAATCCGAAAATTGCTCATCTGAATGAAAATCCGAAGTTTCCTCACAAGGATGTCCTTCACCACTGAGCACATGATAAGTCAGCACTTAAAATGAACAATTTCATTGGTGCTGGTTGGGTTTCGAACTCAGGTTGCTCGAGTATATTGAATTGAAAACGAGTGCCCGAACACTGAGCTAATGTTATAGAATTATAGATCGTTGTTTTATATTCATAAAATGAAGAGTGTATTATAATTTTATTACAGTTAGTCTTCAGAGCAAATAAACACCGCTGCAGATAAAAAGAATTAAGTGAAATCTTATCTGTGAAGTAATGAAACGATTAGCCATTAGATATGCGCTATTATTATTTTTATTAGGTTGTATTCATACGTTACGAATATGATGTAATAATTTTGATAAATTTAGTTTGTTAAGCCTAATTATTAAAATTACCTTTCTGTAGCTTCTACAGGGTTTGCAACACGTACGTACCTAATAAGTGTTTAAATTAGCAAAAAATATTTTTATTCTCCCTTCAATTGCAGGAGCAAACGCCGATCCCCGAAATTGCTGATGATGGTGAGTGAATGAAAACTAATTAAATTCATTGCGTAAAAATAAAATATTTCTAGGGAATTCCACACTTCCAGTGTTTGACAGATTACACAGACATAGGTGACAGTTGAAAGGTACAGCTTGAATGGGAAAATAAAATTATTGCTATTTCATTTTTCCATGCAATTTTCCAAATTTCCCTGGACTGCCACAAATATTTCAAACTAGAAATTAGTCAAATCGATCCATCCGTTCTCGAGTTATAGCGAGACTAACGAACAGCAATTCATTTTTATATATATATAAATTGCCACATAATGAATGAATGAAAAATAAAAAGACTGAATAAATGAAACATACTTTATTGTACACTGTGAATAATACATTGTGAAAATATTTCCCGATCTTATCAAGCAAGCATTAGTAGGGTAAGAAAACCCCAAAACATTCAAGGGTAAGTTACAGATTACGGACACCACGTTTTTCACTTATCATATTTTTAATCGATAGGGAAATATGATATAAAAGTGAAAATTTGCGAATACAATCTATTTTTACAGAAAATAATATTTAATTACTTTTTATTTTCACAAAAGAAATCTTCAGAAAGACTTCAGTACATAAATACAAAGTTCGTATTTCTTTGGGCCAATGTCAAAGTTCGTATTTACTGTTACGAACATAATAAATGTAGCAGGTATGTGAAATGGGTTGCCATGGTGATACCGTTATATGCCTTGCAACCAACTTCACCGTATTACAACGGTAACCAATAACAACTTTTTGACATTTACGTATATTTTCTGATTTATATAACCGTTATCAATTGCATTAATGTCTTTTACACAAACCAAGAGTACTGGCATAGGGGCTTAAATTTTTAGTTATTTTTTTTGATACGCTAAAGAAGTATAACTTACATGCGCATAAGTACACAATTTAAAAATAAGAAAGAAAAAAAATAATAACTTTATTATTATTTGTTTCATCATGGCAGTCTGTTGGCAGCCTCTGTGCCTTATGTTAAGCAGCGGACTCAAACAGGCTAAAATGATCATTATGATGATGAAATATTTGCCACTACATTCACGACTATCTTATGTAGTCAAGATAAACACAGAGCTATCAAAAATCCATCAATAGTGATTCGGTCAAATAACGAATATTCGTCCAGTGATGAACAACGAAGTAACAAAGGTTTGGGGAATGGATTTAACAAACAACTCTACTGTTTTCTTATTATTAAATTCAAATTTTCCAATTTTTCCACCATCCGGCAGAGCGGATCCTGTTAAATAAAACTGGCTCACGGATTTCTTCGCTTTTAGATACGTAAACAAGTTTTATTTAACATTTTGTTGTGTTTCCTTGGGTACGTATACAAAAATCAACTAATTAACAAATTATGAAACAAATTTACTACTCGTAGCATGACACCGAGAGCATTTCCTCGCCGATTTTGTACTGCTGACCTTTGATACTTTATTTGGCATGGTTTGTGTTCTTCTAAATGATACAAACTTTCTGTTTTATGCGGAATACTTTTAATAAACATTAGTAGCACATCTAGCGTTCCATCGATGGTGTTGCAGAGGTGCTCCTACGTATGGACTGCGTGGGCATCTGCGGCTCGGACGTCCACTACTGGCAGAGTGGCGCCTGTGGCAACTTCGTGTTGCAGGAGCCCATGATAATGGGCCACGAGGCGTCGGGGGTCGTGGCCAAGGTGAGGGGGCTATGCGCCTCAGAGCTAACGATCGATTCCGGGTGCAGCAAACGAGTTTATTGGAGACGATTGACATCTCGAATCGCTGAGGTCGATTCGTACACCATAAGAACCACCGCCACCAATACCACATCAGCATCCACCACTACATTACAACGTTATTCGAAGACCCATCTGCGTATTTCTTTGGAATTTGTTCTCTCTCCACGACTCCTCATCATGTGCATATCACTCAAATTAATTTCTTATTTATTATCTTTAACTAATTTAATATAGGTAATGCTAAAGGTAAATCTCGCGTAAATAATGACACTTTTACAGTAATGAGTTTACTACAATTTACTGGCTTAGAAATAGTATTTAAAAATCATTTTGACGACGTTGTTTGACTGACATTTATTTACATTGGCCTATGCATATATCTAAAAACTTTTTACCCTTTGGGTACGGAACCCTAAAAATATTAAAAGGCAATGATATTTTATACTATAATTATAAAATATGATCGGTAAAAGAGCAAACAGTGGATTATGTCAAGTAACGCCCACCACCGGTGGTAGGGCCACGTAGCAGCCTCGCCTGTTGCACGAATGGGCAGGCTCGTCCGGGTAAGTACCGCGACCTCACAGAAGACCGACGTAAAGTGGAATAATACTTTCGCGTTTCTTCTGGTAGCCGGAACCCAATTTTCAAAAGGTCGTGAAGCATCTGCTACCGTTAGATGAAGCAGATGTCGATGGGCGGCGGTATTCACTTAACATCAGGTGAACCGCCTGCTCGCTTGGCAAACGTCTCAAATAAAAAAAACACCACCCACGTATAACCAACACCCACTGTATTTGTTATTGTCATCTCCCAATCCTCATACAGAAGATAAGAACGTAAAACTTCTTTTACTTTTGCATCCCGCCTGTTTGTTCTTTTTGATATAATTTCAATTTGACATTACATAAGGGTTTCCCACCCTTTGATCGATTTATGAAAGTAGCTCACTTTCAAAACTTTTCGTCTTTGAGGCGTGTAAATTGCCAGCTACGCAATTTTTGTATGTTCTTTTATGTAAACACCACCGTTGACTCGCGACGAAAGGTCGGTAGCGGGAATATAAACGATAACTAATTTAAAGTTTACAAAAACATTACCACGTCCATCTCCGAGCGAATTGTTAACACAAACAAATGTCACGATTTGTTGATTCAAGATAAGTGTGGATTTATCTGAACGCGCCGTGAACTTTGTTATGTAATTCGGAACAGAATCTTCAGGGCATTAGTACAATACATTTTGTACACAAAACGTATGACCTTGTCCCTCTACAGTTTCGTGATATGTTTTATTTTAAAATCAAATTGGGAAACATATTTAAGATATTTGAAGAATCAATTTTCTGGTATTGGATTGATTGTCTTTTTCAATACCACTTAATGAAGCGTAAACTTACAGTTAGAGTAGCAAAATCGCAATTTCAGTCGACACTTTCACGTTTTATTAATCTTAAATTTAAACCATCATATTCAAATTTGTCTATGAACCTGTATGTAGATAGCCAAAAAATCTCCAACTGCACATATTAGACCCAATGACCTTACTGTGACATAGAATGTTCATCGGTGTCACCAGCTCATGATAAAAAATCATACTTAATTTAAGAGGTTGTAGTTAACACAGCATCGTTGTAAACGTAGAGTACTGACAACAAAAGATGACCAATTAATGAAAATTATATTATGAAGATACAAACGTGTAGTTGTAGGGAGTCAGTTAACCAAGGCTTACTATTTTTAAAGGTTGGTTAACCTTATGCATTTTCCAAAGGTGGTGGTAATCTGATGATCTTAAAATTAGGCGAATCGCCTGCTTCCTTGGCAACTTTATAAAGAAAAGAATCTTCAATTTATACTTAAGGCTTGGAAAGTGTTCCATCAGCGGCTCCATACAATAAGCTTATTAAATGAAACTAGTTTACGGACGCTACGTTTTAATTTAGATTTTTAATTAACATTCACTATGTATGATATTCGCTTAGAATCAAGGAATCAATGCTTATAAGCTATTTATTTCACTTATCCATAACATCCCTGTTCTATACAAAGTTGTATCTGTATCGTTGTCAGTTCTCCCGTTGCGTCCATACCGTAACACATTAATAATAATTATAACGCAGCACTAATAATAAGACATACTACGTCCTTCTCGGGCATTTAACTATGACCATACGTTTCACTGTAATAGGTTCCGAGCCAGTAGAGCGTGATTGTGTCAATGCCGTTGAATTGTTAATAAACTACTATTATTGAAGCAGAGGGACCGCCCTCTTCAATACTTGGCCGTACGTCACAGGAATAAATTTCAATGTCTTACGCAACCTGGTATATAATTTATCTTATATTATGTAAAGATTTTGTCTGTGTGTGGTCACTGAAACACACAAATTATAATTAGTTAGTGACACATAATCAGGTTTTGTTCCGTCCCATGACCGTGAACGCTGTAAAGGGTTCGAAACGTCGGAAATTAAAAACAAAAATAATTGCGATAAACCGTGAACATAGTTTCATTTAGTAATGTATAATCGCGTAAATACAAGAAATTATTATATAATCCGTTTTTGTTGATTGTTGTATGTTTGCGATTAAGGAAGTGCCGAAAGATAACATCAAATGTCAGTGTTGAAGCTATTATTGCGTACTATAAAAACATCAAATTAACCGTCTGCTCTCTTGACAACTTTTCACATAAAAAAAATTCAAATCAAAAAAGAAAAGCTAACTAGTACGTATCGTCTCCTGCAGCTGACACAACTACGGTATGATATAATGAATAATCCACTATTCAGAACGTGTTAGTCGGCGATACTGCCAGATTACCTTGAACTTTAAAACTGATTTGTAGCTTGTAGTGAACTGTAAATATAGCAAAAAAAGCGGTTTTATGCTAATCGCGGACAGGTCCGAAATGCAAATTGGAAGGTGTGTCGCATACGAATGTGGACTTGGTATTATTATACCAAATGTGGCAGAAAATGGCAAGTGATGCGTGATCGTCTAGTTTAATACATTGCTAGATTGTCTGAGCTCTTACCGAAAAGCGCTAAATCGAAACAAAAGAATTCATTCTTTTCTCTTCACACCACTCCTCTACGCTACATTACCGACCACTGTGGATGTGACGGGGCGCACCCGGGTCATGGGGTTCGATTCCCCGACACCCTGTGACTCTTGCTCTGCACTCGCTGCTAACATGGCTGCTGCCGATTTTGTACTTAAAAGAATTCTTGTACTTGTATCATTAAAAAAAATAGATAACAACATTCTTGTCCGTGTAAGTGAACTGGAGGTAGTTTTTTGACGTTTAATAAGAGCTTAAATTAAGCCTATATGGAATAAAGAAACTGACTTTGGCTACCTGGTGATATGCAATAGTTTTTATACGCATCTCGCCTTAGAGCTTGGCGAACTCAAGAGATATAGCCCAGTTTCCATCTTCTCGCCTTTTCTCGTACAACTAACACAACTATGGTACGGTATGGTATTGTCAAAATTTCAAATCTCCAACCAATATAGCTGTCCTCAAAAATCACGATCTGTTATAATTATAACTGCACCCTCAAAAAACCTTACGGCCAAAATGCGTTGTTAAAACGCTCGTTTTCTGAAACAGTGATCATCGTAGAAGTTAACTAATCAGCTGTCAAACGACTTTTTAAATGTTATTCAAGTTGCCAAAAGGACGGTTAAACTCTTTGAATTGATTAGTATGATCTTCTTAATGATCAGAATAAGTAAGACTCTTATATATAGACAGAGTGTTCTCTTCCGACTCGGTAAGGGCATTCTAAAGTCTAAAGGCGTTGCACCCCATACGGTGCCGAGAGAAACGTACTGAGATTCTATTTTTAAACGTGCACGTGTCGCTGATCTCCGCCCGTGTGTGCATAAGCCATTACACGGTTAGGGCGACCACACATGGATACTTCTCGAGATATGTTGCTCCCTATAAATGTAAATGTCAGGAAGTTACTGACCTGTGAGCATATTCATTGTATTATTTAATTTAATTTAATGATGACCTAATTTTAGTGTCAGTTATCGCTTACTGTTTTTCTTTTCTTTTAGGTTCCTTATGCCCGTTTTCAACATCGATCCGTAACTTTAAGGGACACCTAAAAAAATTTAGTGCTAGTTTCATTTTCACCGCCGCTTAAGTGTCACCTAAAGTCTTAAGCGTGATTCGTCTTAGGCGTCTAATCGAATTAAGGATTTTTGGTGAAAACGGGCATAATACAACATACAGACATAAGGTGTTTAATTCTTTTTTCCTATGTATAGACGATGCCTGTAATAGGCACGTATATAAATGGTCCTATGGTTAAGAACACGTAAATTTTACTATATATTATTCTGTTGGTGTACCTAAAAATTGGAAGCCCACGCTATGCACAACCCCCTCTGTACCCACACATTCGTAATTGCCCGGATAATATCGGACTAGTATTACTGATATAGGGAATATCTGATCTTGGCCGTTAAGAATTTAAATCTATTCCATGTGTACTGAAGGTATTTTTTTCAATTTCAACTCGAAAATCTAAAAGGCACGTATTATTTTTATTTTAACACATGCGATAATTCCTAATCACCGCCAGGAGTATTTGATATACCACATTTCCCGAATAATAATAAGCCGGAGTTCGAGATAACGCTATCCACACATTCGGTATCAGTTTATTCGCACCTGCGTGACAGGTGATAAGCTCGTCACCACCAGGTTGGCTAGTTACCATTGCTTTAATTGATAATTACCCGCATTATCGTGTATCTGTGCACACAAAATTGTGTGCTTAATTTTTGAATCATGCGCACGACATCTGTCAAAGGCACAAACAAGGGTGGATTGCATCTGTCCAATTAATCAAAAGCAAAGTCATTGACCTGATGACAAGAAAAGGTTGTATCTTTAACTGCGACACGCTTCGCTGCGGGAAACTTAGGTCCTAAACTGTTTTAACCCTGGCGTATATCGTTAAGCTCTAAGACAGTTTTATTTACGCTGAAGTAATCAAGTAATCAAAACTGTAAAAGCCGTGATAGCTCATTTTGGGCGCATTCTTTTTAGGGTTCCGCACCCTAAGGGTAAAACGGGACTAAAGCTCCGCTGTCTGTCTGTCCGTCTGTCACCAGGCTGATGTATCTCATAAACCGTGATAGTTAGACAGTTGAAAATTACAGAGATGATGTATTTCTTTTGCCGCTATAACATCAAATACTAAAAAACAGAATAAAAAAAATTAAGTGATGCTCCGATACAACAGACACGATTTTATGCCGTTTTTATAGAAAATAGTACGGAATCCTCCTCATGCGCGAATCCGACTCGCACTTAGCCGGTTACTCAATATACTTCTTATCGAATACTCCAATACTCGAGCAACCTGAGTTTTATAATCCCGGTGCCAGCACCAATGACATTGTTTAATTGAATGCATAATTTCGAAATAAAAAAAAAATAAATTTCGAATATATGTCAATTCTGACAATACGCGGTGGCGTCTTGTGGTGGACAATGCCCTAATACAGGTTTGGGCCCTCCGCTAAAGTTACGAAGCTATGTAACTAACGGCCGTTCGTTGAATATAGGAACTGGGCATTAATCAAGTAATCAATAGAGGTAGTCATTAATCTACGCCGTTAGGATACAATTCCGCGACCGCGTATCGCTCCCCGTCAAGTTAGAAAACCAGACCTATGTTATAGATTATGTAATATGCTAGATAAATAACCGGAACGCGCCTGTAAAGATATGACGTAGTTGATAAGCGCCCGTGACCTGTTTGCCATTATTGTGATAATGACTATTGCCGAGTACTAACGATCGATATATGAAGGCAGATAAATTAAATCCGTTTTTGGAAACTTCCTTAACGCGGATGGATAACTCACTCCGTCTTTTTTTTTTTTTTTTTATGCGAAAAGTTGTCAAACGAGCAGACGGTTCACCTGATGTTAAGTGAATACCGCCGCCCATGGACATCTGCTACACTCGAGGGTACAGATGCGTTGACAACCTTTTGAAAATTGGGCTCCGGCTACCTCACTCACCAGACGAAACGCGAAAGTATTTGTCATACTTCCACTTTACGCCGGTCTTCTGTGAGGTCGTGGTACTTACCCGGACGGGCCTGCCCATTCGTGCAACAGCCGAGGCTGCTGCGTGGCCCTACCACCGTAGAAACAGACACGTAAGGAAATATGCCTCTTCCGTTTGACTCTTAGCCGAGCATCTCTTTCTCTCTGTATCTTTCTAATGACGATTCGATCACCTTTAGATGGTATACAGTCATATGAAAATTTTTCATTCGTGGCCGAATCTTGCGCTTTATAGAACTGGGGCATATGGACCGGCCGGTAACACTGTCTTTATTACTCTGTGTAAAAAAAATTTGATTACCTCTAGATGGTATACAGACATATAAAAATTTTTCATTCGTGGCGAATCTTGCGCTTTATAGAACTGGGGCATATGGACCGGCTGGCAATACTGCCTTTACTACTCTGTATAAAAAAAATTCGATTACTTCTAAATGGTATACAGTCATATGAAAATTTTTCATTCATGGCCGAATCTTGCGCTTTATAGAACTGGGGCATATGGACCGGCTGGTAACACTGCCTTTACTGATTTTATTTAATACTAGCTGACCCAGCTCCTTGTTTTGCAATATAAATTATTTGTAGGGTAAAAAGTATTTTTTATGGTGAACCACCCTTATCACTTAGGGTATAAAAATTAGTTATAAATCTATTCTCATACCTATTGAATATACATATAAAATTTCATCCAAATCGGTGAAGCCGTTTTGGAGGAGTATAAACACTAAAATTGTGACACTAGAATTTATACAGCGTGTCGTTACCACCGCGACAATAAATGAACACACATATAGAGGATAACTTCTTAAAATTGTATTAAAAATTTACATTCTTTAAACATCAATATTTACCGAGTTATTAAATTTTCCAAAACAAACAATTTTAGAACACCCTTACGTATAAAAGCGTAACGTAAAGTTCATTTGTAAAGGTCACAAAGCATATGAATGGGTTGAATGAATATAAAAGAGACAAAACATACTGTTAGAAGGAGAGGCTTGTAATGAACGCTGTGGCGCGAGTTGTATAGGATGTTACAAATTTTGTTTCTTTTTTACTTAATTAGTTTGTTTGAAAAATATTTTTTTTTATTATGGATTTTGTTTACCGTTAATATTTTTTATGATTATTGGCAAGTAGCGTTAGACGTGTGTTCATTTATTGTCGCGATGGTAACGACACGCTGTATATTAGATGCATATGTAGGATTCGCGTAAACATACAAGAACATTATATGTTTCAAGAAAAGCTATTGTTTCCATTGTTTTCAGAACATCTTAAAGTAAAAATGAAATAACAATACATATCCCACTGCTGGGCAAAGTCCTCCTATGCACAGAGGTTTTTAGGGCATAGTCCATGCGACCGCACAGTAGTTTGGCGAACTTCACTTATTTCCAAAATTTTTTGGCGCGTTAGGGAAAAATTATGAGAGTAAATTTTTAAGATGCGCGCGCACACCGTTACGAAAAACCGACACCCTGAAGTTAGCTAGACATCTACGTATGTTTGCGTGAGAACTGTCAATAATATTCACGATATTTGTTTTGTGATATCAAAATAAACTTTATATAATTATTATTATTGTTAGTGTCGTTTTTTCAACAATGTAGAATAAGGCGATAGATAAAATGATTGAAAAGATTTTTATCAAAGAAGTATAACTACTAACGCGTGTACATAAGTGCACACACACTTATGTACATTATACTATTTCGCAAATATGCAGGTTTCCTCACGATGTTTTCCTTCACCGCTGATCACTTGATAAGTCAGCACTTAAAATTAACAATTTCACTTGTGCCCGCACCGGGCATCGAACTTACTCTATCGAGTATATTAAAATAAAGCCGAGCGCCCGGGCATTGAACCATCACGGCTCTGAGCATCTTAATAAATTCTTACTAGTATTATAAAGGCGAAAGTTTGTATGTATGGATGGATGTTTGTTACTCTTTCACGCAAATACTACTGAATGAATTTTAATGAAACTTCACAATAATATAGCTTATACATCAAAATAAAACATAGGCTATAATTTATATATAAATTTTTTGTATATCTCTTTCTGTCTGAATGTTACGTCTTCAGCCTATTCTAGTCGTAGTAAAGTGCAGCAGCTATTCTATTATAGTTTCCGCTGTCGATTGCCTCTCTTCATCTATTTGTTTGTCTTTCATCGCATTTATAACTCAAGAGTCTGTTTCCTTAGATTGGGTCGAAGGTGACGAACTTGTCGGTGGGTGATCGAGTCGCCATCGAGCCGGGCGTGCCGTGCCGCTACTGCGAGTTCTGCAAGACGGGCCGCTACCACCTCTGCCCCGACATCAAGTTCTGCGCCACCCCGCCAATACACGGCAACCTCGCGAGATACTACAAGCACGCCGCCGACTTCTGTTACAAGTATTTGGCGCACTTATTCACGTTACTTGTACACCAGTCTAGTGTAGGGATGTCGGACTCGTTATCATCATCATCATCATCAGCATCATTTCAGCCTGTTTGAGTCCACTGCTGAACATAGGCCTCCCCCACAGACTGCTATGAAGTACGATCCTGAGCCACCTGCATCTATCGACTTCCCGCACATTTGCACAGGTCGTCACTCCATCTAGTGGGGGGTCGTCCTACACTGCGATGGCCAGAACGAGGCTGCCACTCGAGAACCCTTCTTCCCCAACGGTTATCGGTTCTACGAGCTATATGGCCGGCCCATCGCCACTTCAGCTTGCTAATCCTCTGAGCTATATCGGTTATCTTGGTTCTACTGCGGATGTCTTCGTTACGAACTCTATCACGCAGAGAAATACCAAGCATAGCCTGCCGGACTCGTTATTATTTAAATGAAAATACCTTCATTGGCAAACAGGATTACAGTTACTTTGTGCATTGGCACCACACTGGACAAAGCCTGTCCTGTGGTTGGCAACGTGTGAATTTTGTTTTAAATTAAAATTTGCAACCGAGCAGGTGGTTAACCTGATGTTAAGCGATTAGACGACGAAAGAATAATACTTTCACTTCACGCTGGTCTTCATTGAGGCTGCCCATTCGTGCAACAGCGTGCAACAAAGCTGTGTGGCTCTACCACAGAAATTTATCTAGGTGCCAGCCAATCGTTCATCAGGTGTAATTGTTACTGTGATAATAAAGCAAAAGTTTTATATTGAAGTTTTATAGTGACCATACCACCGTTGGTCTCACACTTCAACTCCAATGATGCGTGAGAGATCCCCCCCCCCCCCCCCGTAAATAAGGCACCAGCAAGTCCCCTCTTTTTTATGTGAAACGTTGCCAAGTGAGCAGACTTGATGTTAAGTGAATACCAGCACCCATGGACATCTACAACCAAGGGTTGCAGCTGCGTTGACCTTTTGAAAATTGGGCTCCGGCTACCTCACCCACCAGACGGAGCGCGAAAGTGTTATACTTCCGCTTCACGCCGGCCCTGTGAGGTCGTGGTGCCCGGACGAGCCTGCCCATTCTTGCAACAGCCGAGGCCACAGTTTAAGTCTTCCGTAGGCTGCCCAAACACGTGAGCATGGAGGAGGGGGCCCTACTGGAGCCGCTGTCCGTGGGCATCCACGCGTGCCGGCGCGCTGGACTGCAGGCTGGTCACAACGTGCTGGTGCTCGGTGCCGGGCCCATCGGCCTGGTAACCATGCTGGCGGCCAAGGCGATGGGCGCCAGCGCCGTCGCCATCACCGGTGAGCACTTTTTAGGGGGGCCGTTTGAGTTGCCGTTGTGTATGTATAAATATAATTATACTCATCTACGTTACATACGTGTTTATGTTGGTAGTTATTAGATTTATTACATGTTATTTATTTGGTTACATAGCGTTTACAACCACTTTACTGCTCTTGTCTTTATGTTTCTGTTCTACCTAGGGTTAGCTGGTAGAGAATGCAATATAGCATTAAGCTCGCCTTTGTACAATTTTTAGTGCAATGAAGATTAAATAAATAGAGCTGTGATAGCTCAGTGTCCGGGCGCTGGCCTTTAATTCAATATACTCGAGCAACCTGAGTCCGATCCCCGGTGCCGGCACCAATGAAGTTTTTAACTTTAAGTACTGATTTATCACGTGCTCCGCGGTGAAGGAAAACATCGTTTGGAAACCTGCATATTTTCGAAATAATAACAAACAAATTTTTTCGAAGATATATGAAAGTTGGCCTATCCGCAGTAGGGCCGCGTGGTGGACTATGCCCTGATATCCTTTGTATAGAGGAGGCCTTTGCCCAGCAGTGGGCCATGTATAAGCTGTTACTTAATAGAGCACCGAAGCTGAGGTGCTCCAATTACGTATCATACGTTCTATATCATCCGTCACACGCTTTGTACATGTTACATGTATGGGTGACCATACATGTAACTAGTACAAAGCGTGTACATGTGCATACATGTACATGTAACATGTGCATACATGTACATGTAACATGTCATACATGTAACATGTGCATACATGTACATGTAACATGTCATACATGTACATGTAACATGTCATACATGTACAAAGCGGAGCAATTTTTAAACGCCGCACGCACTATGGACACGCGTCATCATTGCTAGCGTCTAAAAGCGCCACCGCCTCCAGACATTCTCCAATCGCGCCTGGACTTCGCGAAGCAGCTGGGCGCCGACCACACCGTCCTGGTGAGCCGCGACACCGACGAGAACGAGCTGGTCGCGAAGGTGCACCAGTTGCTGGGAGATCAGCCCGACGTGTCCATCGACGCCAGCGGGGCACAGGCGACAGTCAGGGTTGCACTGCTGGTGAGCGCCTCCTCAAGCGTTTCTTAACCTCAACGTGGAAAGCTTGTTTTGAAATAAGTTTCTTAAGCAAAATCGAAATCATATATTCATCGGCATAAGAAATACATTTATTTAAGAATCGTATATTTATAATAATATAGTACTATAATAATATAATAATTTACTGTTTAAATGTTATTTCTTATCGCCATTGAAGCATTTTAGATCAGAATGTATATAAAGATGGTGACAGGTCAAAAATCTTGGAATGCCTTTACGGAGCCTCGTTATGGTATATTACTTCCTTCCAAAGTGGGGACGTGAACATCCCAATTTTTTGGTTTGGGCGTTGGACTTTAATTCTAGTATTTGCGTTGTAATATTAATTTGTTGCGCTTTATCAAATTTTTACATATATTTAAGTGTTTAAATATAAATGTGTATTATGTACTTATAACAATTACCAGTATATCATTCGGTCTCTTTGGGTATTTTAGTGGTTTGTTTGATGTGAACCCACTAGAGGGATGCTAGCCCGTTTAGCGCCAATCGATTAATGTGTTGGTGGGCGGTGGCAGGCCACAAAGTCGGGGGGCGTGGCGGTGCTGGTGGGCATGGGCAGCTCCGAGATGACGCTGCCCCTGGCGGGAGCCGTCGCCCGCGAGGTGGACATACGCGGCATCTTCCGATACGTCAACGAGTGAGTTGCCAGTTGACTTTTTATTTTCAACCTCAGTGTATAGCGCCACGGTTAAATTTATAAATTGAAATACATAATTGTCACGAAAAACTTATTCCCTTACATACCTATGTTATCAAAAGACATTTTCCAAAATTACAACATACATAATAGTATTGTCTATAGGTTTCCTTATCATTCATCAAAATCGTGGTATTTATTATTTCGAAAACACTGCTAATAAGATAATATTACATAATTATTTAATAAACCATCGACTATCCACCTCTCCACTAGACAGTACCAGAGCCCATCGACTATAGTTTTTCGCTTTTCAGGTATCCAATCGCATTGTCTATGGTATCCAGCGGAAAGATCAACGTTAAACCGCTGGTTTCGCACCACTACACCCTCGAGGAAACCCTGGAAGCATACGAAGTCGCCCGTCAAGGCCTGGGCATAAAGGTTATGATCCACGTCCAGCCCAGAGACGCGAACAACCCCCAAAAATTCTAACATACGACCGAATGAAATAAAAGCACACAAAAAACAAGTTAAAAAATAGTACAATAAATTAGCTTCACGCAAAATCAGAGGAAAGTCAGAGTATAAATATTTACGTATTATTTCGTAGTAAGCGGACTAGTGATGTTTAATCATAGTGATTCAAAATCGCAAACAATTTTTTTTCAGTGTCTAAAAATGTTATATTTGACAAATCGCTAATATTTTAACATTGACGAAACTACAATTTTAATATTAACGTTATATGACGATCAAATGAAATAGTTTAATAACGACACGACTTTATTTATGACGTTTATTTTAAATCCAAAATAGGAACCTACTTGGAACAGTCACTTACATTTCTTGATATGAAAAAAGAAATACATTTATTAATCTTAGATATACAAAAATCACATTCGTAAAATGAGTTATTGTTAATTATATTGATATTTAAATGGGTATTTAATGTAAGATCGAATTTATTTTGTATCTAAATGTTGTCATTTGTCTGTGAAAATTGCGCATTTTTCCTAATGCGAGCAGAGCATGTTTTGAAACAAATACGTTCTAAAGAATATTTTAAATTATTTATTATCTAAAAACAGAATAATAATTATGTATAACATGATTATGAACTATTTTGTAATATATATTTTATTTATTTAAAGTTGCAGTTTAATTATTGCGATAAATTATTATGAATTAAATAATTTACTAATAAAATGAAAAGTCAATAATATTAAATAATATAACACTTACAAAACTTTTAATCATGCATGATAAACAAAATGTCACATGTTTACCACCTTTCGTTTTTAAAAAAATATTACAGACTTGTCGTTGGTTCGATGTATTCACTTGACGAATTGGCTTAAAGGTTGTGTTACCAGGCCATAAAATCTTTAAAAAAATCTCTTGACGAATGATGTTTTACGTCGTCTACCAAAATTGTAATTGGGGCAAGTAAATTTGCATGTGTTGATATTGTTTATGGTCAAGACATTTTATTTATTTTAAATTGAATTGATTGTAATATTTTATACATGCTTGTCGTTTGATACGGTGTCTAGTCATTGGGATGATAAAATTTTCACAGACATTAATTGATAATAATTAATTGTTACCGACTTTTGATTGATATGAAATGTTTTATTTTCGCACAATTAAACGTTTGTTTTTACAATAAACGCGGTGTTTTATTGACTCAATTACTTAGCGGTATATCGTGCGTTCCGAAATACCTATCTTTAGGGCAACACAACAGTGTTCACTGTTGCACGAATGGGCAAGTCCGTCTGGGTAAGTACCACAAACGCACAGAAGACCGGCTTAAAGTAAAAGTGTTGTTTCGTCTGGTGAGTGAGGTAGCCGGGGCCCACTTTATTAAAAGGTCATTACAACCCTATGCCTTTGCAACCCTACGGATGTTGCAACTGTTCATGGGTGGCGTTTATCACTTAACATCAGGTGAACCGCTAGCTCGTTTGCCACTTTATCACATGAAAAAAAAACATGCTTAAGAGCTCTATAAAAAGGAACTAATAACTTTTCAACAGTTCAGAAGTTTATCTTACCTAGCCTACGAGTTTGATTCCGAGTAGCATACCCCTATAAGATTTTAATTTAATAATAGATTTTTACACATTTTATTTTATCTACCCTCATTATGGGCTATGTGGGTCAGAAGCTACGCCCATTTTATCTCGGTTTTTTTTTATCCGAAAAGTTGTCAAACGAGCAGACTTCTTCTTCTTTGATTAAGGAGCAGACGGTTCACCTGATGTTAAGTGAAGCATAATTTAAGCATAATCTACATGCTAGCTTGAATGTAGATTATGCTTAAAAATATAACACTTTTTTTATTTTAAAAATATTTACGAAACAGCTAGCACATAACTACAGTATTGAAAAACTAATACAGAAGACCAATTGACTGTTACCATATGGACAAGTAAAAAATTATAGAGAGTGTAAAGATTCACAGAGCAAAAACGGACGAAATTTACAAAAATGTACTTTCTACATATTTTAATGTACTTTCTCCCAAATTTTATATTAAAAAGGCATTGCTTAACAGTTTTTTTTTAATTTCCATAAACATTAAAAAAATCGAAGTTATGTGTCTTAGCTACTGCATTTAAACATGCTTGGATAAAGAAGAAACTTGCCCTATAACTTGTTCTAGCCGACAATACAAGTCAAAGTCAAAGTATCTTTATTCAATATAGGCTTAACTTAAGCTTTTATTGACCATCAACAAAAAAACTACCGCCGGTTCACTAAACTAGACCTGAACAGAGAAGAACCGGCAAGAAACTCTGTGGTCTTGTTATTTTTTTTTGTGATGCAATTATCCAAACTTATTTAGGTATAAAATCAGCAGCAGCCAGGGGTCTTGCAAGTGCAGAGCAAGAGTCATTTCCACACATCCTTGTCCTCAATGTATTCTTGAACATTATAGTAGGCCCTTGGCATTAAGGTAGCTTTTACAAATTGGTTGAAATTGTTTATACTTAGTTATTTGTGGATGTCACCTATTTTATTATAAATCTACCGAGAAACGACTTTCTGGTTTTAGCTAGTCTAAACCTCGGTACTTCCAGATGTTGGATGTGGAATGTTTTTTCGTAAATAGTTGGATATTATTACGTGCATACATGATGTTCTCAAGTATGTAAAGCGATGGAAGAAAAAAGGTTTGTGATGGCGGGTGGAACTCTTATGTGATGTAATATAACTCTGGATACGACTGATTACGTTATGCTTTACAATACCAAAGTTCCCATAGACACTTTAAAATTTATAAAAGCAATGGCGACATCTCTCGTTCGAATTATCGTTGTAAAACAATATTCGAAATTGTTTGTATGCTGGAAAGGCTATAACAATAGATGCGCCAAGCATTGCTTCAAATGCTAAATAACAATGTAGAAAGAAGGCGTTAAGATTTTCATCGCTGTGGCTATCAGCCGTTTAGCTCAGTGGCTAGAGCGTCAGGCCGCGAATGCCGAAGACGTGGGTTCGATTCCCACAGCGGCGACAATCTTTTCGTACTTTTTCTACATGTTTTAAAATTCCCATAGACTCGTTTTATCCGAATCTTCTTGCCGAACCACTCTCTTCGCTACTCATAGGAACTCTCTACTCCCTTTACGAGATAGCGGGTGTTCATCAAGGTCCATACCTCTCACTTTTACTCTTCACGCTCTACACTAGGTACATTCCTAAAGACCCACTTGTTAAACTTGCAATTTTTGTAGAAGAAACAGCAGTGTTTAATATATGCAATGTCCAGTATCAATATCCGCCTCTAAAGCGATTTTACTCGCGTCAACTGTATACATATACTTTACACGCACTAGTAAACCAAACAAAACAGGAAGTTAGGTAAATCCTCATTGTACACCAACCGATCTCTTCGGAGAAGAACATCAAATATTTTGGGATCACGTTCGACGCCAGCCTGTCTTTTCGTACTTACTTAGGAATCGTTATTAATACTCTTCATTTCTGTCCGTCTCCATTGCTTTACAAAGTCTGCGTACAGTAGAGCCACGCATCAGTCATCATCACAATCTTCACTGTTGCATGAATAGGCAAGTTCGTCCGGGGAAGTACCACCTCACAGAAGACCAGCGTGATGTGGAAGTTATACTTATGCGTTTCTTCTGATGAGTGAGAAAACCGGCGCTAAATCTTTTAGAAGGCGACAACGCGTTCTTGGGTCACAACGTCCTCTACTTCTGCCGCGCTGGAAAATAAAGCGCGCCTTCCTCTTTTGTACGGGAAACAGCTAGCGCGAGGCCTGCTTTTGATGCGAGGGTCGGAGCAATCCTCGTGCCTCGGGCATAATCTCGACCGGCAAAGGCTGGTCGGTGGTGAGGATGGCCAACGGCCATCCCTTCCCTGACCGCGGTAGCGGCACTTGCGGGTGTACGGCGCTACACTCGGTGTATAACGCGAGGACGACATCGTCTTCTCAACGGCGGAAGTGCGGTCGGGTCAGCTCCCCAGTGGCCTCCAACCGCAGTAGCTCTCGTGGGAGCGGGCGCACGTCAGGAGGACGGGCATGGAGGGGTGCAATGTTTTGGAGATGTGGGTGTGGTCCGTTGTCGGCCCTGTCGTACATGCGACGGGCCAACCGGACCACAAACTCCATCCTCAGGTCACGAGCTATTACGTCGTTCCTGACGTAACGCCCGGCCACTTCGATCACTCGAAGGGAGAGGTTTCGCTGCGTCTGGAGCCTGCGCCTCTGCGAGGTGAAAACCACGATACCACGCCGGAGCGGCGTAGGTCAAGCGCGAGCGAAAGTACGTCTTGTAGACGCCGAGCTTGGTCTTTGTTGGTAGCTTGGATGCCAGAATAGGATAAAGCACCGACTCCCCCGAGCCAGTTACCCTGAGGGCAGAGGAGCTAATAAGCAGCAAACTTCCTGCACCCCCAGTGGCGGACCTGATCTGTGGTTTCGCCGCTTAACACTTTTCGGTCGCAGAGGGTAGGAAAACCCTTCCCTTCCCCCGCGGCTAGGAAGAGTGGCTCCACCTCTACCACCCTTAATCTGTCCCCGGCACCTCCTTGCTTTACAGCGCTTTAAAGCGGGTTCACAGAGCAACTCGGAGCGATACTCTCGGGGCGGCCTTACGCCACAAGGCGGCTCAGAATGGGTTACCCACGGTGGAGCCAAGAGGACCACATAAGGCGGGAACCGGGTCGCGGATGTTCTGTAAATTAACTTACGAAAGTTCAACTGATTTGAACATATTAGGAGTACATTTGTAAGGTTTAGTTTTTTTCCAACATTTATACCAAGGTATAGTTTTCGGCATATTTGCAAAATTTATTTGGCTCGCTAAAATATTTACACAAATAAAGATACACATCAGATGAAGTGTCGGATTAAATGTCTTAAATCAATGTCAAATCAAAGAATAGCGTGAAGTGGATGTGTTCTACTTTCGTTTCGCCTGGTTAGTGAGGTAGCCGAGATCCATTTCATTGATAGGTGATAACGCATTTGGAAGCCTACGGATGTTAACAATGTCCATGGGCGGCGGTTATCGCTTAAAATTTAAATTATGCTCTACACTAGAACTTCGTAAGATGCTACACTAAAACAGTCAAGCTGACCTACCTCTATAGAGGCTAATGCTATGTGGACGTCCATTGCCAGAATGAAGCTTATGTTACTTTCCGTTATTTCTGTTAAATCTTTCAATTCCCGGTACTCAAATACTTACAAAGTGATGTGACTTTTCACAACGACATTGCTTACATATACGAGTGGAAGCCGATTGTAAATACTCTTATCTTTGTCTCTGATATTTTGAACCGAAATCTTTAGGTTAATTATATAAGTAAACTGTAAACAATTCGTTAAGCACGCAGTGCAAGATAACATGCGCGGTTGCGTAACGCTCAATTATTGTTATGTTCATTTGTTTCATTATCCGAAATCAAGAACGGAACAGTGCGAGTCGAGGCGTCCGAAGATGGACAATCTTGGCGCAGTTCTACACGGGCCCCGCGATCTAAGAATAGTAAGTACGAAAGTACTAATAGTAGTAGTACTAGTGAGTACGATTATTTCTACAACAAAACTAACTTATGGAACATTAGCAACCCGCCCCGGCTTCGCCCGGCTCCGTAGTGTCATTTTTAAAGTATTTCCTATACCACGGTGGGTACAATAAAGATTATTTATTCATTCATTCATTTTATCTGTCTTATAAGGTTTAGCCAGCGTGAATGTAAGCGCACAATATATGTTTGTTACAAGATCACTTTAAAAATCTTTGAATTCCTTGGCTTCTCTCTACCATAATATTATACAAGTATATTGCATATAAACTTTCCTCACTTTATCTATTGCTGAAAACTGCATCGAATATCCTTAAATTGCGTAGTTTAAAAGATCAAAGGGCACAAACAGCGGGTGCGACTTTGTTTTATACTATGTAAAGATTTATATAAGAATGGAAATAAATACACTGTAGCTAATGCACTGCTGGGCAAAGACCACAGACCTCCTCTTTACAGAGGCTATAAGGGCATAGTCTACCCACGTGATTTCCTTGCAATGTTTATCAATATATTGGCGAATAATTGAGGCAAATTTAAAAAATAATATCATCGACATTGATGCATGTACCTGATTATAAACGCGACATGTCATACTATGAGTAAAAAAGAGTTTCTGTGCGAAATTATAGTTTTATATACTTACACTTGTTAGTTTTAACAAGCATGGATGACTGTGATAGAGGGTGGGTCATGGGGCTTTTGATCCCTCTACTAATATACGTTATTTATATAAAAGACGTTTCAGAGGTACCTTAGAACCGTAAGGTTGACTGACCAATCAAAATTTTCGAAATTGATTTTTTTTGCTTATTTAAACATAAACATTCAGTGAGGCAAATAACATTTGACACCATGTCACATAGGTAGTCGCATAGATTTGTAAGATAAGGTAAATTTAGTTAGTATTTCAAAAAATTTAAAATATTCTTTTATATAATATAAATTTCTCATAATACAATTTTTTCGTTTAATTTTCAGGAAAACTTGCCTTTCCCGGAAATCAACGACGATGGTATATATTTATTTATATTCAGCTAATCAACAGCTTATAACTAGGACACATTATCTTAAACTGATTTATATAAAAGTAAAGCCAGTAATCTACGACTTACTTCAAATTTAAGTTGAATATTAGTCCTCACAAAAGACATTACAAATAATTTATTATTATTCAGTACATATTCAATTCAGAACATAACTTTATCTTTTTCCAAATCCAGCAAATCTTGCAGTATACGCAAAATGTAAGGTAATAGATAAAATCTTGCAATATGTAAGGTAACTAATAAACTTACTTAAACATATTTTTCTTTTATAAATAATGCATATTGGCATATGCATAAACACTGACACTAGAAACGAACTACGTTCATCACACATTATTTTCATAAATTTAATCATCGACAAAAGCATATTTTTAATCATCGATTGATGCTATTAAAGTATCTTCTGCTTTGATGTACAGAGGTGCTGATAAAGATATCGTGCGTGGGCATTTGCGGTACGGACGTGAAACTCTACACCACGGGGAGATGTGGCACGGAGGTGGTGGTCGCGCCGCTAATTATCGGCCACGAGGGTGCAGGAGAGGTTGTTAAGGTTCGAATTCATTGAGTTTTTAACCTAATTCAAACGGAGGACGTTCTCAATTCAACTGTATTATTTTTATGTTTGTTACCTTAGAAATTTTGACTGAGAAAACCGATTTTGATGATTCTTTATTATTTGAAAGCTGGTGCTTCCCTTGTGGTCCCGTATTAATTTCATTGGTATTGGATCTTGGGTTCCGGAGATACTTAGGGAAATCACTTATAAATTGACTGCAGAGCGAGATATTTGAATTCGGTTTTGTTTTTCGTTAGTAAAATAATGATTATTATTGCTATCTATAGTGGCCGACAAAATTGAGCGAAAAGTGGCACAAAACTTGGTGTGGTCAATAATCCCTCCTGCTTGATTTCGGTGCGTCGTAGACAACCTTCTGTTCATCCAAAGGAACATCGTTATATTTGTACGTGGTGAGCCACGTAGCATTAAATCCTTCTACTTGAATTGGAACCATTTCTGCTTGGAACCATTCTGACGAAGAAGTACAATGCCTTCAGATCGATGTATAGTAGAAGTATTCATAGTATCGTCCAGTGATGGATGCAGCCTAGGTCCCGTTTATTTATTACAGGGGAACACGAGGCTAGCAGTTCATCTGAGTACAGTACACGATAATCAATAATGTACCGACGTTTGGAGAGTGACATTCGGCTTACTTCGGCTTCGTAGAGCGCTATCTCTGTCACACACTACCTATGTGACGTCCTTTAGTCTTTGCACAAGTGTATGAATACTTATTTTCATAACGTTATTCAAATTAGCCGATTGTTTCTTTTTAAACGTCGATTCTTCATTCTTTTCGCCAAATACTCTAGTTGATCTCCACCGCTGATAATTGCAATATCACATTGGTTGCTTGCGAAACCCATCTTTTGTAAGGCCGATAACACCCTACACTCTAGTTTCAGCCGACTTAAAAAAGGAGAATATTAATTAGGTTTCTCGGTCAATCAATTTTTTCGGTTTGTTACCTCAGAACTCCGTAAGTTATGAACCAACTACAAAAAATCTTATTTCATTGAATTCTCTTTAGCCCATATTTATTTGGTCATTACTGGACCTTGGATTCCGGAGATACGTCAGCATGCTCAAAATCAAATTGAAAATTAATGAGATATATACATAGTTTGAATGAGATATATTTACTTTGTTTAATTGGTACATGGCATTTAGTAATTGATTTTTTACTGTTTCTTTTGATTGTTCCATTTTTAGGTATACTATCGCATTGGGTTACCCTGTAATGATATTAGTGTGCGCGTGTATTTGTTCTTTGTTACTAAAAATGTATTACTTGTCGCGTCACGCAATTCCACATTTGTTTACATCGCGTGAGAAACATGTTTATTCGACTGTTTAAGGTGGGTGGCAAAGTCAGTAAGCTGAAGGCTGGAGACCGCGTGGCTATAGAGCCGACCCAGCCTTGCCGCAGCTGCGAATGCTGCGTGCAGGGCAGATACAACCTCTGCGACAAGCCTCGCTACTGCTCCACCTTGGAGGGCGCGGGGAATCTCTGTCAATACTACAAGCACGTGGCCGATTTCTGTCACATGTACGTATAACTGCCATATATATTACATAATATATTAGTTACTCAAACTCAAAATATCGTTATTCGAATGGGCTCTTGAGCGTTCTTATGAAACGTCAAATTTTACATAAAAATCAATATAAAGTTCGTAAGTAAGTTAGCACCGGTTGTTTATGCCACGCCGCTATATGCCGCCAAATTGAACGTATAACGGTAAACACAGTTTAAAAAAAACATAATGTTTAAAAAAAAACTGAATCAGTATTGAAATTATAGTAAAATTAAAGTTGCTTAAACTAAAAGAAACTCAAGGATATCCGTCTACCATTTTAATTATTGCTTTTAATTGATGTTTTTGGTTTCAGACCCTAGATTATATAAAGCTTCATCCCTACCTAAACAGATACTAACTTCGGCATCGTAGAGCGCTATCTCTATCGCCGAAAGCGGTAACAGTGCGGTATAAAGAAATATTTAAGTATAAAATAAGCGGCAGAGAGGGAACTTGCTAGTGCAGAACTTGCTCTACGACCCTTGAGTCATAGATGATGATGAAATCTCCTCAGATTACCGAAAAACCTGACCATGGAAGAAGGGGCGGCGTTACAGCCGCTGGCAATCGCTATTCACGCGTGCAACCGCGCCGGAATCAAATTCGGCACTAATCTGGTGATCCTCGGCGCTGGGCCGATAGGCGTGCTCTGTGCTATGGCTGCCAGGGCGATGGGAGCGACTCAGATACTGATCACAGGTGCTTTTCGATGCCCCTCGTGACGCGCAGAACGGAAATGCGCTGAAGTACAACCCGGTCTTGTTATAGTAACGTTAGCGTTTTGCTTTCACAACATCTCGATGCTCAGTGGATAACATTGTTATTGTTCACTAAAATTATCAGAAAAAAATTTGATGAAAAGTTTTTCGCCGCTACGGGAATGGACCCACGTTTTCCGGATTCGCGCCCAGATGCTTTAACCACTAAGCTAAACAATGATGTTTAGTAATATAGATGACGCATGTCCATACTACGCGGCGTTTAAAAAATGTTTCGCTTTACATTATATGACATATGTATATACGCAAATGTGACAGATGATACAGAACGTATGATACGGAAAGAGATAGCAGTTTATAGAATTGCAATCTCAAATTTAACAGTCTTACCACAAAGAACATACATAAACGAGTGTTTAACAGTCGTTGTTGTTGTTGTTTAAAAGTTAATTGACAAGCAAGCAGGCGTTTCCTGATCTTAAGTAGATTGCTATCGCCCAAGGCCCCTAATACCCTCTTTACAGAGCCTTTGCCCAGCAGTGGGACTTTTATAGGCTGTTACTTTATGCCACATATACACTGGGTTACAGACAGTGCAGTCGCGAGATTAGCTATTGCTACAGGCCAGGGAGGCCCCGCATATTTAAATTAGAAAGTAATTTTTGAGTTAAAGTTATTACGATGTGGTACATTGAATTTACTTGATGACCAGATTAATTATCAACCTTTAAAAGCAGTCTACACCGATTATCTCACCCATGTAAATTATAATAATAAATTAACTTGATATTTATAATGTATTAATGTTATTAATATTCATAGATGTGGTGGAGTCACGTCTGGAGACAGCTAAATCTCTGGCGGCAGACCACACGCTTCAAGTCAAGAGAGAATACTCCGACGAACAGATTGTTGACAAAATAATCAAAACGTTAGGCACCAAGCCACAAATTACGACTGACGCCTGCGCGTTTGCGTCTGCTCAGCGAGTCGCCATGATGGTAACATCTTAAAATCGAAAATACTGCGCAATAAAATGCGTTTTTCAAGATATTTTCCTAATAATGACTTATTTAGTCATTTCCATTTATGTCTTAAACGTTTTACCCCCCGAGTCTAATCAGTTACGTTCGAATCGAAAACAATTTTTATTTATTATTTCTTGAAAAAATCTCTTTTATGTATAAAATGTTTAAAAAAATATTTTTTTTATTTATTACATGCACATAATATCACATGTACATAATATTATCGCAAATACGCGAAAAATTTGTCAGAAATAATCGACCACAGATAAAGAAAGCCGTTTACAAACCTACAAACCTTACATCAAAGATGTTTTTTCTCCGCGTCTAATCAGTTAACTTCGAAACCAAATCTGTTCCAGGTAACAAGAAAAGGTGGTACAGTTCTGGTGGTGGGCGTGGGGGATGACAGGGTCGAAGTGCCGTTGTCAGGCACACTGCTCCAAGAGATCGACGTTAAGGGCTCTTTGAGAATCGTTAACACGTACGTTATAACGAATGTCTTCACAGTTCTACCTATCCGAAACTATTTTTAACGCGTATATATTAGCTTCACCTGTATGTATTGTGTTTCTGTGTATGAGTTTGATGAAATATTTTCATTCAATATTGAAACGAAATGAATGAATGAAATGAATATTCATCCAACTATACAAATTTTTGTAAGCTACACACAATTTTGCAAACGTATGATCGGTATCCGAATCTTTACCTTTAAGTACAATAATTATATTAAAAAATAATCCCTGAAATGTGTATTAGTCCCTAGGAAATTTGTCTTATTGTTGTGTTCTCAACACGTAGTGAAGATACAATGGGAAAATATATGTTACATTTTTGCAGAGTTTTGCTGTAATGGCCAACCGTACCTGTTTGCGTGGCTATGCTGTCAAACTTAATTTAAGACATTTCTAACTCCTCGGTACTTACACATCGTGAAATGTTAAGATGTATATTAAAACCCAGTTGGTACTCTACCATCAGGTATCGACCGGCGCTAGACGCGGTCTCCAGCGGAGCGATAAACCTGAAAGCCTTCATAACGCACCATTTTCCGCTGGAGAAAACTGAAGAGGCCATAGAGTTAGCCAAAACGGGGGCCGCCATGAAAATTATAATACACGTGAACTGAACGATAACCGACGCCAATTGTTTTAAATAAACAGATAAAACACATATTTTTTCGATTTCTTTTTCCCAAAACTTAATCTTTTTTCCAAATTGATGATTAATTTTCATTAAGTGCTAGTCTCACTCAAGATGAAACTTGTTATACGTATTTTTCTTGCAACAAAAATTGTTAAAAAAAATTTTCGCCAGGCAAAAGCGCTGCAGAATTCAAATCTGCGCCTTCAGTTTAACGCGGCTAGACCAGTATATATGTCTTATCATATGAGTATATAGCGTGTCGTTACAAATACGACAATAAATTAACACACGTCTAACGCTACTTGCCAATAATCATAAAATAATATAAAACGTTAAAAAAACCATAATTAAAAAAATATATTTTTCAAACAAACTAACTAAATAAAAAAGAAACAAAATTTGTAACATCCTATACAACTACAAGTCTGATTTATACATTCAGAGAATTTTCATTCGTTGCCACAACGTCACATTACAAGTCTCTCTTTCTATCTCTCGATAACACAGTATGTTTTATCTCTTTTAAATTCATTCAACCCATTCATATGCTTTGTGACCTTTACAAATGAACTTTACGTTACAGTTTTATACGTAAGGTTGTTCTAAAAATGTTTGTTTTGTAAAATTTTATAACTCAGTAAATATTGATGTTTAAAGAATGTAAATGATTAATACAATTTTAAAAAGTTATCCTCTATATGTGTGTTCATTTATTGTCGCGGTTGTAATGACACGCTGTATATGTCTTATCTATGGGCTAGACGCTTTAACGAATTAGCGGCTGATGACCTCTGGCGCGAAAATTTCGACATCCACTTTATTTATCTTTTTTAGAAATTCTTGGCGGCATCTAGTGTGAATACTTACTGCATGTACGGGTTCTAGGTACTTAAATTACAAGGGTAATGCGATAATTCATTGGTCCTCCGGCATTTCTTTTTCGGAAATTTCCGATTAGACAACTTTATGTTTATTGTTTTTTATTAGGAAGATAATTATCCTAATAAAAAAACAATAACATAAAAATTGTTCACTCTCGACTAGTCCGCTAACGCTTACTTACTTGCCGTGTGAAATTTTTAACTAATAAAACAAACAAAGCGAAATATGCATCATCAAAATGGAAATTTATTCACATCAACAATTAGAAATTCTATTATCACACATTAGTTAAATTAAAATAATTATTGTTAAATTAGTTAATGGAGAAAATTGATTCGGTTAAAGTTCATATAAGATTCAGCTTGGAGGGCTTGAAGACGCCGGGCCGAGTGTTGAGGGCGGCTGCCGTGTTCCCCTTTGGCACTGGCATGCTGCCAAGCCGGTTGCCAGACGCACCTGATGTAAAGACGAACAAAAAGTACATTGCTTTGTATTTAAATAACGATGTCTTATCACACGCAGAATTCATGGTCACTGGAGTATGAAAGACACAAAAGTATAGAAGTAAAATATTAAAGTTATACATACTACGGTAAAACAAATATGAATACGAATCGTTAACGTTGCTTTTCGTTAAAGCTTGCCGTCCATTTTTAGAATAGGTATCTTTTATATAATTCATTTTTTTATGATGTTTATATTATTACAATAAATAATAAACTAGTGATATATTTTTTTCACTAACATATCGGAAATTTATTCTTCTTTTAAATTTACGTTTTCGGAGTGTTTACGAAAAATATAGTCATTGATATAATACAATATAGTGAAAATGTAAAAGAAAGAGTACCAGCGGCCTTCCCACGGGCGGCGAAGGCGCCTCTCGCCGCCTTCTTCTTCGCAGCAGACGTCCCCTTCCGCTTGAACCTGCCGAGGAATTGGATCAGGAGTCACTGGTTCACAATACTGTTGGAGACGGTACCTAGAACGGTAGCGAGTGGTGACGGTATCGGATATTCATTTAACGGGCGGCAATTGAGTGGCGACTCGGAGTTGCCATCTCTCGTCATCTATCTTTAAATGTTCTTTGTAAGGTGTTACATTCTGTAAAGGATGCACACTAGATGGCGCGAAGCATCGCTGATAATGAAACGGAAAAAATGTAGATAGACGTCGAGATTTTAGCACCGTGAGGTCTCGGCCGTTTAGCTTAGTTGCTAAAGCGTCTGGGCACAAAATCGAACACTACGAAAGTCTATAAAAATCACAATTTAAAGTTAACATAAGCTTTTTTAAAGTGTTAACAACTTGACTTTTATTATCTGTAATATCGAACACCACAGACAACAAATGTTTTTTTTTTACGTTATAAAGTGGTAAGTGGAGACGGTTTACCCGATGTCAAGTGATAACCGCTGCCAATGGACATTTGCAACACCCGCATGGATGCGGATGCGTTGCCTTACCTTTTAATAGAGTGTGCCCCGGCTAACTCGCTCACCGGACGAAACGTTCTTCCGTGAGGTTGTGGTGCTTCCCCGAAAGGATCCTTTTTTTCCCCGTGGGAAAAATCCTTTATAGATCCCCTGCCACTCGATCGGGGGAGTGGCAGGGTTATGTGGGAGTCCCGGAGACGGGTTCCATTAAAACACCCACGTTGCACCTGTCTCTGACGCATCGGTCGGGCATACAGGAGCACGTAGAGGCAACCTTCCCCGAGCGGAGGTGCCCATTCGCGCAGCACCCGCCGTCCATCAGCATGCCTTCTTCCGCCCACCTCTTTCTGACGCCCCCCCTCCCCCTGCCGCGGCCCCTCCCGCCCCCGCGGCCCCTCCCCGCCGCGCCGTCAGAGGCCGCGCCGCGCGCCTCCTGCGCCCAGTCGGTCTCCGACTCGGAGCCCTCCTCTTGGAAATCACTGGTTTTCTTCTGCTCCGCCTCCAGGTCGTCCTGGTACTGCATCAGGAGACCTGCAGCGAATTAATCTCGTATTTGCACCCGTTCCTTTGTCCCAGTGTATCATTCTGATATTTTTATGGAAAAGTTAATGGACACTAGCAACACAAGAGGATTCACAAATTAGTTACAGATAATTAAAATTGATAGCTTGTAGGTAAATTCATAATTATATACTTTTGAATCAATTCTATTTCTTTTTTTCTCTGTTTATGCAAACATACAGGGAGGCTTTTCTAAGTGTATCCATTTTTTTTTTTAATTAAATTCTAGACATAAATAATGTTACATAAAAAATAATAAATATTTAAAATCATTTGAAATTATCTCAAAAAGTGCGTGATTTATGGGCAACTCATTTATTTTACGCGCGATCATTCATAACTAAAACGCACACAAGTTCATTTCTAAAGTATGACATGACACGCATTTATGAATGACTACCGCATTGTTAACATGTTCTGTTTTTAGGGAATGGAATGGCAATTTTTTTGGAATAAAATACTTCATAAAAACGATTACACTGCCGAATCTGGACCTCCGGTGTGAATTTGGGCACCTTTAGAAAAGCCACCCTGTATATCGGAGTCCCGCCGAGTCTTCTCCGCAAAGCGACCAACTTCTTTAACTGGAGAATAATAAAAGGCGAGGCACGCACCCATCTTCTCGAGCGCGTAGGCTGCGGTGATGCGGAGCAGGGCGGCGCCGTACTTGTCGTAGTTGGCGCGCGTCACGTGCGGCAGCGCGAGCATCTCGGCCGCCGCCTCGGGCAGCCGCGCCGCCATCGCCTTCAGCGCCGCCAGCGGCAGCACCGCCGCCAGCGACGCGCCGCGCGCCTCGCCCATCTCCCTGAGAGCGCACCCCATTGTTACGGGCAGCGCTGCAGCGCTTACGGGGTGTGTTCCGTGAGACCGCTGCAGCGCACTGCGGCGCCACGTCGCTTGATTTTTCGCGACCACGGAAGGTCTATTATGACACTTTTAGAGACTGCTAATGAACACTGCAGCGCTACAACGCTTATAGTGTGTACATTCTCGCGATGATAATTCGTGAGACAAATATAGCGCACTGCAGCACCATATCGCTTATAGTATTGATTTCTCGCGAGTACGGAAGGTGGATTATGATAATTCGTGAGACCGCTACAAAATACTGCAGCGCTACATCGCCTATATTGTTGATTTATTGCGATAATGGAATATAGATAGAGTATGACAATTCGCGAGACCGACTTTAGCACGTCGAATAGCGATGCCAACTTAAGGCGCTGTATGCAGTGAATTTTTAACTATTTGGGTGGTGAAGTAACGCCGCTAGACCATTCATTACCTAGTATGTAGTGATGGGCCGTAGGACACTATCGATAGTATCATGGAAGGCTTTCGAAAATGTACACAGATGATCCATATAATATCTTTTATGGACCATAATTGTACTTTACTTTTATATTATTATAGGAATCATAATAAACAAACAAATATAACGTATGACAAAGCAATCAACAATTTTAGAAAAACTTCCTATTAATTATTTTAAATTATCAAGAAACAGATTAGAATTGATTAAAAATACATCTTAAGGTCAAATAAATTAATAAAGGCAAATGACATTTCTTACAAGAAAACAATAAATAAAGCAATAATTATTTATTTTCATTTAAAGTTTAATTACGCAATTTCATAGTCTCCACGGCAGAAATTACGAATACGACTTTTTAATTACATATTTTCTTAAACTTTATATCTTTAATTTATCCTTTAAATGTGAAAGACTTACTACGTTATATTAATTCCTCAATAAAATTTAATTTAAAAAATTATCGATAAAATTCCTTATATCGATAAACGACAACAATTATAACTAGAATCGAAATATTGTTCCCTTCCGCAGACATCGTGTAGCCTATTGGTCCGAACGTCATGGTTGATACATGTTTTTCCAATTTTAATTTGTTAATCAATTTATTATTTTGTTATTTGATAAAATGTGGAAAATACAAAAATTATAAAACAATTATTTTTCGTGTTCGTAAAAGAATAGTTTTCGTTTTAGGGTGAAAAATTAAATATTTTAATAAAACAAATTAAAAACAATATACAATATAAGACTTGTTAAAATTTTTAAATAATGAAAACTTGGTTTATTATCTGATAGATTGTTCTCCAACTGTTGCGTTCTACTTTCAGCAAATACAATAATACTTCGTTGTAATTATTTATAAAAATAAAAAAATCGACAAAAATTAAATGGTAAATTTAAAAAAATACCTACAAAAAGAAAATCACCAAAAAATATAACAAAGAAAAATGTAGGGATTTGAACCCAATCCCTATAGAATGATGGTCCTTTACACAGTGTTACAAACTGTTCAAAAATAATACTCCTAAAACAATTCGAAAACCGACTAAAATTTATTAAATTCAAACAAAAATTTCTTAATTTAAAATCAGGATTTTTTTATATTATAGGAAAAGGCAAAATAATTATCTCATAAAATAAACCATGGTCAAGAACATCAAATATAACATAATTCATTTGAAATGAATATGTTAACAATAACATCAAAATAATATTAAAAAAAAATATTAGAAAACATAAAATATTCATACCAGACACATAGGCCTTGGCCGTCGTCATCCAAAGCAGCACGGCACTGAATTTTTTTTAATAAGTTGTTTTGTGTAGTTTTTTTCGAAAATGTGAATAAAATTTAACTCCTAAAATAATATTCCCATAAAAATTTACCTCTCAATAAACTTCCATTCCACATTTTCTATTCCTTAATTTCGGAAGAAAATTCCTAAGTTGGCATCCCTGCCTTTACACTGTTTGTATAGGACTGATAAACTTATCAATGACAAGATAAGATATTGAAATTACGCTTTAGTTGTTAATTCATACAAATAATTAAAAATACGAAATATGTGAATATATATTTTTTAATTTCGTGTTTTCGAATGATCTAATAAAATTATAACCCTAAATAATAAATAAATACGGAACATATTTCGTAACGGTGAGCGGAAGACGAGCGGCATAGGTCCATCTAGCAAGGCGCCTCAGCGCTCTCTGTTCAACGTGTGGAGTCGGAAGAGAGCGGAAACAACGCCGCGGTGGCGCGGTGTTTTGCCCATCGCGTTCGAATTAATTTTAATGAATTAAATTAATATTTAGAAATATCTTACATCAATCAAAAAATTAAAACAACAATCCTTTTTATTAATATATTCTACACCACTGATATTAATTTCATTAAGATTTGTTCATGTATTACGTTCATTTTTGGTTTTGAATTTCTCTTTTAGAGGTAGTTTCATGATTTTTTTCTATCGAGAAAATATATCGAGAATATGTTTTGGAAACAATGTTCCCTTAGAATGTACGATCAAGATTAACATATATTTTTTTTGTTGCTATAAATTGTGTAGATTTTGCTAAAAAATCTTTTGTAAAACCTATTTTTATTAAACCATAAATTAATAAGGTTTCCACTTGAGCGCATCATGAGTAATGAAATCAATTAGTATGGTTGTCACACAGATCCAAGGCTGATAACAGGGTTCACACTCGAATCCAACGTAAGAATCGTTAAGATACACAACCAATAAGAAGGGTTGGCACACAAACCCAAGACGGACATGGTTGACACTTTAGCGCAACTTAAGTACCGTTCAGACGGTACTTACGGTGGTAGGGCCACGCAGCAGCCTCAGCTGTTGCACGAATGGGCAGGCCCGTCCGGGTAAGTATCACGACCTCACAGAAGACCGGCGTAAAGTGGAAGTATGACAAATACTTTCGCGTTTCGTCTGGTGAGTGAGGTAGCCGGAGCCCAATTTTCAAAAGGTTGTCAACGCATCTGTAACCCTCGAGTGTAGCAGATGTCCATGGGCGGCGGTTTCACTTAACATCAGGTGAACCGTCTGCTCGTTTGACAACTTTTCGCATAAAAAAAAAAAAAAAGACACGAAAGCAATAAATAGGGTTGACACACAAGCCCAAGACGGACAAGGTTGAGACTTGAGCGCATCTTGAGTACCATTCAGATAGGAAAGCAATAAGTAGGGCTGGCACATAAACCCAAGACGGATAGGGTTGACACCTGTGCTCATCGTAAGTAGCGTTAGCGTTCAGACACGAAAGTAATAAATAGGGTTGTCACGCAGCCGCAGTGAGCACGCACCGGCACGCCTCGACGAGGTCGGCGTAGCAGCGCTCCTCGAGGCGGCGCAGCTGGGCGCCGAGGGGCGAGGTGGCCGAGGAGGCGGCGGAGGCGCAGGCGGCCGGCGCCGCCGCCCTCGGCCGCTCCACCTTCATCGGGAACACCACGCGCAGCCCGCCCGACATCAACCTGCACCGCCCTTCGGCCTTGAGGACTCCGCCCACCACGACCGTGCTCAACGTATCGAAGAGCAACGCGTACAGTGACTAGACTCAGCGAGACAACTTTTTTTAAAGCATTCTTTATCAGACAATGAAGTAATTCAAATGATTACACTCCCCTGGAGTTGAATTGAATATCTAATCACTAATATTAATACACACTAACACAGAAACTTTTCCTTTACAATATTTTTGTTTTTAATTATTAGTACATCTTAAACGTTTTCTGGGTTTCTTGTTGTACAAATATTGCCCCATTAAAAATTTTATTCTTTTTTTTTTTTTTTTTTTATTTTTTAGAAAAACATTGTCCTCACTTTAGAATAACGTTATCCTGTGTAAGGACGTTTTACAAACATAAATTGCACGAGGACAAACACCCAGATGCGAAACAACTATCTGTGGGTCGCACAAATAGTTGTTCCGTGTGGGAATCGAACCCACGAACCTCGACGCCGAATACTTTGGCAACTGCGCCGAGTCATCGAATCTCCTACATTCTCTTCTCTTCTCCCATTCTACGCAATCTATGTTGGTGGTAGTAATTTATATGTTGTTATTATTTGTATCTGGATCTTGGAAATCCGCTCTTATTCTCAAGAGCATACGCAACATTTCCGCGTGTGCCGTGTGCTTCCAAAGTGGTGGGTGGTAGAAAGGTAGGGGGCGCACTTGTCGACGTTGGGCCCGAGCTGCAGATAGGCGGTGGCGATGTCGTTGTTGAGCACGAGCCGCTCGGCCAGCAGCCCGCGCACCACCAGCTGCCGCAGCAGCCGCGCCGCGGCGCCGCGCTCCCACGCCTTGCACCTGCACAGGTTCACCAAGCGTGAACTCGCGTGGCCCCGGCTACCTCACTCGCCAGACGGAATGTAGAAGAGAAACACAGTACTGGAATGGCCATTTGTGAAACAGCTAACACTGTCGCCTGGCTTTAGCGCAGTTATGATTATGATTTGTTAGGTTGTATAGTAAGTCCCAACGACCACTGCGACCTTAGTGGTCTAGTATAATCTACCCTTCAAACCTTAACGATGGTGATCGTCAATGAAGTCTGGGTTTCCTCGGTTGCCAACTTGGGCCCTCCCGGTTCGCGACTCCTAACATTAACCAAGTTCTGTCTCTTCGCGCTCCACTCGCGGGAAAATAACTCCACTAGCACTTTATATATGCACACACAAAGACAAGCGTGCGTGCGTTCTTCCGTACATACATTGGACTTCCAAGTGGATGAAAAATGCCCCTCTGCTTGAGTGAGGGAGGGGAGATCACCTGCCGTGCAGCGGAGTAGCGCGAAGGTTCTCCAGCCGCTGCTGGTTGGAGCCGCGCAGCACGTCGGCCAGCTGCAGCAGCGTGAAGGGCACGCGCTCGCCGCTCAGGGCGCGCACGCTGCGCACGATCAGCTTGCACTCCTCCGTCACGTCCACCGGCTGGGGGGACAGACGACAGCCCGCGTATAGTGCACAATTTGTTTCATCCAGTTTTTAAAGTAAACAGGTTCAGTTCGATACAATATCTAATTTTCTGAAGAAAAAACCAGTTCAAATCAGTTATTAGCTAAAAACAAGAATGGACCCAGAATCGGTCCCTGAGAAACACCCATTACTTACATTGTGATCTGATGCCTAAACAAGATATATCATTAATCGTTACATTTTATCCGCAAAACATGGTGTAGAAAGCTCAAGTGCGGACATTCGTACGCGACAAAACATTAATTTTACAATTAAAACATCGTGATGCACGCAGTCGAACGCTTGCAAAGATCCCTAAGTGTCGGCCGTACCGTGTAGTGGTCGGCGGCGAGGCAGTTGTCGCAGGCGGTGCGGGGCTCCCTGGCGCAGAGCTCGCTGGCGAAGCGCTCGCCCAAGTAGGCCAGCACCTGCGCGCGGCGGCACTCCGCCACGCTCTCGCAGAGCTCCACCATGCGCAGCAGGTTCTCCACGTGCACTCGCCGCGCCTCCGGGCTGGTGTTGCGCTCCACTGCCGACGGCGGCATTCGTTAGCCGTCATCGCGTTAGCTGCTGCACGAATGGGCGGGCTCGTCCGGGGAAGTCCGGGGAAGTAACGCGGCGGTGAGCGAGGTAGCCGGGGCCCACTTTATTCAGAGGTGGCGACGCATCTGCAACTCCGCGAGTGTTGCAAATGTCCGTGGGCGGCGGTCATCGCTTAACATCAGGTAAGTACGCTTAACATCTCGTAAGCCACTTTGTTACATTAAAAAAAATCATCATCATCGTCAGCCGCAAGACGTCCGCTGTTGAACATAGTCCTCCCCTAAGAACGCCACAATTAGCCAGCGGCTTCTAAAACATAGACTATTCGGTTATGGATTTTCTAGGCCATAGAGAGAAGTAATCGGGCTTGATATCGACTTTGATATTGGCTGTCTGTGACTTTAATAATATTTACATGATATTTGTGATAGTGGACTTGGAATTCAAAAGCTATTCAACACTATATTGTGATCTTGTTAATTACCAAGTTCAATAACAAACGATGATTATTATTATTGACCCCTCAGTAAAACTCTCTAGCGAATGACAAGCCCGACCGACCTTCTCTGGTAAGTAAAGAATGGTACGAGACCAACCAGGTTTTCTTATGTGAAAACTCGTCAAGCGAGCTGGCGGTTCACCTGATGCTAAGTGACTACCGCCGCCCGTGGACATCTGCACCACTTGAGAGGTTTTAGATGCGTTGACGACCTTTCAAAAAGTGGACCACGGCTACCTCACTTTCCAGACAAAAAGCGAAACCATCAGACAAAAGCGAGTCAACTTGACTTGCAAGCTGCTTTGCAACTAGACCCAAATAGAATTGCTTTTTACTTTAACTGGCAACCACGGGACAGGCTTCGCCTAGTGTGGTGCCAATGCACAAATTAACTGTAATTCTGTTTGTCAATTGACGCATTTTCTTTCACTTTCCTTGACCAATGTAAATTTAGTGGAATTTAAGCTATTTTTTATGCACAGTTAGTACAAAGGCGGACTTAATGCCCAAGGCATCATATCCCTGTCAACCTTGGAGTAGTACAGTGAAGATGTTACGTTAGTATTATATGACGAGTGCCCCATACTGTGAACGGCGTTGACATATAGTGGGTACTTCATGAACGTATTTCCGCGGACTTAGCACTATCACCGGCGTTATTCCCTAATATAGAAGTCTGTGGGGGAGGCCTCTGTTGCAGTGCAGCAGTGGACTCGAACAGGCTGAAATGATGATGATGACGATGATTCTCTGATATGTGCGGGGGGGGGGGGGGGGGATGCTCACTGTCCAGCAGGCGCCTGTAGCGCAGCACGTCGCTGTAGGAGTAGTAGAGGAGGCACTCGGCCGGCTCGCCGTCGCGGCCCGCCCTTCCCGCCTCCTGGTAGTAGCCCTCCACGGACTTGGGCAGGCTGTGGTGAATCACGTAACGCACGTCCGCCTTGTCCACGCCCATGCCGAACGCCACCGTGGCGCAGATCTGCCGGCCACCACACCTTTCTTGGGTCCGGGGTTCACACAGGCGGCGGCGTCGTTATTAAAGTAAAAGTTGCAGCCTTTACGTCCCCGGGGATTGGCTCACTTCATACATCTTCGAAACATTTTTTTTTTCGTTGTTATTTCGAAAATATGCAGGTTTCCTCACGATGTTTTCCGTTACCGATGGGTACGTGATATGTCAGCACTTAAAATTAACAATTTCATTCGTGACGGCGCCGAGAATCGAACTCGGTTTGCTTGCTCGATTATATTGAATTAAAAGCAAGCGCCCATACAACTCATACATATCAAAATCATACATATCTCGGAACAATCCTCAGAATTAAATGTGTTGTAAATGGATGTTGTCTATAAATTTACTGTGGTAGGGTAACACTATAGTATTCACTGTTGCACAAATTGGCAGATCCGTACGGGTAAGTACCACGATCTCACAGAAGACCGGCGTAAAGTAGAAGTTCCTCGCCCGCCAGACGCAGAAGTGTCCGCTTCCACCTCACGCCGGTGTCCCGTTCAGCCGCGGGACTTCCCCGGTCGGAGCCGCCCACTCGTGCCATTCTCCTGCGGCCTCCCGCGGACCTGCCCACTCGTGCCACCGCCGCAGGGCCGCTCACCACTTTGAAGCGGTCGGCCACCCAGCCGGCCTGCACCGCCTCCCGCTTCTTGTCGGCCAGGCCAGCGTGGTACGCCGCCGCCTGGATGCCGACCTTGCGCAGCTCCAGGGTCAGGCTCTCGCACTCCTTCCGCGAGAGGCAGTAGATGATGCCCGAATCCCTGAGACGGAGGAGGGCAAACGTGCGAACGATACTCCAAAACAAAACAGAAGATAACGTATAGTTAAAACTTTGAATAACCCAGCCACACGAAAAATACTCTGAAAAGAAAAAATAAAAGCGCCGGAGCCATGACAGGAACCATGTTTTCTGCATGTTGTATGATTACGGTTACTCGTACCATGCGGCATCGTTAATTATCTGTCTAACGCCTTCTTTTTGAATCGAGACTGTAATTTTCTGAGCAATTGAACATACTATTTGATGCTACAGCTTCAGCTAAAGGTTGGCGTGGAGACCAGTGAAGTAACAGCACGCCAAATTTCAAATCAATCGGACCTGTGAGAGTTGGCAAAACCCTTTTTGTCAAGTATAAAAAAAGGAAATGAGCTGATGGTTACTCAAACGCCGCAAATCAATCTTCCTATATTGCAACCTATATTTCTCAAACAGAAAAAAACCCGCATCGCATTTCGTCCATAGGTTTGGAAACTACGGTCCACAGACACACATACAGGTACACAGCATAGACAGACACGACAAACTTAAATCGCCCGTATTTCACGTCGGCGTTAAACCACAAGTGAACGTTCCATGGTCTTCAAGAAGCTTTCGAGAGACAAGTGAACCTTCCATCGTCTTCGAAAAGCCATGGAGAGACAAATAAACCTTCCAAGGTTTATTTGTCTCTCGATTTGTTTAACGGTGGTAGAGCCACGCAGCAGCCTCGGCTGTTGCACGAATGGGCAGGCTCGTTCGGGTAAGTACCACGACCCCACAGAAGACCAGCGTAAAGTGGAAGTATGACAAATACTTTCGCGTTTCGATTGGTGAGTGAGGTAGCCGGAGCCCAATTTCCAAAAAGGTTGTCAACGCATCTGAAAACCCTCGGGTGTAGCAGATGTCTATGGGCGGCGGTATTCACTTAACATCAGGTGAACCGTCTGCTCGTTTGGCAATTATTCACATAAAAAAAAAAAAAAAGGTCTTCGAGAAACCGTCGAGCGCGCACCTGAAGTACTTGCCCTTGATGAGCTTGGCGATCTCCTGGTTGACGAGCTTCGGCCTCTTGGGCAGCACGCGGTAGGCGAGGTTGGGGCGGTTGAAGCTGCTGAGGAACCACTTGCACTTGCCGAGGCCGAGCTGGTGCAGGATGTCCAGGCGCACCCTGGGCGCCGCGGTGGCCGTGAGGGCCAGCAGCCGCGCGTTGCGGTAGCGGGCCCTCAGCACGCCCAGCCGCTTGTAGTCCGGCCGGAAGTCGTGGCCCCACTGCGACACGCAGTGCGCCTCGTCGATCACGAACCTGGCCCAGACCCTCCGTGAGCCCCTCGCCGCGACCTCGGCTAGGGACGCCCGAAACGTATCGATATATCGATATTTTCAGTCGATATATCGATATTTTGTCAAATTCGAATCCGTAGTTGGCAATCATTTAATGCTTGGCGTACCTTTTTTTTCGGATGACTGGGTTTTTAGGAACTAAAGAGGAAATATCGACATAACGATGTATCGATGCCGATATTGATATTTTAATAAATATCGATAATTTTCTTCACTTTCGACATCCCTACTGTTAGCCCCTCGGAGCTGTCGATTGAGCAGCCTGCGACACCTAAGCGCTTATTGGTACGTTGACTCCGGCTACACACCGGTCTTCTGCGAGGCCGTGGTACTTCCCCGGAGGGGCCTGCCCATTCGTGCAACAGTAGAAGCTGCTGCGTGGCCCTACCACAGATAAATATTCTCGTTACTTCGTCATTAAGCTATCAGATCCTCGTAAGAATTTGATCAGACCAAATATTAGTAAGACCATCACTGGTTTGTCATGAAAGGGACAAATTCTTAATAGGACTTTATTAAATTGTTGAAAGGTTTGAAAAGGCTTCCGAAGCTATATGTTACTATTAGCATCCAGCTTATAAGAAAAACAAATTGATATCAGACCACCATAAAACCTTTATCAAGATGAAATCGTAATGGCCTATACTTAATCCATTATCATATTTACGACAAGCCACAATTGATGCGAGAGAGATTTATTAAACATCGAAATCAGTCAAAATATTATGATGACACAATTGTTAATTGTTTATGCTGTAATTTTTTAAGCAAAAAGAAAACATGTTTTAGATGTGTCAGCTGTCAGTTGACTTGTGTGGGAATCAAACCCACGACCCTCGACCTAGCCAACAGCTTGACAACCGCGGCACGGAGCCATCAAAGTCAGTCATCAATCACCTCAATCCAACTTTCCTTGCCAGTTGAAAACAGAGAATCCTCCGTTACCTCGCTATCTTATCCCTGGAGTAGAGCGCGTCTAGCATCGCCTGGAACTTGGGCGAGTTGCTGATCTTCTCCGGGGTGACGTAGAGCAGCTTCAGCAGGGGCTCCCTCATGGACAGCTTGTGGTAGATCTCGTCGCACGCGGCCAGGGATACATCCCCCGACAGATGGCCAGCTGGGATCTGAAAAACGAAACTTACATTGGAGACCACCGATCAACCCGTTCTGCTGTGGTTAAGTGGGGTGACCGGTCCGCGATGTGGCACTCACAAAAGACCAAGAAAACAGATGTGTTTACGTTTAGGCTTTCGTCTGGCGAGTGAGGTAGCCGGAACCCACCTTTAAAGGTTAAACTTGCCCCGTGGGAGGTGAAACTTACTTACACTTAGAAACATGTTACACAACAATCTCAAGTTACAAAAGCAATTTCAATCTTGACACTGATGGTATTTAAGGTCTCATTATAGCGAATTTCTAAGGGAGATAATATACACGTATATCTCAGCATTAACGAATCTCAGAAAATATATCTATCAAAAAATATAAGAGACTTTTATATTTTACTTAACATTATCTTGCGGACATTGGTGTTAGTTGTATGTTTAATATAGTTCCAAATTCTGTTTCATGTATACTTGTTAATGCATAACTGTTTTACGTCGAAATAAATAAATAAATAAAAGTAATTACGTGAAAAACATTATAGAATGATAGGAAACTCAGTTGTTCATATGTAACATACCATTTCTGTGCTCAAGAGTACTAGAAGTGATTCTAACTTGAAAATGTACTAACGTCGAGAGACAGCAACTTGTTGACTTGGTCCAGGATTAAAGACTTCAATGGCGATATCACGATCGTTACACCAGGTGTCAGCACAGCTGGCAACTGGTAGCAGAGGGATTTGCCTGTAATGTTTTGTGCAACGCTTAAATTTTTTTTATGATAAAAGAAAAAGAAAACAAAGTGCCTGCCACTCTCCTTTCGAGCTAGTACACCTGATGTTTAGTGATAATTGCCCATTGACATTTGCAAAACCCGTAGGCTCGCAGATGCTTTGCCATATATGGATAAAGTGGGCCCTGGCTACTTCCCTCACCAGAGGAAACGCAGAAGTGCAACAATTCCACTTCACGACAATATCTACGAGATAGTGATACCTATTCAGACGGACCTGCCCATTCTGTACATTTATACAGCGTGTCGTTACAACCACGACAATAAATGTACACAGGTCTAACGCTACTTGCCAATAATTATAAAAAAATATAAAACGTTAAAAAATTAAAATCCATAATTAAAAAAACAAATTTTTCAAACAAACTAATTAAGTAATAAACAAAACAAAATTTGTAACATCCTATACAACTACAACTTACTGATTCATACATTCAGAGACTTTTTCATTCGTTGCCACAGCGTCGCATTACAAGCCTCTCCTTCTAACATTACGTTTTGTCTCTTTTAAATTCATTCAACCCATTCATATGCTTTGTGACCTTTACAAATATACTTTACGTTACAGTTTTATACGTAAGGATGTTCTAAAATTCTTTGTTTTGGAAAATTTAATAACTCCGTAAACATTGATGTTTTAAGAAAGCAAATATTTAATACAATTTTAAAAAATTATCCTCTATATGTGTGTTTATTTATTGTCGCTATTGTAAAGACACGCTGTATATGTATATTTTACTATCACTTAAAGTGAATTTGGGTCGCACTTTATTTGCTTTTGTCAATAATACAACTATTAATGCAAAATAACTCAATTATGTTAGCAATCGATGACGAAGGTATTGGGTTCGGCGACGGGTAATTTATTGCAAAATAATGTTACCTATTGTCGACACAAGTTTAAATTTAATCACGTAGATACTAATGATATCATAAAAGCCTTGAATTCTATTAATCTTAAAAGTACAGAGGATTTATGGGGCATGTCCATAAAATTAATGACCACAATAATGCCATATATAGCACCACATTTAGCTTACATTTTTAATAACTGTATAGATTCTGGAATATTTCCAGATCTTATGAAATTTAGTAAGATAATCCCCGTCTTCAAAAGTGGGGATAAAAATGATCCAGGTAACTATAGACCTATTTCCATATTGCCATCTCTAAGTAAAATATTTGAAAAACTAATTTTAAATCAACTATTAGTACATTTTAATATGAACAAAATTTTTCACGATGAGCAATATGGATTCACTAAAGGCAGGTCGACAACCGATGCGGGTGTCGCACTTGTTAAGCATATCTATAACGCCTGGGAAAGGTTACAAGATGCATTAGGTGTCTTTTGTGACCTTTCAAAAGCCTTCGACTGCGTAGATCACAATACCCTTCTTTGCAAGCTAGATTATTATGGCATTCGTGACAGCGCCCTCAATCTCATCACCTCTTACCTTAGTAATAGAATTCAAAAAGTATCTATAAATGATGTCAATTCCTCAGGGTCCCCCATGAAAATGGGTGTACCACAAGGATCAATCTTGGGCCCATTTTTATTTCTAGTATATATAAATGTCTCCCCTCCTATGCCAGTGAGTTTTGTGATGTTGTACTGTTTGCTGACGATACATCACTCATATTTAAGGTTGACCCAAATTTATCCAATTATGACGACGTAAATGGTGCACTTTCGCATATCCTTCACTGGTTCACCATAAATAATATGGTATTAAATGCCAAAAAAACTAAATGTATTCTTTTTACTCTTCCTAGTGTGAGAAGGCAAAGTTTTAGTTTATTATTAACTAACGTATCCCTCAATCCTGTTGAGTCTGCAGTTTTCTTGGGGATTACAGTAGATTCAAAGCTTCAGTGGAGTCCCCATCTATCATCTCTTGCGAGTAGGCTAAGCTCCGCTGTTTTTGCTATTAGGAAGGTTAGGCAGCTAACAGACATCGACACTGCCAGACTTGTTTACTTTAGTTATTTTCACAGCATCTTGTCGTACGGAATTTTGTTGTGGGGTAGTGCATCTGATATAAATTCTATATTTATTCTTCAAAAAAGCTGTCCGAGCAATCTATAACATCGGAGCCCGGGATACACTCAAGAGATATTTTTAAAGAGATTAATATACTCTTTGTTGCGTCCCAATATATTTATTGTAATATCTTGTACGTTAGACATAATCTTAATTGTTATCTAAAGAATAGTGACAGACATAAATTAAATACTAGAAATAAGGACAAATTAATTACACCATTGTTTCGTCTAAAAAAAGTAAATAGATCGTTCATGGGGCAAAGTGTGCGCATGTATAATAAAATCCCACAATCGGTATTAAGTCTGCCACTAGATGAATTTAAACGCAAAATTAAACGCGAACTTATGGCTAAGGCATATTATACCATTGCAGAATATCTTGACGACGCCAATGTGTGGGGTTAATGCTGTTGATACTCACGTAGGCTAAAATGACATACTTGTTCTATTATATTGTAAACTAATCGTTTTAAAAAAGAGCAACTGTTGAGTTTCTTGCCGGTTTCTTCTCAACAGAAACTGCTTTCCTAAACGGTGGTAACTTACGAACGTATTAATTTTTATGTAAAATTTTTGACATTTCATAAGAACGCGCAAGCGTCTATGTGAATAAACATATTTTTGATTTTGATTTTGGTACGTGGGTTCGATTCCCACACAAGACGACTATTTGTTTGACCCACAGACAATTCTGATCGGGGTGTTTGTCCACGTGAAATTTTTGTATGTAAAACCACCGCAGGATAATGGTATCCTACAGTAAGAGGCAAACTTTTGCCAAAGTCTCCGTGGTCGTGGCCACTTGCCCAAGCCCTTCCACAGACAATCCAACTGGAGTCGGCACTCACCACCGCCCGTCGGCATCAGCACGAAGCAGTCGTGGCCCAGCAGCGTGGCGTTGATCACCTGCAGCTGGTTCGGCCGGAAGGACTTGAGGCCGAACTTCTCGCGGAGCATTTCCATCATCAGCGCCGAGTGCGGGTAATCCAGCCCGTCGAACTCGCCTGCCGAATGCCGCATTTGATACTACCTTTATTGCTACTTCATTTATTGGTTTAAATATAGTAAAAATGGTTTCTATACTCGTTAGCAGCAAAGAATAACCAAGACCTAATAAGAGGAAACAATTATTTTAAAGAGATTGATGAATCTATCCGGAGACAATCTTACTAATATTATAAACGCGAAAGTTTGTATGTATGAGTGGATGTTTGTCACTCTTTCGCGTAAAAATAGTATTCAGTAGAATAGATTTTAATGAAACTTTACAATAATATAGCTTATACATCAGAATAACACACAGGCTATAATTTATAAAGATATTTTGTGAATTGTACAAAATATAGATAATGATAAGGGTCAACTAAGTAGGAAAAAAATCAGCTATCTGCAAGATATTCTGGTGTAAAATAAAAAATTCATTGTTAATTTACTATGGCCAGCGCGGGCGCCGTAAGAAATGGGGACTTTTAATAAAAAAAGTCTTGACTCAAATATTATAAATCATGGACTTTGTGGATTACAACAGAAGAAGTACCTATTAATAACATTAGCTTTTACTCGTAGCTTTGCTCGTGTGACCTTTAGAAAATGAATTGTTGATGTCTAAATGAAAGTGTTACCATAGAAATATCTATTTACAGCACTCTTTTTAAACAGATAATAGTATATTTTGAAAGTAAACAGTTGCTTTCTATGGGAAAAAAGTATTGTATCTCAATGCAAGGTAGAAGGAACATCCATTCACATTTATTACTGTGATAGGCCAACAGCAGAAACTGTTCCGCTGTTTGCTGGGGAAGTGACACGGCATCACAGAAGACTGGCATGAAGTATTTATAATGACTTCGAACCACTTTTTAATAGTGGTACGCATCTGCATTCAGCCTTCGGGTGAAAAGAAAAAGGAAAAAAATATCTATGAAATCTTTTTATACATCGCACTCGACGGATTGATGACTCCGTGGCGCAGCTGCCAAGGTATCGGCTTCGGGGTCGGGGGTCGTGGGTTCGATTCCCACACGGGACAACTATTTGTGTGACCGACAGATAGTTGTTTCGCATCTGGGTGTGCGTTTGTCCGCGTGAAATTTATGTTTGTAAAACTTGCAACACAGGTTAATGTTATCATAGAGGGCAACGTTTATTAAAAAAAAAATGAAAATGAAGTGAAATGGAATGATTCGGAAACGGAAGTGCGCACGTACCGGTGATGCCGTCGTTCTGCGTGCCCGCGTGGAAATCGCCCATGCCCTCGTACTTCGCGGGGGGTTCCCCCGGGGCGGGCCGTTGCGAGCCGACCGCCGGGGGCTCCTCCGCCGCAGCCACGTCCCCCTCGAAGTCCTCCAGCCTGTACTCTGGCCAGCCGTCCTCGTCCACCGGTATGGCCTTGTCGTCGATGACGTCATCGCCCACCGAATCGCTGATGCTGATCACGCTCGCCTTCGAAATTTCCACCGCGTCCGTGTCGTCCATATCGACGGGCACGCAGTCTTCTGTCTCGTCGTAATCCTCGCTCTCCATCAGCGAGCTCCTGCTCAAGTAAGGGGGTTGGAATCTAACCGAGCTGTCCGCGACCGGGGCGCAGACCCTGGGCGGCTGGTCTACCGGCTGGAGCGGCCGCAGCCTCTCCGAAGCGGTCTTCAGTCGGTCCAGAGTGGACGAGGGCAAGTCGTGGACCGGAGTCGAGTGGCCGCTGGTGCTGAACCGCGACGGCCTCTTGAATACGAACTTCCCCTTGCTCCTGGTGACGTCAGATGAGTCCGCCGCAACGTCTGAGTGGATCTTCACCTCGTCTATCGGCGAGAAGGCGTCGAGCGACTGAGTATCAGTTGCGGCTAAAAACGAGCACTCACTTTTTCGTGTTTCGCATCTACCCTCCAAATCTGGAGTGGACGTGTTAGTGTTGTCTATCGAATTTTGAGTATTCTCCAATTTGATGGTTTCAAGGTCGAAGTCGTTCAGATCGTCTTCCTGGTCGTCTATCACAGATCGATTTGTACTGTTGTTTGAATTATGGCTATTCTGTTCAATATTTTCACTGTTCAACTTAGTCCTTTGTCCTACGCGCGATTTTCTATTGATAACACATTTCAACTTAGCGCCTAGATGTTTCATTTTTGTGTATGTTTTACAGTCGTAACCCGGGAATTTATTCTTTATACAATTCGGTATCCTATCGAAGGCACTGCTTATTTTCTCTAGTAACTCTATGTACATTGATTTACACTCCTCCAAGTTGTTACTGATGACGTGTTCATCCTGAAAATAATAAAACTTGCAGCTTCAGAAAAAATTAAAAGATAGTACACCTTACTAGTCATGTCTTCGCTATTTCACTAATGTCTAACAAGGGCTTCACAGAAGGCCAGCGCGAAGTGGAAGTGTTCTTCTTTAGGTTTGATCTGGTAAGTGAGGTAACCGGGGCGCACTCTATTGAAAGGTGGCAACGCATCTGCAAAGCTACGAGTGTTGGTGATGTCGATAGGCGGCGGCTATCACATAACATCAGGTGAAACACCAGCTCGTTTGCCATCACTCTCACAATAAAAAAAGGTTACTATAACTTATTTTATTGTTTAACAAAGTCATACCTTCTCCGTTTTCATCAATGCTGGATGTGATGATATTTTTTTCAATAAATCAGAAACCGATCCATCTAGCTTTAAATCCTTCAAGGGGTCTCTGTCTTTTGCTGGGCTGCACTTCTTTGGGGTACGCAATGTTTGTGTTTTTGATGCAGCCCGCTCTGCACTTTTCTTCGGTGGAGTTGGTGTTGCACTTATCCTCACTGATCTATTGAACTTCTCAGGGGAGGGAGTCTTCTCGTGGGTCTGATTATGATCCTAATCAATAGAGTAATATTTAACTTATTTAATATTACTACTAAATATTTCATATTCATATTCAGTAACAAAATAATACCCCTACCAATTTATGTGGTCCACAAACTGTTATTCCCATTCCAAATCAAAGAAGTAAAGTACAAAAACTGACATATAAAATTTATTGTATTTATTTTGTTGCTTACAATAACAATGAGTGTTAAATATGATGGGAAGACACTGTAGTCTGTAACGCAGTTGTAAATTATCACAGGCTACAGGGCTTCGAATCATTACAGGTTTTTCACTTTTTTGTAACCAATAAACTTATTGTTAATAAAATCATAAATAAACTTACCACATCCATAGCTTCGAACATATCATTGCTCTGATTGCTTTCAAGTTTTTTAACACTGTCCGCCTTATTTGTACTATGAGTTTTATTAACATTATGATTTGATAATATACTCGGTGGTCCATTAATTTTATCATATTTATTTTCAGAAGCCTGTTAAAAAATAAAAATAATATAAAGTTATAATAAGAATCTTATCCAGGCAGATAAAGCACAACATACTATAAAATACAACCATAACCATTACCTTAAATAAAAGTGAACATTATATGTGAGTGAACATGAATATTATTCTTAGTTTGTTTTTATAATTGTAATAATCAAATAAACTTACATTTTGGCTCTTCCTAATATCATTGTTAGTCTTGAATGGTGGGGTCCCTAAAAGATATAAACAATTGTGATGACTGTGTGAAACAAATCTGTATATATAAAAATAAATCCCTGTTTCCCTTGGTCACGCCATCACATGTAAACGGCTGGACCAATTTCACTTTTTTTTTGTATTTGTTATTATCAGGAGAAGGTTCTTATGAAAGAAAAAATTTAAAAAATTGCCTGAAAAAGTCTAAAAACAACAATTTTCTACATTCCCGTACAAAAGATTTGTAATAATACTTAAAAGTCAATTTGAACTTTAATACCATACCATAAAGTTTAAGTGCTAGTGGAGGCGTTCCGGGAAGGCAAAACAAGTGAGTGACTGTGGTAAAATGTCGCTTGAAATGTAAATGTCTCTTTGCTGTGCATTACTACATAGTATAAAACAAAGTAGTCCCACTGTCTGTCCGTCCATATGTATGCTTAGATCTTTAAAACTACACAATGGATCTTGATGTGTTTTTTTTTTACTAGATAGAGTGATTCAAGAAGAAGGTTCATATGTATAATACATTGCACTTGTGCGAAGCCGGGGAGGGTCACTAGTTGTAATATATTTACAAATTGGTTTATACTTCGTATAAATCAAATGTGACAAACAGTTGATTGCAATGTAATTGTCCATAATAATATATTGTAAATACACATAAGTGTATTAACAAAATATAAAAATACCCACAATTTTCTGTCGAAGTTGAGGTTTTAGACTTCCAAACAAATTTTGATTTTTTCTCAGAGACCAGCTCATTTGAGTAACTAAAAGTAAAAAAATCATCATAATTGGCTTACAATTATTAAGACAGATAATAATATTCATTTATAAGTAAGGACATTCAAAAATTTTAACAATTTTATTTATCCTTTCAGAAACATTATTAACAATTCATTATTATTTAAAAAATAGAACGAACTTAAGTTATGAAAATAAAAATAAAATTAGCTTTATAGTACAATATTTAACCCAAGAAAAGAAGTTCCTGCCAACCTACCTTTGATTATTGTTGCCCAATGTGTCGAGATTTTTTTTAACAAAGGACATGAGTGAACTTTGTTTGCTGCTAGTGGAAACTTTTCTTGTAGTCATTTTTCTTTATTACAAATTATAATTATACAAACTCATTAAACGAGATAAATATTTCCGCTCTTCTTATTAATATTAAACAATATTTTTAACTGGCTGTCACTATTAAATGTCAAAAATTCAAAAATATTTTTTTATATTATATTCAGGATATAGCTACGAAACATTCAGCCTTTCGCGTTCCTTTCCATCCAATTTAATATCCATAAATGTTTAATTAATTCATTGATCAATTATAAGTAAATATCAAAAAGTTGTTGTTGATTGCCATGAACGTGAACTTCACGTTCATCATGTCGCTTTCTGGTCTGGAGTTCGGTGTGAACGCTCATTGTAAAAACGTTTCTCTCATAATTTTCTTTAAATGCGCCAAAAGAAGTACAACTCCAAAAACTAGCGTGTGAATATAGTAAAAAACCTGCCAAGTGTGAGTACGATGAAGTCGTGCACGAAGGGTTCTGTACTATAATGGTGCCGGGACAGAAATTGACGAGCCGCCCCGTCAACCCTGTAGTCGTGGGCTTATAGAATATGGATAAGGTATCCACTGCCTGTCGTAAAATGCAGGACAGCGACAGATTGGCAGTAGCTTGAAGTGGTCACGAGCTGCTGCAAGATGGCGAGGGAATCGGGGAAGGTCTATTTTTTTCGAGGCTTGCTCACGCGCAATTCAGAGGGACACCGGTGCATTCCGCGGAAGAGCGTGCGTTACAATAAAATAATAAAAAGACGAAAGATGTGAATGAGAATATGCTGCCATCTATAAAAAAATAAGCGGTTTAGCGGGCAATTTCAAAGGTGTTCTTTTTATTTGTGTTTACAGTGATGCGCACGCATCTTAAAATTTCACTCTCAATATTTTCTTAACGCGCCTAAAGAAGTATAACTTCAAAAAAGGGGTGGGTCGTGTGGTATAGCTAGCGAGGGACGAGCAGCGTACTAATCTTTCCAAGAAAAGGAATTGAGCATGTATTGATTATAGCCTGTTGACTTCGGCAACTGGCAACACCACAAAACAGAACTCAAAACTGGCAGAACAAAACATTTGTTTTGTTTCATTACGAGTGTAGTTTTTAGTAAGAGTATGAGAATTATAAGCTAAAAAAATGTCCCTAAGAAAAGTTCTATCATTAGCAAGGACTACTTTCCGAAGTACTGCAGCTGTACAATCATCTTTTTATTCAAGAAATGTTTGTTTACTCTCTGCAAATTCAGCACGATTTTTTTCTGACAAGAATCTAGGTTAGTTTTTTCCGATTTGTAAAACTTATTTTAAAATGCATTCACACATAACTAATTGATAAGCATTAAAAACGTGTATTCTAATAATCTGTGCTTCTTCAGATTGAAGAAAAGTTCACGTTTACATGTATTATTTTTTATAATCAAATGAAGTTTACCCTTTAAAGCGTATAAATATTATTAAAATAAACTGCTGCACTCGATTACTTTTATATTTAATAAAAGTTGCCCTTTAATAGTGCTTGGTAAAAATTTCCAGTAGTTTCCGGATGTTTTACAGCTTAAATTTTTTTTAAATAAATACATGTTTAATACACTCATAATTTTACAAAACTTCTTTCGAGCCCTAGTTATAGCCGATACTAAATAGATATTTACACAGGGCAACAAAATAAAAGCGAATCGGAGCCTGAAAAGGTCGACATTATTGGTCGCCTATTTCCAAAGTCGCCTCTAAATTCAGCAGATGCACAGGAAATAAAAAAGGAACAGGAGAGATTTGAAAAAGAAAACAAAGAGAAATCTGAAGAAAATGAAAAAAGTTGGAGAAGAATGAAAATGGGGTAAGATTTTATTTTTACAATGTAAATGTAAAAGAGGGTACAAATTAGACACTTTGAACAATTTGAACTTAGCTCTGTGCTTAATTATTGATTGTGTGCTTAATATATGATTTTTTTTTTACATAGGTTTGCAATATTTGGTGGAGCCGTTACAGTGATGGGAGGTTGCCTAGTGGTAGAAATGGGTGCTCCAAGGCGAGATGACGAAGGAAATATAATCGAGGATGAATTTAGTAATCTGCCTGTTGTACTGCAATACTTAAAACGCACATGGAAAGAGCTCACTTTCTATGAGAAGGTGAAGTAATAGAAATCTATTTGTCTTATGTTTAATCAATATGTAAATGGTGTAATGCATGATAGTTTTCAATAATAAAAGACCATTGGCCAACTAAATGTGCAGTTTAAAATTAATTAAAATGGACATAAGAAATTATTGAAACACTTTTATGAATCAAATTTCTTATTTGATATGTTGTAGTATTGTTATAAAAAGGTAATATTTCAAGGAGTTAGTTTGGATGTAATTGCTTACCTCTGAAACTATGAAATCTGCTGCATAATATTTAAATTACAATTTGCTATCATTTTGTTTTTAATCAATATTTGTACAACAATATTATATTACCAGAATAATTTCCTACATATTATATAATTATATTTGTCTCTTAACATAATCTAGATATTTGTCACTTAACAAGCCACCATCAAATAAGTGGGCACTTTTACCAACATTATCCTGAAAATAAGTGTTAGTTGTATTTCTAGTATGAGAATTGTCAGATATTTAAATAGTACCATTAAAATTCATCACATTGCAATTGATCTACCATTATAAAGCATTTGGATAATTTTTCTTTGCTTCAGATGATTAAAGAACCTTCACGCGAGAAATTGCTACCCGATCCTCTACCACCGCCGTATCAACCAACTTACACGCTCGTTTTAGAGTTCACAGATGTCCTCATGCATCCAGACTGGTCCTATCAGACTGGTTGGAGGTAATGAAACTTATATATTGAGTGAGGATTGCCTAAAAAATATAATAATTATTGTTGTGCATATGTTGCCTTTACTGTAGTAGAGTCCTATAGGCTTCTCTGGGGACCTATAACTAACTTAATTTTTACAACGAAAACATAAATATGATTTTTTATTGATCTAATATGTTTGATTTTTACTAATAGTACATCTCTTAGTAAACATTAGTTAGTTTGGACTAGACCACATTTTGTAAAAATGTTTCCCCCAAAATGTGTATTTATTTAAATATAATAAATTGTATAAAATACTAGTGGCCCGCCCCGGCTTCGCGCGAGTAACAATAAGTTTAACAAAAAAATAAAAATTATCATACACACATAAAACCTTCCGAATGTTTCGTCTGTGGTGAATAATTTTATGAATTTCTTAATCTTTTAATAAAATATCCTTGAAGTTACGTTATGAAGATCGAAAGATCGCTGAGCAGATAATGGTTCCGCTTTAATTACGGGACATTCGGGGTTACACGTAAAAGTGACAAATAAGTCTGGTCTTCCATAGCTTCAGACATAAATCATCGCATCTTTGGTTTTTTAATGCAGATAATTCGGGGAACCTGTAAATGAATATGACGTTGCAGATTGCGTTAACCGATATTTGATGGGCCAATGTCTCGATTTAAAGCATCTCTAAGATGAATGTTTCACCAGCCCTCAGTCTCTGGTTATTATGACATAATATGTAATTCAATCTTTCTGATATCTTTTTGCCATCATATCGACAATGTATTGAATTAAAACCGGCCAAGTGCGAGTCGGACTCGCACACGAAGGGTTCCGTACCGACCTCACAGAAGACCGGGGTAAAATAGAAGTGTTATACTTCTACTTTTCGTCTGGTAAGAGAGGTTGCCGGGGCCCACTTTATTTAATGATGGCAACTCATTTGCAACCCTACAGGTGTTGCAAATGCCCATGGGCGGCGGTTATTACTTAACATCAGGTGAACCGACAGAACGTTTGCCACTCTATAACATTCCAAAAAATCATGTTTTAATATATTTATTCAATATAGAAGTATTACTCTTACACATTGTCAAAAACACTACTGCTGTCAACATTATCTATAAAACCGGCAAAAAAATCATGTCTGTTATATGGGAGCCCCTCTTATTTATAATTTTTTTTTTTTTAGTATTTAATGTTATAGCGGCAACAAATGACAACAAAATACATCGTTTCTGAAAATTTCAAACTATCACGGTTCATGAGATACGGCCTGGTGACGGATATGGACAGACATACGGACATACAGACGGACAGCGGAGTCGTAGTAATAGGGTGCTGTTTTAACCTTTGGGTACGGAACCCTAATAAATCCCAGTATAATGTAATGGATTAAAACAGGTAGCTCTAACCTTCAACCTAAATGCATAAAATTGCATGCATGTCACAGTTTTGTTACACACAGTACCTTGCTGAGGAATAGTCAAATATTAACCGTCTTCTCCTATTACGACTATTAAGAGATATTTTAGTGGATCATACAATCGGTGTAACTCAGAGACCCTTTTAAGTTGGCCGTGTCTACCGTGCAACAGTATATCTCTGGGGCCTTTTTAGGGTTCCATACCCAAAGGGTAAAACAGCACTCTATTACTAAGACTCCGCTGTCTGTTTGTCCCTCTGTCAACAGGCTGTATCTCATAAACCGTGATAGTTACAGACTTGAAATTTGATTTTTGAATTTAGGTTTTTTGGGTATTTGTTTCCCAAGGAGGCTTGATGTCAGGCAGGCGGCTGGTTGTAAAAATATAGTTGTGCCGATCCCTCCTAGGTGGGATAGGGGCAGGAGGATAATGATAACTTGTATACTTGTCCCTCTATTTTAAAAGTTCACGCTAAACGAAATCATATGAAAGAAGCTATTGCACTTTCGAATATTGGTTAAAAATGTCCAGAAGGTGAATGATATTTGTCAAAAGATTTTTTATTGGCTGTGGCGGCTCCTCAATATTGGGGAGACTAAATTTTCCAGAAGCACAGCACATACCATTTGGTTCATCGACCCATTTTTTGGCAGAACACTTAGAGCAGATCTTATTCATGGCTTAGATTTGAGCTTAATGCATTAAAGCTGATCTGTTACTGTGAGCTAAAAGTCGATTACGAACTCTAATCGTTGAAGTTTGTTGTCTTTCCCTCTAATCTCGTAGGCGTTGGGAACGCTTAGAACTCGACTTCCTAGTGTGAATTTGTATATTTATATTAATATGCTCTTCAAGCCGCTGCAAACACTACTTGACTCTCTCCGACTTTTAAGACTATTTTCAGTTTCCGGTAAAGATTCCTCATTACGACGTATTTTTGATGTCCTCGCCTGGAAACTATTTCTAGAAAGATGAGATCTTTAAAATGATAAAAAAATTAAACTGCCTTTGTATTTAATAAGATGCTAACTATCGAACAGAAATTACCAGTATAAATGTGATTGAAAAATTATAAGAACTACTAAGTCAGTCACTAAACTGTTTGGATAGTTAAATTCCAATATACTAACATTTTTAAACTTGTGATATCTCTCGAATGGAATGTCCGAATTTAATAATTCAAAAAGTTATATAAAGATATTGAAACAGTCTTAAATATGAAGTAATTTATTTTTATAAGGATTAATACCAAGATAAGAGCATTAATAACAAATTAAAAAAATAGTTTATAAGGATTAATAACAAATAAAGAGCCTTTTCTAGCGGTGGCATTTCAATCAAAATTTTAAAATAAAACAACACTTGTTGTGGCATAACCATAATAGTTAGACAAATGCTGCCGCGACACTTTTTGTAAATAATGATGTGTTCTGCAAACTCGTAGTACATTATTTTATTCTATCATCAATAGTTTTCGCAACGCACGTGATGTAAAGAATATTTTTGGTAATTTTTGTACACTTTGGGTTACATTATTGAAGTTTTAGTAAGGATCCCTATTTTTTTTTGAAAATATAATATAGCCTATATCAAGCAGGGATAATGTAGCTTTCCAACAATGAAAGAATTTTTCAAATCGGTTCAGTAGTTTCGGAGCCTATTCAATACATACAAACAATCAAATCTTTCCTCTTTATAATATAGATTTTGCAAAACATTGTTAAGATGAACACTGAGAATCAATTATTAAACTATAAATCAGGAATGTATATATCAGGATTTGATTTAACTTTACAGATTTAAGAAACGTCCCGGCGTAGACCAATTCCTGCAGGCGGTCTCCAGCGCCAATTACGAGGTGATCATCTTCACTTCGGAAAATGTATTCATGATCTGGCCTGTACTGGATAAGTTGGACCCGGAGAACAAGTACATCTCGTACAGGCTCTTCAGAGATTCCACACATTTCATTGACGGGGTGCATGTGAAGAACTTAGAAGGCCTGAACCGGGATTTATCTAAGGTGTGTATTGTATTTGTATTTTGTGTGAAAGTAACTCCCAACAATCACTGTAACCTAGAATGATCTATTATAGTCTCCCCTTGGATAATGTCCTAACTGAAGGACAACATTGTTCTGTGTTGTTAGAAATTGTAGTAACATTCCTTTACCAAACTATCATGTTCTTAATTTGAACTGTGATTGACTTTGAACTGTAGATGTCTAATGGTAAGTTAATTCTTCCCAGGTAATTGTGGTGGACTGGAACAAGCAAGCTATCAAATTCCATCCCCAGAACTCGCTAATTCTTAAGAAATGGAAGGGAAATGACGACGACACTGCTTTGTTGGACTTGGCCAATCTATTACAGAGTGAGTGTATATGGAATGTAATTGTTTAATCTCCAACCTCCAGGAGCCAGGAAAGACTAATTTTATTTTTCAAATCCTTCTAACTATAACTTACAGAAAGTCCATGGTAACCTTGGTCCGAGCTGATCCAAAAGTTACTTTAGAATACATATTTATTTGTGTAAAGTTATAAACGTTTTGTAATATAATATTTATATGTATTTAATTTAACTACAAAAATATTACCAGGTATCCAATATCAAATTAATTTGGACAACAGCACAAAAATATACCAAGTTCTTGCAATCCTTAAATGCAGGGTTTAATCTTAAGGGTTATGAGGATAAGGAAACCATTTGGCATGGCAGATTTCTTAGAATGTATGCAATAAAGCTGGGAATCCCTCTGGGATTGCACACAAAAACACGTTAAATTGTCTATGTATACTTTGAAGTTGCCACAACATGCATATTTGTTGTATTGCTTTGGTATAAAAGCTGTTAGTTAAATCACAAACTGTTCTTATAAAATAATAATTCTTGTATTTTATTCTTGAATTATTCAGGTTCTTTATGCTATAAGTTCTACTTTTGTTGTTTATTTCAATTTTTATATATAAGACTTGACTGACAATACAAGTGTAACTTAGGAATAGTCTAAATATCTTATCATACTAAAAAAATTACCAATTATAATTTACAGCAATCGCCATGTCAAACGTGATAGACGTCCGGGAGGTTTTGACATACTACAGCCAGTTCGACGACCCCATCGCAGCATTCAGGGAGAACCAGAGGAAGCTGATGGAACAGATGGAGGAGAAAGAGAGAGAGACGAAGAACGCCGAGCAACCATTGACGAGGAATTGGCTCAAGAGCTTCACCAGACGCTAGGTGCCTATTGGTTGTGCAGTAAGAACAGTGGAAGAGATCCCGTTTAGTTTTAGCTGGCACAGGCTGCACATACTCCGTTTGATGGCAAGCATCTAGCTGATTTCTTGCTAGGTTGTGAAATGCTATTTATTCGCGATTATTATTAAAAAAATTGATTTGCAATTCTACTGCGGTATGTTGTATACAAACATATTGTAACTTCAAGTTTCTTTCTCTATGTTTCTCAATGACTATTGAAGTAGCGACAGAGTTCTACAATCATTCTTTTCTTAATTTGATTTTGTTTAAACTTTAAAAAACATGAACTGTAATATTCAAGTAAATTTTCTGCCTGCCCTAACTCAATTTTATATTTTAGGTGTCTTAATAAATTGGAATATATCTACGCCTTGTAGTAATGTGTGTGGTTTAGTAAATTTTAACAGGTAAATGTTAAAAGTAATGACTGCTAATTTAAAACTAACTCACTGTTGCACCTGTCCTGGATTAGGCTCTTAAAAACAGTGTATTGAATGTTAAATGTGATTCATTCACAGTTCTTACTGTATAATTTGTACTATTTAAAGGGATGCTTAATGCATTTCTAACAGCTGGGCTTGGTGTGTTGAGACTAGTGTGCTTGCGGGTGTGTGATCTGGACGTAAAATTTTTTTTTACGTCCAGATCCTTTTTATTTATTTTTGCGCCATACTTCATTACTAATAAATAATATAAATATGGCATATTTGGCGAATTGCAATAAAATAACCTTTAATAAAACTAATTCTTATGTTCCACACATATTTCTGATGTTAAAATCATATTGCTTTATGGGAGTAGTATACCTCTATACCACAAGAAAAATTATTATGTTGAAAGGTTGACAAACTGAGCTAATGTTTCATCAATACTCAGATAGGCCTAAAAGTTGAAAACATCTCTACATATTCGCACCTTTAGCATTATGGTGAGCTATTTAAAAAAATATAAATTTTCGGGAAACATAAATTAAGATTTGTTCACTTATGAACAATCTGTTGATTGGCCCCTCCAATGAAAGAGACCGTAGTACGTTGTGTAGCTTTCTAAAATCGGCCCTCTTCTAATAGTCGAAAAATGTAGTCGTTTACTGATATAAATTCAAATGATTTTCTTAATTAGGTCCCTTTAATTCCAAAGGTGATTATTACTGCAACAAGAATTCCTGGCCAATGCGTAAACAGTCATAAATTACATTATTAAAGGAGGAATTTATATTATCAATTCTTATGCCTACTGTAAAACGGGTTGCTAACAGTTTATTGTAATTTTTATTAATTATTCCATTATCTGACCAGTTCATCAATATAAAACTTTCTCTCCATATTACACAATATTCAAATGTAATATTAAACTTTGACATAGGAGCTAAAAAAAACTAAAAGTCAAACATTTTAATTATTATATGTGTTATGAAATTGAACTCTAAGCGGAACTGCTATCCGGAATTTTAATTACCAACATTGCAGTTCCGTGTTATGTATTAAAAGCACACGTAATATAATGAAAAGTGCAAATATTGAAATAAAACTAAAGAATGTTAATTGTTGCTACTTTTTTTGCATTGATTCATAGCAACTGCTCCTTAGTCGGAATGTATGCGCGCGTGAATGAGATTTAGTCATTTTAGTAAGGAAATATAGTTGTTTATAAAAATATATTCTTTGATTTACCCCATTATTCTTTCATTCATAGAAATTTGTAGAACCACATTCTATGAATACTATTGTAAGTATCGGCAGGCTCTTCCGTGGATGTACCACAGCCTCATAAAAAACTGGCGTGAATTAGAAATATTTACGTTCGCGTTTCGTATGTTGAGTCGGTAACCGGGTCCAATATTCTTTTTCTTTTATGGTTGAAAATGCATCTGCAATATAACATCCGCGATCATATTCGGTCGGAGTAGCATGGAGCGGCCTCCGTTGGCTCTCCGAGGGCAGAACATCGAGTGGCGTCCCACGGTGACTTATCTCGGGTGTGCGATAGATCGCGCGCTAAGCCTAGTCCCCCAGGTTAACAATCTTGTTAACCAAACTAGAGCCGCTCGCGCGATACTACGTCCCGTCCTGGCATCCCATCTGCCGACCCGAGCTAAGATCGCCGTGTACAAAACGTATGTTCGCTCTCGGCTAACCTACGCGGCACCTGCGTGGTACGCCCTTATATCCAACTATCAAAGGCATAGATTACAAGTCCAGCAGAATCTCGCTCTTCGAACTGTCGTGGGAGCGGGTCGCTATGTCGGAAATGACATTATCGCGAGGGATCTGGGAATCGAACCCCTCGAACACTTCATAGTCCGTGTCGCGCGTCGAATGTTCGACCGCGCCGATAACGGGCCTCACCCTCACTTACGCGGATTCGCACCGCTTCACGCTCGACCACCAGAGTGGCGCGCGCTCCCACGAGAGGTGTTGCTATTGTCCGTCCCGCCCACGCACAGGGGGGGCGAGTGGGGGGTGGGGGGACGGCGAGACCGACGCGAACACCTAATACTAACTATATAGCCGTTGCTATGGTGACAGTTCACTGTTGTCATAGCAAACGCTGACGCAATTAGCGCGTGTGTAAATAGTGACTGTCAGTTGTAGAAAATTAACACTACATGATTAATTTATTAATTATGTAGTGTTGAATGTAAACAAAGGGCGGTCCATTTACATATGCACTAAGGGCGATTGTTATGCTATCAAGTGAGATGACGTAACGTAAATTCACGCCTCACAGTCATAGTGTCCGAGCCGAGTTAGGCGAAAACATTTCCCGGGGGGACGGTGCGCCCCTCGAGACAATGCCCGGGGCATGGGGTTCGAATCCCCGATACCCGTACCCGCACCTACCCGACTGCTAGGGCAGTGTGTGGACGACCCGTGTGTGTGTGCAATAGGGATTAGGCGTATATACTGGCACAGGTATAAATACCCAGTATGAACATACCAGTACGCACACCGGGTATGTACGGCAGAGGCCCGTTCCATACCCGATAGGTATGGCCGCCTCGTCCGACGGTGGCGGTATATAACGCTCGCGACAACCCGCCGGCCGAATAGGTACGAAGTTCCCCGAACGCTTACGGCGGCTCTACCCGATCATGCCCGAATTAAAACGTATGATTTAGGCATTTTATACCAAATATTTCCTTGGGATAAATTTATTCTTTATTTCTATGACAATTAGGTAGATAAATAATTGCGTAATAAGGTTAAACAGTAATATTTATTTTGAATTACTTTTTTTGATAATAGGGTTCTTTACGTTAGTAAAGATGGAGCTCATTTTAGACTGATTAAATCTCAATTTAAAAAAACTGATTGCTAAAAAAACATCTAAATGTTCCAATTCCAACCAAAGGTTCAATTCGTTTGATTCGACCGAGTCTCCAAAAGGAGACCTGAACATAACTAATACCTTTAAGTATTTTGATACTGGGTTTTAGCACCGGGTATACGGCGATACCCGTACCTTTTAGGCCGGGCATAGAATGTTGCAGGTATATCTCATGCCTAATCTGCAAACAGTCATTTAATTTTGTTGTAGATGTCCTGCTCGATTGCCTATATCGCATTAAACAAAAAAACGGAATAAGTAAAAGTGACAATTGGAATAAGAAGGCGTTTTAGTAGGTATATAATTATTATCAAGGTTTATTTGAGATCGTTTGCAGTGTTATAGCGGCAACAGAAATACATCTCTAAAGTTTCAACTGTCTACTTCTGACAAATGGACAGATAGCAGAGTCTTAGTAATAGGATAGGGACCCGTTTTACCCTTTGGGTACGAAACCCTAAAAATAAACATGGCAATAAGTTACAACTTAGAATGTTGCAGGTATATCTCATGCCTAATCTGCAAACAGTCATTTAATTTTGTTGTAGATGTCCTGCTCGATTGCCTATATCGCATTAAACAAAAAAACGGAATAAGTAAAAGTGACAATTGGAATAAGAAGGCGTTTTAGTAGGTATATAATTATTATCAAGGTTTATTTGAGATCGTTTGCAGTGTTATAGCGGCAACAGAAATACATCTCTAAAGTTTCAACTGTCTACTTCTGACAAATGGACAGATAGCAGAGTCTTAGTAATAGGATAGGGACCCGTTTTACCCTTTGGGTACGAAACCCTAAAAATAAACATGGCAATAAGTTACAACTTAGAATGTTGCAGGTATATCTCATGCCTAATCTGCAAACAGTCATTTAATTTTGTTGTAGATGTCCTGCTCGATTGCCTATATCGCATTAAACAAAAAAACGGAATAAGTAAAGTGACAATTGGAATAAGAAGGCGTTTTTAGTAGGTATATAATTATTATCAAGGTTTATTTGAGATCGTTTGCAGTGTTATAGCGGCAACAGAAATACATCTCTAAAGTTTCAACTGTCTACTTCTGACAAATGGACAGATAGCAGAGTCTTAGTAATAGGATAGGGACCCGTTTTACCCTTTGGGTACAAAACCCTAAAAATAAACATGGCAATAAGTTACAACTTAGAATGTTGCAGGTATATCTCATGCCTAATCTGCAAACAGTCATTTAATTTTGTTGTAGATGTCCTGCTCGATTGCCTATATCGCATTAAACAAAAAAAACGGAATAAGTAAAAGTGACAATTGGAATAAGAAGGCGTTTTAGTAGGTATATAATTATTATCAAGGTTTATTTGAGATCGTTTGCAGTGTTATAGCGGCAACAGAAATACATCTCTAAAGTTTCAACTGTCTACTTCTGACAAATGGACAGATAGCAGAGTCTTAGTAATAGGATAGGGACCCGTTTTACCCTTTGGGTGCGAAACCCTAAAAATAAACATGGCAATAAGTTACAAAAATTCCCATGTACATTTGACTATCTTTACCGGATAGTGCAAGTCCTTAAAAACAATTATAAATGATAATTTCTTGTATTTACGCGATTACACATTACTTACTTTTAATGTCACAGAGTCAATAAGTCTGCAGTATGTGAGCGCACTTTCAATCGCCCCAACCATTATATCACATTGATAGACCACAGATCCTTGCAAAAGAACACCGATTCCTTCCAAGGATAATTCGCGAGACTATTGAAATTAAAAAAACACCCAAATTTCAATAGAGAAGAAGGTTGGGTGCTACCATCGTCTTGGGATCCTATTATAAATAAAATTAAATCTAGGCCCAAACGAAACACTACTGCAAGACAAGATAAAATTAGCAGGTTCTGCGTAGATCAACACAAAATTAATAATTAAAAAACTGGCGGTAGCCCGGGTTAACAATGACATTCTGACATGCAACGCCTCAGTCTGTCCCGTGGCCATGAACGCTGTAAAGGGATCGAAACGATCGGGTATTAAAACCAAAATAAACGCGATAAATCCGCAAACATAATGTCATTTATTAACAATTTAATTTTTTTTTAATTATTCATACATTTTGTGCACTAGTTTATTAAGTGAGTTCTCTAAAGAAAACAATATAAACAATTCTTAGTGTTATAGCTATCACTACTCCTTTGTCCGGGCACTCGCTTTTAATTCAATATACTTGAGCAATCCGAGTTCAAATCCCTATGTGCCAGCACCGAATGCAAAGAAATTGTTAAGTTTAAGCGCTGAATTATCAAGTGCACAGTGTTGAAAGAAAACATCGTGAAGAAACCTGCATATTTTCGAAATAATAACAAAAACATATTTCAAAGATGTGAAGTCTGCCAATCCACAGTGAGGTCGAGTGGTGAATTATGCCCCCATATACAGAGGTCTGTATATGGGGGCATAATTCACCTTTGCTCACCAGCGGTACTTTGCACTTGCATATTTTTTACTTTTAAACACTTTCAAAATGAACAGCCAATTAAAAGTAGCTCAGAACTTTTCAGAAGATTTTTTTTTTCTTTAGCCAATTGCTGATTATTACACAGAACTAATAAGCAATGGTGAATCAGGATCAGTAATGTAATGATAATAAATATTTCAGGAGCATGTACTGTGGATACTGGATAACTAATAAATATACACTATGTTATTCATACAGTATTTTTCCAGCATTAGAGATCGAAACCACATCCTCTGGCAAGAGGTCCACTATCCACTAAATCAAAATTTTGCCTGACACATTATGTTCATCGGCGCATCGAGTCATCATTTGTAATCACTCCGTACAAGTAAAATCTTAAAGTATGACTAGATGAAGACTATTCAAAAAACTTAACGTGATTAATTTGCTCGTTTAAGTATGTCTACACTCATACAGTCTTTTGCATAGCCATCTGTGCAAAAAATCGTTAAGTTTCGTATCATTCCATTTTTCGCACCAATTTAATTTATCAAATCGTCATTACTGTCCGAAAAGTGTAGTAGGTCCATTATTATGGAGGATGTGTCGATTATCTCCTTAGCCTTTTCCTCCCACAACTCCAAGAGGCCAACGTCCAGCTTTTCTTCTTCGAACGCCCTGTATATCTCTTCTTCGTTAAATTTCGACGTCCTCCCACTCCTCCCCTCGACAATTTTGTAACCGTCTGGTACCCTCTTCAGTTTCGTCCATGTACTTGAGATATCCTCTATGGAGGAAACTTCAAAGACTTTCTTCTCCGATTTGTAGGATCTACTCCATTCGTCCAGGCGCTGGCAGCTGTCATCGTCCATGAAAATGGCCATGTGCTCTGGATACAGAGTGTGGCAAGATATGTCACCTAAGGAATTTTGCATGAAAATGTCGAACTTTTCTTCGCGCTCCACAATGAAGCATCCACTGACTGCGCTATGGAGTCTACTGTCTAATGGGTTGTCCAAATCGTAGCATAGCAACTTCTGCCGTGCGCTCTTCAGGGTATTGAGTATGCTAGGTGGACGGTAAGGTATAGTCACGCTGATCCTGTCAGATTCCTTGGCTATTGCATCGGTGCTGTTCGGTATAACACACATATCCTCGCACCACTGGCTGCTAAGACAAATCAAATCCTTTTCGAACTCGAAATCGCATTTGGATATGAAGGTGGGTACGCACTGCATGCCGTGTGTCCATCTCGTTACGGGCCTGGGCTTATTTTCGCCGGTGTGTCTCAAATCCATCAGGAAAAGATGATGGTCCGTTCCAAAGTATAAGGCAGTTCCCTTCGTGGGTAAAGCACAGCTGATATCGTTGCATTTAAGCTCGTCCGTAACATCCCGGAGGTTTTTCCACAGGTGAATGATATCATTCGATCTTTTATCGTAGAGTGTTATGCTACTAGTATTGACATGTGTGTAAAATCCCCTTTCTGCGCTCAGCACCGCGCTCCAGTTGTTTAGGAGCGGTTTGTTCGATTTCAATTTGACTGTTTTGCCAACCATTCTATCCAAATTAACAATGGTCACTTTATTGTCCAGTGTGGTCAGATACAAGATGTTTTTGTGGTGTTCGTCAAACGATATGCTCGTATACGGCGTATCGCTATCTGCTTCTTTGATTTTCTCGAATTGCATCTCATCGTCATGCATTAATATTCCCAATATGAACAGTTTCCTCATAGTCCGCAAGGCGATCAGATTCTGCGAAGAGACGATCGTTTCGAGAATATTCACCCCCTCACCGCAATCGAAAGTAGCAGCGGGCGTTCGACTCACATACATATTTGTTTTGATAAACTCCGATATATCTGAAATGTAAAAAGTGAAATTATCTAAGTCTGTCTCATGACCATGAACTCAGGAAAGTAATCGAAACGTCCGCAATTAAAAGAAAACATAAATGTTTGGAAATCCAATAATTACTTTTATTTTATAATCTAAATCATATTCTATATGTTTACGCGCTAAGCGCCTAACAAAATTATACCATACGCAGTTGCGGTTCTCATACATTTGCTTGTATGCTTTATTATGTACAACCACGGTCAATTTTATTGCTTGTGAGTTAGCTTCTAGTCATTACACAGTTGTAATATCTGAGAACAAGAAGTTTTTTATTTTCTCCTTATTTCAAACGTATTCTGGTCCTTCGAGACGGATTTTAGCGGATTATCAAAATACCAACCTAAATAATAATATGTAGTTAAGTAAGCACTCCCTTTTTGTTTATGAGTAATTATTACTTTATAATATACAGGGAGAATTTCGGAGAAGTGCCCAAATTTATACAGGAGGTTAAGACTCGGTAGTATAATAGTTTATTGAAATAAAAACAAACTTTTTTAAAAAAATAATTGCCATTCTATTCCCTAAATAACATAACTGACAATGGGGTAGTCATTCATAAAAGCGTCGTATACTTTTGAAACGAACTTGTGTGCGTGTTAGTTACTAATGATCGCGCGTAAAATAAATGAGTTGCCCATAAATCATGCACATTTTGAGATAAGTTCAAATGAATGTAATTAACTACGAGTGATTTTAAATATTTATCATTTTTATATAACATTATTTATGTCTAGATTTTAACAAAAAATGGATATACTTAGAAAAGACTCCCCTGTATGGTAAACATTGCAGTTTACAGGGTTTGGGAACATTTTTTAGTGCGTGATTTATGGACAACTCATTTATTTTAAGCGCGATCATTCATAACTCACACGCACACAAGTTACTTTTAAATATATACGACGCATTTATGAATGACTACCGCATTGTCAACAAGTTCTGTTTTTTAGGGATTTAGCATTAATTTAGAATTAGCAATTTTTTTTTAAAATAAAAAAGAAAAATGGTTTTTAATTCAATGAACGATTATACTACAGAGCCTAAACCTCCTGTATAAATTTGGGCATCTTTAGAAAGCCACCCTGTATAATATTACTCATAACTTGTGATACCAGTGTCCGGGTGCTTGTTTTTAATTTAATACACTCTAGCAACATGAATCCCAGTGACTGCACCAATGAAATTGTTGGTCTTTTTAAAAATATCAGTTCACAGTGGTACTGGTATAATAAACTATTTTAGCCTATGTGAGCCAAGCAATGGGACATTTACAGGCTTGTCACTTTAATTCACTCATTTTAATACCCTCTATTTAAAATCATCACTCAATACAAGAATTATTTACTTACACAATTTATTAAAGACACTATGAAGCAGGTAATCTTTCCACTGTATGCACATTAGCTGTAAATTTCCAGCACCAGCATAGTACCAGTTGTATGAGCTGTCAAAGTTTGGATCTGGATCACTGTCTAAATGCACGGCCATATCAACCAAATGTTTTGGACAATGCGCCACAGTTTCATTCATAGGCTTATATTTGGACAACATATTGCTGCAAGCTGTTAACAATAGATTATATTAAAAAAGAAACCTTGTTCAAAATTTTTTCAAATAAAGCATTTAGTAATAATATACACAATTTATGCATTACATGCAAAATAATGGTGGAATAATGAAGAGCATAGAGACTTATTTGTATCCTAAAAAAGAATCCCAGTTTTTTCATGTATGTGTACACTACAACAAAGTACTCAATAACAATTGGCAACAATATTAATTCAATATTTGAAAGCCAAAATTAAATTTTTATTTAAAAAAAGAGAAACAAGAATTTGCAAGAAAAAAATAATAATAATTAATTTGTGTTAATAAAACAATTAAGTGCACTTAAAAATAATATGCTTTGTAGCAAATTGTATTCAGTCAGCGCTTAGGGTAACCAAGCCCTCTCAAAACAGGAATTATTTCTATTAGAGTAGCATTTAAAAAAGAAATAAATTAACAAAATATAACTAAGAAAGAAGAAGAAACTTAACTTAAATAAAAATGTAAATGACCTATTGTGATATCAAATTGGAATTCCATTTTAGCAAATTGCTGCAGTTCTATTGTACACAGCATTTAGTTTCAAATGGAGCCTAAAGTTGACTTCATAGATGAAAATACTAATAAAATTATTATTTTAAAGGATAAACTTACATGCAGCAACTCTTTGATTTCTGTATTCCCATTGCCAATCACTCTTCACCTTCATAATTTGTGTTACAGGATCAGTTTTGTTCGTATTTTGCATTTCAGTTATGATTTTAGGATTCAAACTTTTATAGGAGAATGATTCAAAGTAGTTTGTAATGAGCTGCCCATCCCAATCCTCACTAAAAGAGTTCAAAGGATGGCCAGGAACGACATAATGGAAATTCTGCACACTCTTTTTTGTAGTCAGACGCTGTCGTATAATTTGGCCATAGTAGGCGAATGCCTGAACATTTTTATGGCGAACCTCGTCCAGAATATTTTTCACTGGCGCTGTATTGTCTAAATAGTCTGCAGTAAATTCGATGACCTCTTTGTGTTTCTTCTGAAACGTCAAAATCCATTGGGAATATAATGAAATAATTATACATTTTATTTTATAACTTTGTATATTTTTGTTTATAATTTGACCACTTACCTTTAATTTACCGGGGGTAGCCATTATTATTATTTATTACTATATTAAAATTTAAGATATTCTTAAGTTCAACAATATAGTGTACTCAGTTTGGAAATAAGGAAACAGCTGAGTCGGAGTGAGCAGTCCACTGTCCAACCAAGGATACAGTTATGTTTCAAATTCGTTTTTCTTGTTTCAATTTCAGTATGTATGTCTTATATATCTATGCAAGGATAAGTCCAACCAAACTTCAGTGCACAATCCAGTATCCACATGTTTTCATGTTTTGACATTGACAGACACTGGCACTGACGTTCAATTTTATCAATTATTTGAAGATCAGGAACGCCAACTACCTTAGAAGAAGATCAGGAAGTTCTAATTAGAGATTAGAGATGAAGAATACATGTTTAATGCTATGTTCTAAAATTATTAATAAAATTTTTCAATGTAGATTTTTTAAAATTATTGTGATATACATGATTAAATGAATAATCCTGAATTTCCTAGTTTTATTTTAAAACAATGTTATTATAAATAAATATTTGTTGTATAGTAAATAAATGAAACTGTAATGAAGGATTGGTACCTTTCTAAATCTATGTAATAAATATAAAAGTACAAATTTTCAAAAGTGACAACCCTCGCCAATTTTTCCATTGGCTCTGTCTTGTTTGATGTTTCCATTCACCCCATCGATAAGACATACATATATATATATATAGATGTCTATCTATGGGGTTTACCACTATATACTAGGGTGTGCGATATCAGGATCAACTAGTGTAGTAGCCTAAATTGGTCTATCCTATCGGGCTTAGGAAAAATTAGTTTGGACTAGCCTAAACTGGTTTATCCCATCGGGCTTGGGCCAAATTACTTTGGAGTAGGCTATACTAGTTACTCCTATCGCGTATATGAAGAACTAGGTTAGCCTAGGCAAAACTAGTTTGTCCTTAAATCGGGTTTTGGCCGAAAAATATATACTGGTATTCACCCCAGACACGGGGTGAATAGAAAATTTATTTATTTTTCATGATATTTAAAAAAAAACCAGTTCTTTTTATTGTCTAGGAACAACTGCATTTTAAAGAATAAGATCTCGGACAATATAATTCATCAGTAAATGATAGTTCGTAAATTGTTTTAGTTGAAAATAATTGAATCAATTTTACAAATTACGTTAAATTTCGTTATGAACGTATAAATGCATCAAAATACCTGTTTACCTGGCTGCGAAGAGGTGCGGCCAATTGCGCAACGGCAACCTTGATTTTTTAAGTCCTTATGTATATTGCCGTGAAGTGGACGATATTTTATTAAAAACAATGAAACTTTTTCCGAAAAATCAATTAACAATAATTTTATTAAAAACATTAGTGCCCATATTTAGATAGAAGGTACCAGGTAGAAGTGGTAGATATTCTCCTTATCATAAATATGCGTAAAAATTTGGTTTTTGGCAAATACTTGATGAGTGCACTAATTCTGCAGCCGGATCTCGTACTATCGCAGAATTCGTGTGCATCAGCATTCCTCGCATCCGCAGACGAACGCGCTGTGTCTACTGTATTCAAGTTAGTGTATGCGGTGTTAAGGTGATAGGTGTCGGTCAGAGCGGAATTATTTTCGAGTACTTCGAGTTATCATTTTAGTAATAAATACAAATGGAAGGAAAAAACACTTATCCTCCCAAAAACTGAGGCTATGGCATCAGTAAGAGCAGAATAATGTTTTAAGGTTTAATGAAAAAATTAAAATATAAAGGACATGCAAGCATTTATATTTTTTATTAAAAATGAAAATGATACTCACGTTTCAAATAAATAAATCAATGTAAAATTATAAAAAGGTTAATTTATATAACGCAAAAAATTAATTTACTATAACAGCTAAAAGATTGTTTTTTATATAAACGAATAGATTTAATAGCGGTATAAAAAATCTGGAAAGGTTAAGGCAGCGAAAACGGTAAACACTAAAATTGAGTAAACCGTGACTAAAATATCTCTTTTCATTTTAAGTGTAGCATTTGATTCATTTTCATATAAGCAATACCCATTATCCGAGTACTCTTTCCGGTTCGTTTTAAATATGTTTATCTGTCCGCAGTCCCTTTTATTTTCTAGTAATGATACAGTTTTTTTCGCTCCCTTTTTATACTGTATTAATGAAAAGTTATTATGTTTAGGTTGGCTAAAATTCCCGTTTACGCTGGGTATATCCTTAAATTTATTTAAATAATAAGCTCGATAATCATATAGCGATACAAGGGAATGGCTAGAACGCTGACTTATCACTCCTGCCAGGCTATTTGAAGTATATTCACAATTCTCGTTAGACAACCATAGTTGAGAAGGCACATCTGTGAACTCGTTTACGCATTCTTTAGTTAAATATACGGCGACTTCTTTATCGACATACTTTGGACATTCAACATCGTTAGTTTTTAGTTTAAATCCATCTGAGATTTTTATTCCGTGCTCATCGAGACAACTTGTGGAATTGTCACAAACAGAGTTGTTTGTTACCATGTAGCAAGATTGACTAATTTTATATTTGTCATTCATTACTTTCAAACTTTGATATTTTGTGATTTTTTCTATCTCTTCCATCAGTTCAGTTAAAATATCTAGTGATGTAGTGTTATCAATGTTTCCATTTTCAATAGCCTTTTCTTTCTCAGAATTTTCATTAGTATTTCTTAGTAATGTTTTATCCCATTCTGTACTTTTATTAACTTTCCTTTGATTAGCTTCTTTTACACACTCTGAGCGAAAATCTTCATTAGATTTGTATTTGTCTAATATAGTTTGTACTCCTTTTTCATAATTTGAATCTATTATAAGTTCTTTATTTGAAATGAAAACATTTGATCTTTTAACATCTATAAGTTTACTTATAGTGTTGCAACCACATTCAATTGACCGAGATTTAGGAATCGCGTATCCTATTGTAGTGATGTTTGTAAAATTCCTTGGGAAACTCCAATCCATATAGGATTTTGAGAGCGAGGGCAATAGGCCGATGCCAGATGTTGTGATACTTTTAGTTTTTGTTACCTGTAAATTTTTTGACATACAAGACTTAACTAGTAGGGAATTAGTATCTCCACACTGTAATAGAAACACCTTGTGCGAAGATTGTTTAGGTGTCAAAGTTAAATTTTTAACTTTTGGTCGCTTTTGAAAAATTCCTTGTGACAGTTGCCGATACAAAGCTTTTTCTAAATTCTCAATACCCTCAGTTATCTCATCGCATTGTTTCATGTCTGTTTTGGAAATTACTCTAGGTTTGCTGCTTATCTCAACTTGTTCTTCATCACATTTCCCGTTTTTGGTACAAATACTTTCAACGGCTGTTAAGACATTTTTGTCTTCTAAGACATCGAAGGCATAATCCGAACTGATTGAGATTAGTTCGACCTTGTTTATTGATTCTGTTTTCGTTTCAAGATTGTTTTCCATTCGTCCAAAAGAATTTGTATTCATCGGAATTGGTTGTAACGTTTCCTTTGTCAAATAATTAATGTCTTTTACTGGATCTGGGATTGACACTGTAAAAGTTTCAAACTTTTGTATTTAAACTTTTGATATAAAGAGAAATAAATTATACCAAATTTAAGGATAAACATTACATTTTAAATCTTTGGTTTGCAGAAAAACGTTTTGTGCTGGTATAGTGTGTGAAATTTGGGTTTTTTGTAACAAGTTACTTGACCCAGCTGTCTGTGTTAATGAAAAGGGCCTCTTTTTTGTATAATTATCAACAGGCGTCATCTTCTTTCTAAAACAATTGCAAGATGTGAGAAGTATTAATACAATTTTAAATAAAAAAAAATGCAGTGAAACTGTTTTGCCCGTACTAAAAAAAATCACATTATATAAAACTCACGCGCGAGAGGTCTCTAAAAGGTTTCTTTGCTTGTATGTCGGTACATGAACATGAGCCGCAGGGTAATCTGTAGTAAAATTATTTGATGTATGTTGTGAACGTCTAATTTTTGGTATTTTTTCTGTAATTTAAGGAAAACATATTAATAAAAAATAATTAATAGGTATAGATCAGCTATGAAAATTGTATATGTTGCTTTAACGGTACTTGGTGAATTAATAAATATACATTTACTATTGACTTTATTGCGAACTTAATTTTATAATAACGTTCGTTTACAACGGCAAAACTAGCAGAATCCAAAACTCCGCAACGCTCGAAATTCGAAATGAAAACATTATCATCGCCAAGAAAACGTTATTCTTATTCATAAAAACCTTTAATTATTTAGGTCTTTTCGTACCCGTGGGTGGGATGTAATTTGTGTTTGTTGATTTAGTTGGGCTGCCGCATTCCTGATCGTTTGTTTTCTGCCTTGCTTTTGAACTAGTCAAGGGTGAGGAAGGTTTCTCCAACAAAGATGTACGCGGCGCGAATTGCGGCGTTTTATCTTGAAGAGAATGTTTTCCGTGTCTAGATTTAATTTCTTCCTGCGCGCCGATGGCGAATCTCTTTGGCTGGGCTAAGCTCTCCAGTCTTGTATAGGGTTTAGAAGGCCCCTTAACTGCTTCCCCTCTGGATTCCCTCAACGCGTCATCGATCAAATCACTGAATTTCTTTTCCTTATCAACAGTTTTTTCTGCGTTGAGAATTGGATAATTTGAAGCCTTTCCGCGATAGACCGGAATTCTCGGTTGCAACTTTTTGTCAAAACTGGAAAAATTTTTCTTCTGGTCCGATTTTGTTTCTTTCATTGAATTATCGACTCTAGACACCTTTCTCAAAAAACTTTGTCGTGCCATATTCCGACTCTCGATTACAGTATTGGTTTCTTTCCTATAATCCTTTACCTCCGTTGCAGCTTTTTGTCTATTTTTTTGTATATTATCGAATTCGTTTATTAAATGAGAAATTGCTTTCAACGGATTCCTTGAAATATTTGCCGGTTCTTTAATCGTAACCTTCTTTGGAGATTTTATCTCACTAGCGTTTGAGTTTATCTGCGATTTATTGCTGATTATTACTTTTGAAACAACATTTGCCTCGGCTCTGTTGGTTTTTATGCTTTGAGCTAAGGAACTTTCGACTTTATTATGGTCTTCAAAACTGTAAATACTTGGGTTCGACGATTTCGGTCGATGTTTAATACTGGTACCGCTGTCGGTCGCTTGTATTGTCGAGCTTAGGACGGTTGTGTGATATTGATTGTCGTGAGAAGGTGAAAACTGCCGTTTAGAATAGGAAGACTCGGATTCGACATTGCTTAACTTTTTCATTAATTCATAAATTTTGTCAATACTTTGCTTGCACTCTAATGCTACGAGAGACTTTTTCGTGTTAGTATCATTCAAGCTCGTAGTAGTTATAATAGCTGTTGGCTTTGAATTAGGTAAAGATTTTGGAGCAGAATTTAATTGATACCTATAACAGAGTTGAAAATATACTTAAAAAATTAAACAGCAAAATATTATGAACACATTTAAAATTAATATTGATTTAAACGTTACATTATTAAACTTTTGGTCTCCATAAACAGACAAACTAATAACAATTAAGTTGCTGCACTTACTTCTCGTTATCACCCGAAGCGCATGGATTATAGCGAGTTGGAGAGCTCTTACCCAACTGAACGAATGAATTTGATTTTATACTCATGTCATTAATTATTGCGTTGGACGATGATGCAGACAAATCTTTAAGGGCATTGTTGAAACGAAAGTTTTTAATTTGGATATTCATTACTTCCGTTTCGGGATCATCTAAATAATAACTACGATCAACAAACTTTCTATTCTCATCGCTCGAAGTTCCTCCTCTCACCGGATCATCTTCGCCTATCTCCCATATAGATGAATGTCTTTTATCGTGTTTGTTGATTATGTTTGCATTATCACCATAGATCGATGCATAAAACGATTTATTCGTTATTGACAATTTTGTAACCGAATTGGAGGGTTGCGCCATTATAGCACCTTTACCGTATTTATGTTTTGTCACTTTACAGTTTTCGCTCAGTGCCTTTTTCCTCTTCTCGCGCCTTTCTCTAATTTCCAATAGCTTCCTCCTTTTCCTTTCCTCGATGGCAAACGCTTTGTTTTCGTAAGGCGATTTAATTCTAACTTTTGTGGGAGACTTCTTTTTGATTGGAGGACATTCTTCAATATCTTCTAATAGGGCTGTTTGTGCGTTAAACTGTTGTATTGTGCAAAACAGATCATCTGGAGTCATAGTGCATGATGCTTTCGTTGTGGTTGAAGATTCGTCGTCATTATAAATATGTCTATCGCTATAGCAATTGGCCATGGGGTCAGATAGTGGCAAAGAAATGTCGCTGATGCAAAGCACTGAGCTTTGTGTGTTGGCTGTATCAGATGATTCAGACTTGAATGGCAATCCTATTGGATATTTAAAATCGCCCTCTACGTTAGGTGAACTCGCTTCAAAGTCGGATCCATCAATCTCGGTTATAGTCAATTCGTTTTGCATATCAATATTGTTAGTTATTGCGCGTGAATGTTTGTATTCTAGAGGTAAAAACGGTTCTGTAAATAGGAAAGCTTATTTAATATTTGTCAAATAAACTAATCAGACTTTAATTTCACAACAGTAAAATGGAAGAGTTTCAGACTTTCACAGATGTGTGTTGTAACTTAATATCTAATACTTGCTTGTAACATAAAAGAAATCATAAATAAAAGAAACAAGTACAGTTTAATTAGAATTACATTCAGGATTGAAATTAATTGTGAATGGATTTATTTATTAATATCCTCAATATTCCTCTTTATCCTGTAGTAAACTCAAAATTGCCATCAAATCCCGGTTGATCTCAGGTTGCTCGAGTACATTGAATTTAAAGAGAGTGCCCGGACCCTGAGCTATCACTACCGATTCATTTATTAAAAACTTCAAACATTTGGCTATATCGTAGTTTAATTGAATAAAACCTTACCGTTTTGTTTGCAAGGCAATGTTTGTTCGAAAATAAGTACGGGGCCAACAACGTCTTGCTTTTCTGTTTCATTCGGTACTAGTTTAAGTATGATTTCGAATTGAGAACTCTTCGAGTCTTCGAGCGCCATTCGCCGTTTCCCCTGCTTGCACTTGATAATCAGTTCACTTCCGCGGCATTCGCCGAACAATTTGCACGAGCCAACAATTAAACGCGGAATCCGCACCGAACGGCCCTTCGCCAGTATTTTGGACAAACACCTCATGTCCAGTTCCGAACGCACCAGATTGCGCAGCGTACTCTCGAACGCAAATCTGTCGCTTTCGACGCGAAACGTGTCACTTTTCGCCATGACAGCTTTGGATATATCGTCCCCTTCTCGACTTTTGTATTCATTGGCGGGCATCTTCCACTGCTCCTTTGCTTTATCTGTTAGGTAATCGCCATTGCTGATGCGCTTCAACTGATCAATGGTGCGCTTGGCGTATTGAATTATGCTCTCCATGTAAAAATTCGAATTATCGTCCAGCTGATTGCAACAGATGAAGTCTAACAGGCAAGTTGAAAAGGGTGTGCCATCGAATGTGGAGAAATTATTTAACGATCTGTATTGTTGCTTAACGAATGAGTTTTTCGATAAATGTCTTCGGTCGTAATCTGTAGGGAAACCGGATTGAATTGTCATGTCGCCGAACTTTTGACACAGCGTTTTCTCTATTGACGGCACATTATTAAAGAGATCAATTCGCTCTTTATTGATTAAAACAACGTCATAAACGTCTTCGCTGCAATATATATCGCTCAAATCACTGTCTTCAGATTCATGATCTTCCTTATAGACGACGTTCTCAACGTGCTGGTTTGGCGTTCGATGGTTATTTTTAAACGAATTAGGTTTCTGTTTTGAATCGGCATTTTCGTAAAGTATCAACAAATCCCTTTGCACCGACGACTTAATGTCTGAAATAATTTCCATTATTTAAGTTAAAACAGGCCCAACAGGGACTGGTATTCAATTCTATGGTACTTTAAAATAGGAAAATGAACACTTAGGCTTAAGTGCATGAACAAGATACATAGCTTGTTTTTTATTAGTTATTTATCAATTATTACAATATTATTTGCCTCTTCTAACTTTTAGACTTTTACCAATGATTTTTAATAATACAGATGACGCATGTCCATACTGCACAAAAATTGTTCCGCTTTACATTATTTGACATATCTATATAAGTAAATGTGATAGATAATATAGAACGTATGATAGGTACGAAGAGATTGCAATCTAATTACCTACAATGATATTATATACATATGAGGTAGAATTAGAAATGAAACTAGCGCCCCGAAACTGAGGCACTCAAATTACACCCATTGGGGTAATTAGATTGCAATTATATAGACAGCTATCTCCTTCTATATCATACTTCTATATCATCTGTTACATTAACTTTTATATATGTCGTATGAATTAAAGCGGGATTAATTTTTAAACTCCACGCAGTATGGACATGCGTCATCTATATCAGTTTTTGTGCGCTAGAGTCATGTCCACCTCGTACTCGTATATATAATATCATTGAATCTTGCTCAGTATATGAAAGTTCTATGTAATTACCTACGGCTTCATTTAAACTATATTAAATACTGACCAATAACACTGCATCGTATAAAATTAAAGTATATAGATATATTTATTGTGTTCATTTTGATGACCCCATTTTCTAAAAATAACAAAGCGTTTGTATTACCGTCAGGCTCAGACATATTGATTTCTAAGTGGGCTTCATCTGTGATTTCTTCCGATATGTGGCTAATCAACATTTCAACTCCGCACAGATTTTATAAAAATACACAGAATTACTCAAAGTAATGTTTTTAAACATAAAATAAATGCATACAAAAGACACCGATTAAAAAGTGTCTAAAATTTTGAAGTCAACATGTTTATGTGTGTAATAACATCTGTCAAGTTATTTCATATTTGGAAATTGCGTAAAAAGTATATAATCATTACTTAAGCGTAATGGACAACACAAGTAGGTATTCCATTTGAACATAACCTAAACATAAGGCAGTTTAAGTTTTGCCATATTGACTTTATTTTGTTTTTTATTTGCCATTTTTTACGTCAATATGGCAAATAAAAAACAAAATAAAGTCAATATGGCAAAACTTAAACTGCCTTAGGGCCACGCAGCGGCGTTCGTTTGATTTGTGGGTTCGATTCCCACACGGGACAAGTATTTGTGTGACTCACCAATAGTTATTCGGGACCTGGATGTTTTTTCTGAAGGAAGGTTGAAGTCAGGCAGGTGGCTGGTTGTAAGAAACCTATTCAAAACCACTTACAACATTATTCCCATGTTGTGCCGACCACACCTAGCTAGATGATGTTGGTCCTGAAAAATGCCTTATCAATTTCAACTTTGAAAAATATTTTCTGTGCTGTACTCGCCGGCACAGTCAACTAATTTCTGATTGTAAATATTTAACTCAAAATTTTTTTCTCAAATGTATCACATATACCGTGCAACCGTGAGAGCTCATTGTCCGGGCGATCGCTATTAATTCAATACACTCGAGCAACCCGAGTTCGATCCCGGTGTCGGCACCAATGAAATTGTTAATTACAAGTCCTGACTTACGTGTTCAACGGTGAAGGAAAACATCGTGAGGAAACCTGCATATTTACGAAATAAAAAAATTCGGTGCAGTCTCTGGGGACTGACGATAGAAGTGATAACTAAGTAAGTTAACAATAATTAATGTATTCATTTATTAATAAAATAATTATTATGCTAAACTAATTTTATTAAAAATTATTTTTAAGTTAAAAATAATAAATATATATAATAATAGTAATTATTATTATAAATAAAAAGCGTTCGGTGACGACGCTGTGTTCCATGAAAAGTGCTCAACACGCCTACTTCTTTAGGCGTTTTCACTTCAAAAAATGTTTCGAAGATATGTGAAGTCCGCCAATCCGCAGTGGGGTCGCGTGGTGGACTATGCCATACATACCCCCTGTAGTCTAAGTCTGTACAATGAAGGCTTTTACCCAGCAGTGGGACATAAACAGGGAGGCTTTTCTACGTGTATCCATTTTTTTATAAAATTTTAGACATAAATAATGTTATATAAAAATCATAAATGTTTAAAATCACTCATTATTAGTGAAATACATTCATTTGAACTTATCTCATAAATGCGTGATTTATGGGCAACTCACACGCACACAAGTTTCGGCGGTTTCAAAAGTATACGACGCATTTATGAATGACTACCACATTGTCAACAAGTTCTGTTTTTTAGGGAATGGAATGGCAATTTTTTTGAAAAAAAAAAAGTTTGTTTTTATTTCCCCTCACACAGATTATAGGAACCTCACACAGAGAGGTTCAGAACCTTCTGTGTGAATTTGGGCGCGTTAAGAAATGCCACTAAAACGGTTGTCAAGGCTGCAGAAAAATCCTTTGTGCGCCTAGGCGCTCTAGTAAGCTTAGCGTCCGATATCTCAACAATATGTAGACACTCTCAAATAACATTTTACAATGTTTCAACGTGAGGTGTGCCTTTGCAATTGATATTTACGATTATTTATTAAAACTGTGCAATTGTATTATTTTTTCCACGAATCACATATAATACAAATGAAAAATCAAATATGTTTAAAAATATTCCACAATTTATATGTGATAACCTTAATTCCAGACTAGCTAGTTTCAGTATATGTTTTATCTATGTGACTAGCACTAAAAAATTATTCCACTGTGGATTAAAAGAATGAAGACAAGGAGGATTTTCCACAGATTATAAAATAAATAAAACAAATTTTAAATATTATAAATTTTTATATGCAATAAACAACATACTTTTATAATATAAATTAAGTACACTGTGCAACTTAAAATTGAAAATACCTTTACTGGAATGCTGTTAGATTTAGGTGAGATAACTCCAAGCCTTTTAATACTGAATTATGAACGAGAATTATGTTATTTATATAGTGTAACACTCTCGCTACCGGTAGGGGCATATGGTGCCAATATTTGCCACGGAAACGTGTCTAACAATATGTAAGAAGTTTGTGTAAGTAGCGCCATCTAACAGTCCTGATTTTGTAACTTTTTGAAATACATCTATTCTTGATGTCTGTATTTAACATGCAAATAAAAGAGGTTTGAAAATCGAATTAAGTTCTTGACATTCATTGGTAATAGTACGAAAAAATTAAGAGGGCTTCGTAACAATATGAAAAAATACCAGTTTAATCGTCGTATAAATAAATTCCTTTAAATTTAATACGAAAAATTTCCTCTCATAATTAATACTTTATTTTAATAAATGAATACAATCAATTTCCTCGACTGTACTTGATAGATAGCATATTTTTTTAAAACATTTCTATTGCAAATCGGGACATAATTTTAAAATTAATTTATTATAATATACACTGTGAATAATTAAGAATTTGTGTATAAATCTAGTCGTCTGTCGCTCTTTCTGAAAATAAGCGGCAAAGTACCTCTAAGATGACCAGTGTGATCTTTTTAAACATGAAAGAATAACATATCTTTAAAAAATAATACATTAATACTTATTACTTAACATTTAAATACATATTAAATGAATTCAAATTGATGCAGGACCGATACTTTAACGAATTTTGAAGCTATACATAGACACTGTCAGATTTTTGTAAAATATGGAATTAACGAGGCGTCTTAAACACAATTATATAGAAAGTGTATATTCAAGAGTGATCTGAATTAAAACTCTTGCGTGAACACTTATAGGATATGAAATTATACTGTATTTAAACTAAGTGCTGCTACTGAAATCTAAAGTTATAAATTAATAGTTATCAGATCTAATAGGAGGTCAAAATAATAATATTAAGAAAATATAAATGATGCACATAAGAATCGCTATGAAAAAATTAATAAAACTAACTAGAAACATAGTTACATAGAAAACGCTTTAGAATGTTTGTTTAAACAAATTTATGCAAATTAGTGTTTACGTGGGCAGACTTTTATTTTCAAAAAATAAATAATGTTGACCGTTATGTCCATATTCGCCGTGAACCATTACTTCAAATGAATTTAACTTAGACGTAACATTTTCTTAGTCAATATTTGATGTAGAAATCAGTGAGATATATACTTATAAATATGAATAATTTACATGAAATATTATAATTTTATAATATTTGCTTATACAATCAAATTCAACACTTTTCATTTAATGTTAAAATCACAGGTAACATTTTAATGATTTGATCTTGAAATGTTCACACTTTCAAATTTCTAACAGATTATTAAATTCATTTAACATCTAAATCATTGTTAAAATTCATTTAATTTTAACATTATTTCCACAAAAATTTTATTATGAAAGATTATTGAATTTGATAGTATAAGCTTTAAGATTTTAAAAATAGTATCATTCAATGTGTATCTATCGAAGTGCAACATAGAGCATGTTATGTTTATAAAATATTATGGGTTGATTAAAAACATTTTTTGTAGCGCCTGGACACAATTTGTTGGGAAATCCTCGCCTAGTTGCTTTTAGAGGTGAACACGGTGTTAAAGGAAAACGGTCCTTAAGTAGGTGGTCTGAAGAGCGACTCTAGCAGCTCCGGCTCGGTGAGGTCTCTCTTGTACTGCTGGGCGATCTCCTGTATCATGTGGCGTCGGCGCACGTGCGGCGGTTGGTAGCTGCGGGGCGAGTAGTCGGTTAGCCGATTGGGAGGATTGGGTTTTTATTATGGAGGGTAGAATAAAGGAGGACCGTCTCGTATTCTATCGGATAATGAATATCCTCGTATTTTATCGTCTCCTACTATCGATTAGTCGAAAAAGTGTCCACTTGTAAACAGCAAATTATTGTTCGAAGTCTCACCGAAATAGCGCTAGTGTAACAAGTGGAAATGATATGAACTTAGCAGTTATAAGCAGAGTGAAGTGTGCTGGGTTGAAAAATTTAATATTTCTCTTGACTTCTGTAGTTTTAATTTAATTTTTTTGTTTCTTTAATTTTATTCCATGCTCATTTTTGTCTATATATTACAATAAAATTTTAAAAATTGCGCTGTAACAATGCGGAAATGTTTCTTTCCTTTTTTAATTTAGTATCCTACTCTAATAATTTGTGGCGCTCTATTTAAAATTCTTCCACTTGCTACTATAGCGCCACCTTAATTTGCTGCCTTTCAACGGACACTTTTTAATACACTGAGATGGTCCCCCTTTATTCTACCCTCCATAGTTTTTATGAACATTGTAGTGTTTCAACTATGCGTCATTGGAAAAGATTATCTTTCGTAGTGTTTCGTGTAAGACGTGCCCGTGAGGAATATTTTTCGTACAAACACGGGATAGTCCAATGTTAAGACATTGTCGATTTCCACAATTCATTATGAAATTAGTATTTGGTAATCAATTGGTAAGTGTCATGTAGAACAGAGATTTTTTTATTTAAATAGACATAGAAATAGAAATTTGATTTAAAATTACGGTTAACTTTATTTTTTTTTTTACGAGTAGGTGGCATACGACCAATTGATTCACCGTTTGGTAAGTGACGCTTGTTGACATTTGGCCGAGTTGTCAAGCTTCAAAAGGCGAAAGGCAGAAGTGCGTAACGGAAATGCTTCTACATTACGACGGTGACGGCCGAGCCGAGTATTTCATACGACTAAGTGATTTAGCTACTGTTGTGCGTGGACCTCGATTTAAGGGCGACATCGGCCAGTATAGTATGTATGTGGGAATGGGTGATGAATGCAGGGAAACGGAACGTTGAGTGAAAGAGGGAGAGGGAAGACGTACGGCGGGTGTGAGCTAAGTGTTAAGACGGAAGACTGAGTTATATAAGAGGATATTATAGTGTATTTGGGCAGTAAGAAGAAAATAAATAATATTTTGAGAGCTAAGAACGTGTCCGCTAATTTCGAAATCTTTCCCCACATATATATAGTATAGTATATATAACATTGTGATTCTGCGGTTTCACATAGGAGCGTCCGGTGGAACACGGTCTTCAGAAGACCGGCGTGATGTGGAAGCGTCATTCTTCTGCGTTTTTTCTGGTGAGTGACTCACAGAGGAGCGGCGTGTAGTGGAAGTGATGTAGGCGTTCCTCGGGAGTGAGGTTGCTGGATCTCAGTCTTTTGGAAAGTGGCGTTGCATTTGTTGTACGATTGCTAAGTAGAGGTTACTTTGAGTTTAAGGTTGTCCGGAAGAAATTGCTATGTTAGTAATAAGGTCGCCTCTGTGTACACTATTGTTTATTTACTTCCTGTGTATTTTCTTAATTATTTAATTCTTTATTGTCAACCTGGGACGTGGTGAGGTGTGACAAAGTATATCCTATTCCATTCTAGTACATTCTTCGTCCGTTTCGGCGGTGACGATTTGATTGTTTCAAATGCTAAGAAACAATGTAGAAGGAAGGCGTTAAGATTTTCGTCGCTGTGGCAATCTGCCGTTCGGCTCGGTGGCTCGCGGGTTCGATCCCCGCAGCGGCGACGATCTCCCCGTACTTTTCACGCGCACCAGCCCGCTGCGCGCGGCGCTCACGCACACCACGCTCGCCTCGTGCCGCCGCCACGGCAGCCCCGTCTCGCAGTGGCGCAGCAGCTCGTCTGCCGATAGATTCAACGTTAGCCAAAGCGTTGCTCAGTTCGGGACTAGAGAACGTTGGGTGAAACGTGTCTCCTGAATTATTTATTCATTTATCTACTTATTGGCTCCCATTTTACTTTCCTCGAGCGAACGGGGTGATTTTATATAAAACGGACATATTAAAAGAGCATATGCAGAATTTGATTCTAAATCTAAATGACTTGGGACCTCATTTTCTTCTTTTTTTTTTTAGAGAAAAAAATTTTTTTTTATTTCAAATATTGTAAACACCCTATTATTCCTGGCCTTACCGTCTCAATACAACAACCCATTCACGAGCACTAAAACTGTTTTTGAACGCATAATTTACTAAACCACCTATCAATAGGGTGACCACTCTTAACGGGATAAACAAACAATGCTCCTCTAACGGAGAAGAAACGGGCAAATAAAACTCCGTAGGTATCTCTTCTGTCAATGGCTACCTACTTGACGATAAGTGTGACATCGATTTGCAAATCATCACCATCATCATCAGCCGCAAGACGTCCACCGTTGAACATAAGCCTCACCCTTGCCACAACGAAGAACTTGCCGTTGCCGGCGACTTAGAATCTCGCCGGTCCAACCAGAGAGAGGCCTTCCAACGCTACGTCTTCCGGCTCGTGGTCGCCACTCGACAACCTTTGCAAACATTCATCGCTAATTCATCGTAATTAATTACTTTAAAATTACTCACCGATCGGCAGATTCAAATGGTCTTCAAAATCTTCCAACCAGATGATGAGAATCTTCGAAGTGAAATCGCGGTTCCTCCTTCCGCTGCCTGAGAATTAGTTATTTATTAGACATGATAACAGAATATATTTCCAATTTCTATTATATCAGAAAACTTTCTTATATTTTTCGCCAATTACGAACACACAATAAACATTTAAAATATTACGTTTGTAATGAGAAAATCATTTTATAAATAAACCATAAATGTTATTAAACAGTTATTTGGGGCTTATTTTTTCCAGTCCCGGCTAGAGTTGTTCCACGACCTCAAAGACCGGCGTGACGTGGAAGTGGTACAGTTCTGCGTTCTGTCTAGTGTGTGAGGTGGCCGGGGCCCACTTCATTAAAATTCGGCAAGGCATCTGCAACCCTATGGGTGTTGCAAATGTCCACGAGCGGCGGTTGCCGCTTAACATCAGGTGAACCGCCAGCTCGTTTGCCACTTTTTCACATAAAAATAAATAAATACATATCCGTCTGTACTAATAGGCGGGATAAGCGACCTGTGAGGGCGGCGGAGGGGGGCTGCTTGTCCAGCTCGAGCGAGAGGGCGCGCGCGTCCACAAGGGGCGCCCTCGGCCCCTCGCCCCTCTCGGCCCCTCCGCCCCTCTCGGCCCCTCCGCCCCTCTCCCGCTCCGACTCGCTGATGCTGCGCACGTACTGCGGCCCCGACACGTCCCAGCACGAGCCCGACCGGTCGCCGCCCTTCGAACTGAACGGTTTGTGCCATTACTTTCTCGTCAGACAAAGGCCTAACATACAGAACTGTTTATTGACCACACAAACTACTAGCGCCGTGCGGGGATCGAACAAACACACAACACGACCAAACAATACTAGGGCGTTAGCGTAAAACATTGGTCCGTCCATTATTATCTATATCTTCACCGTAAATCAATAGTGTAATGCGATTTGCACACGTTTTACAAAAGAACAGTTTTAAGTTATCCTTCCTTCTTTACTAATATTATGAACTGTTTGTTACTCTTTCACGCAAATACTACTGAATGGATTTTAATGAAACTTTACAATAATATAGCTTATACATCAGAATAAATTTATATACATATTTTTATGTACAGCTCAATTTATATACATATTTTTATGTATACATGTCTTTCTGTCTGAATGTTACGTCTTTAGCCTATTCTACGCAGACGTGATCGCGGGCAACAGCTAGTTATAAAATATCTTATTTATACAAGGATTTTTACGAATATATAGCGATAACTAGTCAACATTATTTCCTAGCACCTAAGTGATAAAACGGCCAGTCGCAAGGTTTCCGTTTAGTCGAGTATTTAACAAGAATTTTAGAGAGCGTCAAATTATAATGCAATGGTTGGGACGGTCTAGTGTTTTGGCAGAAGGCATAAATACGTCCAGTGTTTTGGCAGAAGGTGGTTTATTAAATAGATTATTTAACTTATGTCCTCATCCAGGCGGCATCATCCTGCCTAGTTAAGCTAGGCAAATATGAATCATGTTCGATAGGTTTCCTACGGCCTACCGCTTGCGGGAATCCAACCATCTTTGGGAACGAGCGCCCAGATCCGGAACAACTAACAGCGGGTCACAAGAATACTCGATCCGTGTGAGCTCGTGACAGCTGCGCCACGAATAGCTCAGCAGCTGCGCGACCTAGTCACTTTTACTTAGGTGCCAAGATTCTCTGCAATCGACTTCAAAAACGGAGGAGTTTCTCAATTCGACTGGATTTTTTTATTTTTTTTTTGTTTGTTACCTCACAACTTTCGACTGATTGAGCCTATTTTCATGATTCTTTTAATATGAAAGCTGGTGCTCCCCATGTGGTCGCGTATTAATTTCATTGGTATCGGATCTTGGGCTCCAGATATAAGTAGGGAACTCCTGAAAATCAATTATAAAATGAATACGAGAGCGAGATATTTGACGTCGGTTTTGATTTTCGCCAATAAAAAAATTGCCCCCCCCCCCCCCTCAAAGCATAGTGGCCTCACCAGGCGGAGAGGCAGGGCCCGTCGACGCAGGTGCGCGCGCCGTCGCGCTCCTCCGGGAGCTCGCGGCCGGACGGCACCACGAACGCTATCTCGTCCGTCTCGTCCGCCCAGTACAGCACCTGAGCGAGACGGCAACAGTTCAGCGGCAGGCACGGATTGAGGATTTTCACCCGGCCGCGGCAGGAGGGTAAGGTTTTTAATGTATGTATGTACGTAGATGAATAACAAAACCTTTAAACGACTAAAATAGAGGAACGGTTAATATTATATATAATTATGTATATAAATAAATTCCTATTTGATTTTTAAAGGCAACGCTTACTTGCTCCCTGCCGTCGTAGATGGCCGGCGGCGCGGGCCCCGAGGGGGCGGGGCCGGGCGGGGCGGAGGCGGGGGTGGGGCCCGCGTCGGGGGGCGGGGCGTCGTAGCTGCAGCGCACGTGCCCCGCCCACCCGGCGTGGCCACGCACGCGCACCGGCCTCCCCAACCTGCAAATAATCACTTTTTCATAACAGACTTCAATACAAGGACCTCTCTGCCATCGGCATATGTCGGCGTAGTTTAGTCATTAATTATTTTGGCGAGGGATAATTCTTGCACTTCAAATTGTTGATCTACGCTGTTCGAAATATAATATTCGCGTTTTGTCCTACGCGTGCAGTGCCGGATTTAGGGGACCGGGACGACTGCCCCGGGGCCTCCACAATAGAGACTTTGGAAAGAACAAATTAAATTCAAACTAGTAAACACTAGTAAACAACTTTACCTTCCATATATTTTTCGCGTTTTACCTTTACCCACAGTACTTTGTACAAACATGTTTACATTAAATATTAATAGAAATCAATGGAAAATAATTTGGAGCCAAGGGGCCTCCACTCGTTTGTTGCCCCGAGAACTCCAGACCACTAAATCCAGCCCTGTACGCGTGACATAAACTTTTTTAATGGTCGTAAATGCGTCCGCAATCCGCCGGATGTTGTGCGTCCTCGTGGGCGATGGTGATCATTCACGCCACGAATGATTCTGCAAAATATACCTGTTGTTCATAATCTCTTACGATGTATCGTAAGTGTCATGGGCGAACGGTGAATACAAATGACAGTATTTTTTTAAGAAGGTGGCAATTACGCTAGGCCTTGCCGTGTGGTGCCGGCGTAAGAATAAGCCACCCCATCTCATCCCGTGGGTATCGTAAGAGGCGACTAAGGGACAAGCCACAAACTGGTGGCCACCGATAGATGACGGGATAACCATCTCGACTCTCCAGACCCTAAATAACCAGGCCAATAACGGGCAGCAGCGTTATAGGTGCGAGGAGTCTGGAGGAACTGCGGTTGCCAGCCCGCTTGCGTGGCAACTATGGCACAACCCCCCCATGATAGAAGTCCAAAATGTGCGGCCCCCAGTCCCCGGCGGCCCTGCTATTCCTGGCTACGGTAGCGGTCATGGTAACGGCAGGGCAGGGGGTGCTAAGAATCCCCGGCTAGGATTCGGCTACCAACGACGGCGACTGGACCTGGCAACATACAACGCAAGAACATTGAGGACTGACGAGAAAATTACAGAGCTGGAAAGAAGAGGTGAACAGGCTGCGCTGGGATATAATAGGATTATCTGAAGTCCGAAGACAGGGGGAGGACACGATAATCCTCAAATCCGGCAACCTGTTTTACCACCGGGAGGGCGACCAACTGTCCCAAGGAGGTGTCGGATTTATCGTCCACAAGTCTCTCATTAACAACGTTGTTAAAATCGAGGGTGTGTCGTCGAGGGTTGCGTACCTTATACTCAGAATATCCAAACGGTATTCGCTGAAGGTCATACAGGTTTACGCACCAACGTCGACACATCCCGATGATGAGGTGGAGGCAATGTATGAGGATATATCACGAGCCATACATTCCTCCAAAACTCAATACATGGTGTTAATGGGAGACTTCAACGCAAAACTAGGCAAAAGGAAAGACGATGAGCTGAGAGTAGGTAGTTTTGGTATAGGGCAACGGAACCCAAGGGGGCAGCAGCTGGCTGATTTTATGGAGAAGGAGGGACTCTTTATGATGAACTCCTTCTTCAAAAAGCAGCCCCACAGGAAAGTGGACCTGGATTAGCCCCGATGGTTCTGTAAAAAACGAGATAGACTTCATTATGACGAACAAACGGCAAATATTCAATGATGTCTCTGTGATCACAAGGGTGAAGACCGGCAGTGATCACCGATTGGTGAGAGGCACATTGAATATTAACATCAGGCTGGAAAGATCTCGTCTAATGAAGTCCACACTCCGACCATCTCGTGCCCATATCCAGAACGTGCCAAATTGACTATCGGTATATCGAAGTGCTGAGGTGTTTGTATAACAAGGCTACGATGTCCGTCCAAGTACAGTCCAGTAGTACAAAACCTATCCAACTGCAGAAGGGTGTAAGACAGGGTGATGTCATATCCCCGAAACTCTTCACCGCTGCGTTGGAAGATGTTTTCAAGCTTCTGGACTGGAAAGGACGAGGTATTAACATCAATGGCGAATACATCACCCACCTTCGATTTGCCGACGATATAGTCATCATGGCAGAATCGCTGGAGGACCTGGGTGCTATGCTCAATGACCTCAACAGTGTCTCCCAACGGGTGGGCCTTAAGATGAACATGGACAAGACGAAGATCATGTCTAATGTCCATGTCACGCCTATACCGGTTGTTGTTGGGAGCACTGAGCTCGAAGTTGTTGACGAGTACGCTTACCTAGGACAGTTAGTCCGGCTAGGTAAGTCCAACTTCGACGCAGAGGTCAATCGGCGAATCCAACTCGGATGGGCAGCGTTCGGGAAACTTCGGCAAAAATTCTCGTCGAATATACCTCAATGTTTGAAGACTAAATAAAGTCTTCAATGTGTGTTGCCAGTGATGACCTACGGAACCGAGACGTGGTCCTTCACTGCTGGCCGTATGAGGAAGCTCAGAGTCGCTCAGCGAGCTATGGAGCGGGCTATGCTCGGTATTTCTCTGCGTGATAGAGTTCGTAACGAAGACATCCGCAGTAGAACTAAGATAACCGACATAGCTCAGAGGATTAGAAAGCTGAAGTGGCGATGGGCCGGCCATATAGCTCGTAGAACCGATAACCGTTAGGGAAGAAAGGTTCTCGAGTGGCAGCCTCGTTCGCAGTTCTCATCGCAGTGTAGGACGACCCCCCACTAGATGGAGTGACGACCTGTGCAAATGTGCGGGAAGTCGATAGATGCAGGTGGCTCAGGATCGTACTTCATGGCAGTCTGTGGGGGAGGCCTATGTTCAGCAGTGGACTCAAACAGGCTGAAATGATGATGATGATGAATTACGCTAGCGTTTCACCGGATGCTAATTACAACTGCCGCCCATTGGTATCCCTTTGGGTTACAGATGCGTTGCCACCTTCTAACAAGACAGGCCCCGGTCACCCCACTCACCGGAGGAAATGCACAAGTGTATCACTTACACTTCACGCTGGTCCTCTGTGGGGTCGTGATACTTATCCAGACGGACCTGCCCATTCGTGGCCCCACCTCAGTGTCGTTCTAAGCGGGAGGGATATGCCCGGTTCCCATAATCAACGAACGGCCGTCAGTTACGTAGCTTCGTAACTTTCATAACGATTTGTAGATAAAAGGTGTGTACGCCCGGTTCCTATATTAACATAATTTTGAACAAAAAAAAGCCGACTTCAAACAGGAAACTAAAAACATTGCCCACACCTATAACATTTGAGCATTGCCCTCGATCTCTCTGGGTTGCCATCATCAGATCTGGGTTACCTTGGGATATCTCTTTTCCAATAAAAAAATATCCATCAAAATCGGTTCATAAATGACGAAGTTATCCCCGAACACACATAAAAAATATATACGGCCGAATTGAGAAACCTCCTCCTTTTTTGATGTCGGTTAAAAATAGCCGTGTAACCAACGTATAGGGGAGCGGCGTACCCGTTGAGCATGGCCAGGAAGGCGGGCGAGACGCGATCGGCGTGGCGCGCGTTGTCCAGGATCTCCTTAGCGGAGCGCTGTCCCGCCTGGGCGTAGGCCACGTGCACGGTGAGCGCGGCCCGCGCGCCCGCCGCGTCGAGCCGCCGCAGCGCCGCGCTCAACCCCGCCCCGCCCTCCAGCAGGCACAGCCGCCCGCCGCCGCCCTGCTTCGCATCGACCGACGGAAACTCTTACTTTCAAACGACGCGCTTTACTTTCGAACGAAACTCTTACTTTCAAACGACGCGCTTTACTTTCGAACGAAACTCTTACTTTCAAACGACGCGCTTTACTTTCGAACGGCGCGCTTTTCTTTCGAACGAAAATGTTACTTTCAAACGACGACCCTTGCTTTCAAACGACACTCTTACTTTCAGACGAGGCACTTCTCTTTCGACCGATGCCTACAGACGCCCGACCTTACGGTGGCAAAGGCAGATTACGGACAAACTTAAACTCCCCGCGATACGTTCTAGTGGTCGACAGGTTTTTATTCTCAACGACATACGGGAAATAAAAAACTAAACTAACACACCCAATTACTTGAATCGCGTCACGGACATCGGTTCGGATTCTAAATAGTAATAATTCTGCCGTTCCACCGAAAAGTATTAATCCTAATTATATATAATAATAACCTGGGACTACAGGGCTCTCGAAAAACACTCCAACAATTTAAAAAAATATATATATAGTACACGTGTATATAAAGACCACGAAGCAGTCTATTTACTTTTAAAAAACCTTAAATAGTGATTAGCGAGGTCTTTTACCATAATTGGTACTATACACCAAAAGAAAATCAAAACTCGAATCATCGACACCGAACTAAAACTACCAGTCCCAACTATCACAAGGGCACGAGAAACTTTGAAGTGAGATGCGCAAAACAGTGCTTCAAAAAGTAATGTGATGTTTATCACATCACTCATGGAAGTAATATCACTCAAAAGCATTACGCATTACTTATTACGCAGTAGGTCTATAGTGTTATGATGATGTTGCGATGTCATTGCAGTAACCTACTGGACTTAAAGCTTAATATGATTTTAATTTCATTACTATTACGTATTTAAGGATTAAAGCGTATTGTAAATGAACTTATTGTTTAATTGATAGTTATTCAGTGTTTAATAATTAAACGTAATATTCAAAATAGCCTTGTTAAAAGGACAAAGGCGAAGGCAAAAGCTAATATCAATAAAAATCTATTCGTCAATGATTGTCGGTTTACCTAAAGAAATAAACCTTGAACTATGCAAAGACAAATTTGAAAATCTCGCAAAAATTAATTTCAACCTTAATAGTATGTAATATTAGCTTGTTTTTGTATTACAGCATGACTTTCGTATTTGAATTCGAATGTACACATTTTGTACGCAACGTCGTAAAAAAATCTCATTTATATCGCATTACGGTCACGACTTTGCTGAGAGTAATGTAAAATATTGTCCGCCTAGAGCGAAGGCGCGCAATGTGACGCCGCCCGAAGCGCCTGATCATCTCGCTCGCTCGCACACGCATGACATCCTTTTCGTATTCGGCGATGCATCACGAATAGTGATGCTCGCCTTACTCGCGTAATGGGTAATGCACATACACATCTCTATTTCTACGACACACAGACTTACATTACTTTTAAAACAACGAAACAAGTGCGCGAAAAAATGTACTTCCAATATAAAACTTGAGAGTCTGAAGCTACCGGCATCGGCGCCGGGAACGTGGGTTCGATTCCACAGATGTGGGTTTTTGCATATATTGGAGTGGATGATTAACAACCAACAGGAAATTTCCAATAACAACTGAGAGGCAGAGATACAATAGGCCGATATGAAGAGATCAGGGACCTCACCTTCTTGTCGCCGCCGATGTTAAGGTACCCGAAGTGGGAGAGGAACAGCCTCGCCGTCTGGAACTCGGTCACCGGCTCCGGAGGCACGTACTCCTCGGGGCTCTGGCGGGGCCAAGCCACAACGGCGCTTAGGAAGTTTTAAGGCTTTTTTATGCCGAAGCTTGGCAAGCACGCGGTTCGCCTGGTGTTAAATAGAACTTCAACACTCAACGGCTGGCGGATGCCTTGTGGTATTCGGTGGTAGGGCCACGCAGCAGCGTCGACTGTTGCACGAATGGGCAGGCCCGGACGGGTAAGTACCACGATCTCACAGAAGGCCAGCGTAAAGTGGGAGAATGACAAATACTTTCGCGTTTCGTCTGGTGAGTGAGGTAGCCGGAGCCCAATTTTCAAAAGGTTGTCAACGCTTCTGTAAGCCTCGGGTGTGGCAGATGTCCATGGGCGGCGGTATTCACTCAACATCATGTGAACCGTCTGCTCGTTTGACAACTTTTTGCATAAAAAAAAACTTATTTACGAACTTTGTATCAATTTTTTTATGTAAAATTCGACGTATCATAAAAAAGCGCGAGCGTCTATTTGAATAAAGACATTATGAGTTTAATAAAGAATGACAGAGCCGTGATAGCTCAGTGTCCGGGCGCTCGCCTTTAATTAAATATACTCGAGCAACCTGAGTTCGATCCCCGGCACCAATGAAGTTTTTAACTTTAAGTGCTGACTTATCACGTGCTCCGCGGTGAAGGAAAACATCGTGAGGAAACCTGCACATTTTCGAAATAATAACAAAAAAAAATATATTTCGAAAATATGTGAAGTCCGCCAATCCGCAGTGGGGCCGCGTGGTGGACTATGCCCTGATACCCTCTGTATAGAGGAGGCCTTTGCCCAGCAGTGGGACATGTATAGGCTGTTACTTTACTTTTTTTTATTATGAGTTTGAGTGTCAAACTCAACCTTTGAAAATAAAAGTCGAGGCAAGACACAAGTTGGATCCGGTTACCTCACTCACCGGACGGAAGGCGAAAGTCTAATACTGTGAGGTCGTGGTACTTATCCGGAAGGACCCGCCCATTAGTGCAACAGCGTGGCCCTACCACGTGGCCCTACCCTAGCACCCGTACCAAGCTGAGCTCAGCCCCAGAACTCAAACCACTGAGTACCACACTCACCGCGTTGTTCTCGCCCTCCCTGATGCGCCTCTCGATGGCCGCCTGCTGCTCCAGCAGCTTGAAGAGTGTTGGCGCTTCGGGGTCGTTCAGCTGACGGAGAACCGCCTCGAGGCTGGGGAACGCCGAGTCCCTGCCAGTGCGGTGCAACATCAGACATTGCTAATGTTTTCTTCTTCACTTATAAAAGTAATGTACGATTCAAACTCCTTAATACTCTTATATGTATATGTATGTATGTTTATACAGCGTGTCGTTACCATCGCGACAATAAATCAACACACGTCTAACGCTACTTGCCAATAATCATAAAAAAATATTAACGTTAAACAAAATCCATAATTAAAATAAAAATATTTTTCAAACTAATTAAGTAAAAAAGAAACAAAATTTGTAACACCTATACAGCGCGCGCCACAGCGTCGCATTACAAGCCTCTCCTTCTAACAGTATGTTTTGTCTCTTTTAAATTCATTCAACGCATTCATATGCTTTGTGACCTTTACAAATGAACTTTACGTTACAGTTTTATACGTAAGGGTATTCTAAAATTGTTTGTTTTGGAAAATTTCATAACTCGGTAAATATTGATGTTTAAAGAATGTAAATGTTTAATACAATTTTAAACAGTTATCCTCTATATGTGTGTTCATTTATTGTCGCGGTGGTAACGACACGCTGTATATGTACATATTTTGTCTTATTGTGTACATCGTTATACAGCATGGTGTTACAACCGCGACCTTAAATGAACACACTTCTAACGCTACTAGCCAATAATGGTAAAAATATAAAACTAAAAAACATTAATATAAAAAAATCCGTAATTAAAAAAAAATAATATTCAAACTGATTAAATAAAATAAGAAACAAAATTTGCGGGCATGGGCACGGGGCGGGCGCAAGGAGGGGTAGCGAGAGACGAAGAGGAGAGAGAGAGAGAGAAGGGGCACTCACACGGCGCAGGGCGGCGCGGCGGGCAGCGGCAGGCAGGCGGGGGGCGCGCGCGGGGGCGGCTCCAGCATGGGCACGGGGCGGGCGCAAGGAGGGGTAGCGAGAGACGAAGAGGAGAGAGAGAGAGAGAGAGAGAGAGAAGGGGCACTCACACGGCGCAGGGCGGCGCGGCGGGCAGCGGCAGGCAGGCGGGGGGGGGGGGGCGCGCGCGGGGGCGGCTCCAGCATGGGCACGGGGCGGGCGCAAGGAGGGGAGAGCGAGAGACGAAGAGAAAGAGAGAGAGAGAGAGAGAAGGGGCACTCACACGGCGCAGGGCGGCGCAGGGCGGCGCGGCGGGCAGCGGCAGGCAGGCGGGGGGCGCGCGCGGGGGCGGCTCCAGCATGGGCACGGGGGCGGGCGCAAGGAGGGGAGAGCGAGAGACGAAGAGAAAGAGAGAGAGAGAGAGAGAAGGGGCACTCACACGGCGCAGGGCGGCGCGGCGGGCAGCGGCAGGCAGGCGGGGGGCGCGCGCGGGGGCGGCTCCAGCATGGGCACGGGGCGGGCGCAAGGAGGGGAGAGCGAGAGACGAGAGAGAAAGAGAGAGAGAGAGAGAGAGAAGGGGCACTCACACGGCGCAGGGCGGCGCGGCGGGCAGCGGCAGGCAGCGCAGCGGCAGGCAGGCGGGGGGCGCGCGCGGGGGCGGCTCCAGCATGGGCACGGGGCGGGCGCAAGGAGGGGAGAGCGAGAGACGAAGAGAAAGAGAGAGAGAGAGAGAGAGAAGGGGCACTCACACGGCGCAGGGCGGCGCGGCGGGCAGCGGCAGGCAGGCGGGGGGCGCGCGCGGGGGCGGCTCCAGCATGGGCACGGGGCGGGCGCAAGGAGGGGAGAGCGAGAGACGAAGAGAAAGAGAGAGAGAGAGAGAGAGAAGGGGCACTCACACGGCGCAGGGCGGCGCGGCGGGCAGCGGCAGGCAGGCGGGGGCGCGCGCGGGGGCGGCTCCAGCATGGGCACGGGGCGGGCGCAAGGAGGGGAGAGCGAGAGACGAAGAGAGAGAGAGAGAGAGAGAGAAGGGGCACTCACACGGCGCAGGGCGGCGCGGCGGGCAGCGGCAGGCAGGCGGGGGGCGCGCGCGGGGGCGGCTCCAGCATGGGCACGGGGGGGGCGCAAGGAGGGGAGAGCGAGAGACGAAGAGAAAGAGAGAGAGAGAGAGAGAAGGGGCACTCACACGGCGCAGGGCGGCGCGGCGGGCAGCGGCAGGCAGGCGGGGGGCGCGCGCGGGGGCGGCTCCAGCATGGGCACGGGGCGGGCGCAAGGAGGGGAGAGCGAGAGACGAAGAGAAAGAGAGAGAGAGAGAGAGAAGGTGGGCACTCACACGGCGCAGGGCGGCGCGGCGGGCAGCGGCAGGCAGGCGGGGGGCGCGCGCGGGGGCGGCTCCAGCATGGGCACGGGGCGGGCGCAAGGAGGGGAGAGCGAGAGACGACGACGAAGAGAAAGAGAGAGAGAGAGAGAGAGAAGAGAAGGGGCACTCACACGGCGCAGGGCGGCGCGGCGGGCAGCGGCAGGCAGGCGGGGGGCGCGCGCGGGGGGCGGCTCCAGCATGGGCACGGGGCGGGCGCAAGGAGGGGGAGAGCGAGAGACGAAGAGAAAGAGAGAGAGAGAGAGAGAGAAGGGGCACTCACACGGCGCAGGGCGGCGCGGCGGGCAGCGGCAGGCAGGCGGGGGGCGCGCGCGGGGGCGGCTCCAGCATGGGCACGGGGCGGGCGCAAGGAGGGGAGAGCGAGAGACGAAGAGAAAGAGAGAGAGAGAGAGAGAGAAGAAGGGGCACTCACACGGCGCAGGGCGGCGCGGCGGGCAGCGGCAGGCAGGGCGGGGGGCGCGCGCGGGGGCGGCTCCAGCATGGGCACGGGGCGGGCGCAAGGAGGGGAGAGCGAGAGACGAAGAAGAAAGAGAGAGAGAGAGAGAGAGAAGGGGCACTCACACGGCGCAGGGCGGCGCGGCGGGCAGCGGCAGGCAGGGGGGGGGCGCGCGCGGGGGCGGCTCCAGCATGGGCACGGGGCGGGCGCAAGGAGGGGAGAGCGAGAGAGACGAAGAGAAAGAGAGAGAGAGAGAGAGAGAAGGGGCACTCACACGGCGCAGGGCGGCGCGGCGGGCAGCGGCAGGCAGGCGGGGGGCGCGCGCGGGGGCGGCTCCAGCATGGGCACGGGGCGGGCGCAAGGAGGGGAGAGCGAGAGACGAAAGAGAAAGAGAGAGAGAGAGAGAGAGAAGGGGCACTCACACGGCGCAGGGCGGCGCGGCGGGCAGCGGCAGGCAGGCGGGGGGCGCGCGGGGGCGGCTCCAGCATGGGCACGGGGCGGGCGCAAGGAGGGGAGAGCGAGAGACGAAGAGAAAGAGAGAGAGAGAGAGAGAGAGAAGGGGCACTCACACGGCGCAGGGCGGCGCGGCGGGCAGCGGCAGGCAGGCGGGGGGCGCGCGCGGGGGCGGCTCCAGCATGGGCACGGGGCGGGCGCAAGGAGGGGAGAGCGAGAGACGAAGAGAAAAGAGAGAGAGAGAGAGAGAGAAGGGGCACTCACACGGCGCAGGGCGGCGCGGCGGGCAGCGGCAGGCAGGCGGGGGGCGCGCGCGGGGGCGGCTCCAGCATGGGCACGGGGCGGGCGCAAGGAGGGGAGAGCGAGAGACGAAGAGAAGAGAGAGAGAGAGAGAGAGAGAAGGGGCACTCACACGGCGCAGGGCGGCGCGGCGGGCAGCGGCAGGCAGGCGGGGGGGCGCGCGCGCGGGGGCGGCTCCAGCATGGGCACGGGGCGGGCGCAAGGAGGGGAGAGCGAGAGACGAAGAGAAAGAGAGAGAGAGAGAGAGAGAAGGGGCACTCACACGGCGCAGGGCGGCGCGGCGGGCAGCGGCAGGCAGGCGGGGGGGCGCGCGCGGGGGCGGCTCCAGCATGGGCACGGGGCGGGCGCAAGGAGGGGAGAGCGAGAGACGAAGAGAGAAGAGAGAGAGAGAGAGAGAGAAGGGGCACTCACACGGCGCAGGGCGGCGCGGCGGGCAGCGGCAGGCAGGCGGGGGGCGCGCGCGGGGGCGGCTCCAGCATGGGCACGGGGGGGCGGGCGCAAGGAGGGGAGAGCGAGAGACGAAGAGAAAGAGAGAGAGAGAGAGAGAGAAGGGGCACTCACACGGCGCAGGGCGGCGCGGCGGGCAGCGGCAGGCAGGCGGGGGGCGCGCGCGGGGGCGGCTCCAGCATGGGCACGGGGGGGCGGGCGCAAGGAGGGGAGAGCGAGAGACGAAGAGAAAGAGAGAGAGAGAGAGAGAGAAGGGGCACTCACACGGCGCAGGGCGGCGCGGCGGGCAGCGGCAGGCAGGCGGGGGGCGCGCGCGGGGGCGGCTCCAGCATGGGCACGGGGGGCGGGCGCAAGGAGGGGAGAGCGAGAGACGAAGAGAAAGAGAGAGAGAGAGAGAGAGAAGGGGCACTCACACGGCGCAGGGCGGCGCGGCGGGCAGCGGCAGGCAGGCGGGGGGGGCGCGCGCGGGGGCGGCTCCAGCATGGGCACGGGGCGGGCGCAAGGAGGGGAGAGCGAGAGACGAAGAGAAGAGAGAGAGAGAGAGAGAGAGAAGGGGCACTCACACGGCGCAGGGCGGCGCGGCGGGCAGCGGCAGGCAGGCGGGGGGCGCGCGCGGGGGCGGCTCCAGCATGGGCACGGGGCGGGCGCAAGGAGGGGAGAGCGAGAGACGAAGAGAAAGAGAGAGAGAGAGAGAGAGAGAAGGGGCACTCACACGGCGCGGGGCGGCGCGGCGGGCAGCGGCAGGCAGGCGGGGGGCGCGCGCGGGGGCGGCTCCAGCATGGGCACGGGGCGGGCGCACGCGGCCGCTCCGCGCGTGGCGCAGCGCGCAGCGCCGCGGCTGCTCAGCGACCACGCGTAGCGGCCCCAGCCGCACCGGATGATCACTGCCGGGGGGAGCACTCACTAGCCGTTGGCGCTGATGTAACTTCGTTCCCATTTGAGACGATAAGACTTTAAGCGGCTACGAGTTGCTGACTTTAAACTTTGCACTCGGAAATAGATCAAGCTTTCAGCACCTTCGATCACCTATTGTTGTTAACACTAACAAAAACCTATCCAACAATAGCAAATGTAATTCGCAGTCTGAAAGGTACCACCGAACGGTTCGCAAGAGTTGCAACGCTGACGCTACCTCACAACAGTCAGTCCCAACGAGCACTGCGACCTAGAGTATTGTAGTTTACAGCAGGATATACGTACCGACTAACGTCGGCTGCGGCTCCTGGCTGTTAGCCAACGGCTCTTCCAGTAGAGAGAGCAGGGTGCTGCCGTCGGCCACGAAGTGCCGCAGCCGCCCGTGTCCCAACGCCGAGAGCCAGCGCTCGTCCAGACGACACCACCTCCCGCTGCCACCCTGATCATTTTTTTATGTGAGAAAGTGGCAAACAAGCTGGCAGTCCACCTGATGTTTAGTGATAACTACCGCCCATGGACATTTGCAACACCCGTAGGGCTGCCGAATGCGTTGCTACATTTTAATAAAGTGGGCCCCGGCCACCTCGCTCACCAAACGAAAGGCAGAAGTAACACTTCTACTTTACGCCGATGAAGTTCCGGACTTACCCGGACTGACCTGCCCACCGTCCTAACAGTGTAAACTATTGCGTGGTCCTACCACAGTTAATTCCTCGTCATCACCAGATCATACCCTGCGATTACGAAATAGCATATAGCAAAGAAAATGCGTAGTTCTCCTTAGAAAGACCATCTTCTACCATCGCCCTAATACCACATCCTCTTAATTACGAAACGCAAAGCAGATGCATTGTTCCACTTGGAAAACAGTTCTTGATGTTTCATTCAACAATTTTAAACATTAACATAACAAGACGTTGTGGTTTGCAGATGGGTATTACCAAGTCATTTAAAAATGCGCTCTAGTTACCTCACTCACCAGACGAAACATGAAAATAATATAATACTGTACTTCACGCCGCAGATACCGAGGCACGTCTTCTGTGAGGCCGCGATACTTCTCCTGCACGCTTGCCAATTCCGCCGGACCATGTCTCCAGTTCCATTGTGGCGAAGTTTTCTCAACATTCGAACACGAAGAAGACGACCTACCTGCTCCAATATCAGCATCAGCAGCGACTCGGCGGCGTCCCTGACCCTCATGGAGACAGGTTTCAGTTCCTTCTCGTCCTTCATCTTGGGCGGTTCGCCAGGCTTGCCTGTGGAGTGCGTTTGCAACGTTTTTTTTATGTGATAAGGTGGCAAGCGAGCTGGTGTTCACATACATGATGTTAAATGGATGATTTGGAACAGCCGTAGGGTAGCAGATGTTGCCAACTGTTAATAAAGTGGGCTTCGGCTACCACACTCACAAGACGAAACGCACAAGCATAACGCTTCACGCCACCTTTTGGTACTTTGTGTTACTTCCCTGGACGGTTTTGCTCGCTCCTGACAGCAAACTGTCACCTTGACAGACGACTATATGGGCGTAGTGGATAGTAGCCGTACCCTGCGCCAGAGCTGAACATTGCGTCATGAACATAGTGTTTATACACAGGCGTCGCGTGAAAAGGTCCGTTCACCCGCTCACCGTGGCTCTTGGAGCCGGAGATGCCCAGCTCGACGACCTCCATGAGCGCGGTGAGGCAGCCGGCGTCGGCCAGCAGCGGCGCGCAGAGCCAGGCGGCGAGGCACTGGTACGCGGCCACCACGCACGAGTGCAGGTCGCGCGAGTGCGCCTGCGGCGGCCGCCCGCACTGCACCGAGATGTAGTCGCAGATCCAGCGCACGGCGCGCCGCCTCTCCACCGCCTCTGCGGTGCAGTTGCACAAGTGGCGCGGTTTGGCAACAATTATAACCTTCATGATATAAATACTAGGGACGAACATAAATTGATCCTATCCACAATTAGGCTGCGTAAAATAAGTAATAAGGAATTCAGCGGGACAAATTTCTTTTTCACATAGTTTGACAAAAATAACAAACATGTATACAATGTATAAAAGGAAAATCTATCTGGAGCCATCAATCCATTTCCAGAGTGTGAGTGGACAAACAACCAGATTCGATAGAAGGAATTACAGTAAACAAAAACCATACCTATGACGAATTCTGACCGGCATGAAAGGAAAAAAGAGTATTAAAGGATTAGTGTCAATTTCGATATGTTAATAAGCCTGAGTTACATTCCACAAAATAGGAATGTTTAACGACAATACATAAAGATATTTTTACACATTCCAACCCATGTTTGCCCACTTTTACTGCAAACCCGACCTTAGGTAAGCAGCATAGCTTCACCACAGTGACCCAAGTCTGAAGAATTGGCAGATTTTGAACAGCCGATATGGGTCTTCCATTCCAAATCTGATCCCTGGTCTAAATACCGACAGCGACGTCTCATCGCGTCTCGCGTACCTGGTTTCAAGGACTGGAGTTTCGCGAAACCGGCGAGCAGCTCGAGGGCGGCCAGCGACACCTGTAGGTCGCCCTTCCAGGAGGATATCAGCCGGTGGCACACCAGGTAGGTGGCCCTTACCACCAGCGCGGCACCTTGGAAATTTCAGCGTTATTTAGGAGAGAGCGGAAGAAGAAAATGTATCTAAGATGTGTGGGGCCGTACCAACTGTTGACGCGTAACAACGTTGATGGAAATTAAACAAAAATCTACTTGGACAGCGGTGCGAAAGAGACGGCTTTATAGTTCCCTCGCAGTCACTCGGAAACCTAAGAATTTGTACATTAACCAGGACGAACTTTTCAGAAGTATTGAACAGAGATAATATCTCTTCAACTTTTTCCACTTCCCATGCAAAACTATTGACGTACAATATACTTTTTAATCACAAGGTTTAGAAAGACCTTTTTAATAAACAAGCAAGCATAATGAGATTTTATGTACATCAAAAAATTTAGGTGTTACATTATGCAGTCGCTGACGAATTAAATCATGAAAGGAACAGAGAATTAAAAGAAAATAAACAATAAGGACGTTGACAAAAAAAAAGAATTGGCAAGCAATGAGTAAATAAAAAAAAATTTTATGCGATAACCTTGCCACTGTAACGTCTTATTTTAAAAATCACAATTAAAGGAATATATAGAAAACAGAATTTTTTACCCGTCACAGTGACAATGCTTATAATGGTGTTACTTGGTTGCCCATTATATTTATTTATTTAAAGAAAAATGACGTATCAATAAATTCAAAACTTTTGTGATTCAATTGACGTCACTATCATCATCATCACCATTTCCGTTTTAGTCCACTGCTGGACATAGACCTCCCCGACAGACTTCCACAAAGCATGATCCTGAGGCACCTGCATCCATTCATTTAATGTTAAATTAAGAATTTTAGATCAGTTTTAAAAAGACACCATATGAAATAAAAATCAGTTGAAATAAGTTTAAATGGAGTCCCTGAGTTCTAAGTATAGAGTCAAGCCGCTTTCTTACGTACTCTGTGGCAGATTATAACAGTCATAGCGAACCGATAAGTACATCCAAATATCACCATTATGCCAAGCGAAATAAAGACGGATTTACCGAAAGCGGGCGATGACGGATCAAGCTCCCTAACGTCGGCGGCGTAGTCGTCGTGCGCGTGCTCGCTGCCGCCGCTCTCCGAGCGCGCTAGAAACGGACGTACGCGACGCGTGACATATGACATGTCACACGTGTCAAACGCCACGACTCATGTCGCATTTGACGCATGACACGCACAGCGCGTTACGAAGGCAATACACCTCTTGTTCTTTGTCGCGGTTCTTTTAACGTTGGTCGTACGTGTCTCGAACCGTGTGAAATTAGAGTGCGAGTTATTAAACTAAATGGCTTGTAATATTGTGTATGTTCATATTTAGTGACACGAATGTCTGACATTTTTATACACATTTCGTGTGTATAAATAAAAACTACTGGCGCGTACGGACTGTACTTATATTAGAAGTGTATTTTTAATAGTAGTAAGCTACTTAAAACTACTTCACGGTGTTATCATGGCAACCAATAACAACTTTCTGACATTTACCTACAATTCCAAGTTGTTTAATTAAACCGTTGCGAGCGTACAAAAGTACACACATGGTTTTTTTATAATATTGGAGTAATTCTAATTTCACGTGTGTTTTTTGCAAATCGGTTCAATCAAATTCTGTTCATTTTGAGGATGAAATTGGACTTGTCATGAGGCGATACTAATTCGCAAAATAACGAAGCGGACGCGATCCATTGGCGATTAGCTGTTCATTCATGATTGTGTGTGGGTAAAGCAGCTGTGTGTGCGAGTGCATGAAGTGTAATGAAGCAACACATATCCACAATTACTAGATGGGTCACACACGATTCTCACATGGGTCAAATTCCTAGACCTAAAAACGGCTCTCCTAAACCTCGTCGTATCTTCTACTTTACCAACGCAACCCAAGGATCTATGTCTCCAGAGGACCCATATTCGTATTTATTGACAACTCTACAACTTCAAGACGTTTGCAAGAGTCGAGGTCTATTACGACGCAGATATGTCAAATCTTAGCGACTGTATCCATTCAGTGATATAATACAGCAAAATAACTTGTGCAGCTTGGTTATAAGATTTACTTAACCAGACTACACTGGTTATTTCCATTAATCCTATTTCGCAAAAAATTGAGTTAGACTAAGGATAACGATGGCCCGACGACTCAGTTGACTCGTCCGGCAGACTCGATGTGCGCGCGCACCTTTGGCATTTACGGCCCGTCGACTCGGCCGTCGAGTAGATCTGAGCGCGTACCTTTGGCGTCCGCGTGGTGGGGCTGGTGGGGGGGGGGGGGGGGCGCGGGCGGGGCGGCGTCGGCGCCGTACGCGTTGTGGCGCACGCAGAGGTAGAGCGCGCTGAGCAGCGGCACGGCGAGCGCGTCCGCCGCCTCGGCCGCCTCCGCCTGCACGGCGGCCACGCAGATGGCGGGCAGCCGCGCGCGCGCCACCGCGCCCAGGGTGGTGCCCGCGCTGCGCCGCATAGCTCATAACCCACGGAACGGTACCGATAGCCGAATAACGTGCTTATATATAGTAAAACATACGTAATAATAATTTGTAATTTAGTAAGTCGACTTCATTAACGTGGATTGATTTCGGGTGTAGTTGTAATGACTTTTTTTTTTTTATATATTTTTTGAAATACCAATCATTCTTTTCAATTGTTATGTTCGAAGCTTACTGGAATATTGTTCACCTGCTTGGAGCCCCTCTTACAGTGTTCACATCTATAGGATTGAAAGAATCCAAAAGCAATTTTTGTACCATTTGTCTTTCGCTAATAATCTGTGCCATAGTTTAAATTCTTACACCCATCGACTACGATACTTTAAAATGAAAACTCTCTTCGAAAGGCGCAGAGCTACGGATATTACTTTTCTTTATAAAATATTGCACGGCCTAATAGATTCCCCTGAACTTCTCTCTAAATTAAATATCAGTTTACCACGAGCTGGTGGTCGTATACAGAGACGGAAGGTGTTCGCGCTGCCCCTACGCCGTTGTCGCTATGGCCAGCGTTCACCGATTTATCGTATTTGTTCAAGTTATAATGCCATATGTTCAGAGCTTGACATATTTAATGTCCAATGCAATATTAAAAAGTTTATTTATTCTAAGTCATGAAATGTGTTGATATTTAGCCACTTATTTTATTTTCTTTTTTTATAATTTATAATTTTTGTAGTTTTGATTATTTTTCTTTTTTTTTTTTAGTTACTAACTGCATTCATTGTTATTATTTTTTTTCGTAGATTTTTTTTTCTATGTTTATTAAATTATTTTTAAGTTTAAATTTTCTACTTCACATAATTTGAAGACTTGTATACCTACATGTTGAGAGCATTATTTATGTGTACATGATGTGTTCGCTTATAGTGGAATATTCACTTATATAATATATATTTTTTTAACCTTGTATCTATAGACAATGTTCAAGTGTAATGTTCTGTTTGCGATCCGAAATAAATAATAAAAAAAATAAAAAAAAAAAAAAATATAAGCGCATAAGGTTTCAGTGTAGAGAAGAAATCGGATTTTACTCTGTCCTAATAAGTAAAAAGTAGCCTAAAGTTGTTTACGCTATTATTCCTAGTTTATTTTGGTTACGTGTAAGATATAAGCGAGCATTCGCAAATTCATATCCGTATTGTCTGGAATTTGAATGTTAGTATGATATTGTTATTTTAAATAATTCGGCTCAGAAAAATGACTTTTTAGGGGTTACATCAAATTGTCTCGCATCTCAACCGCACGAACCTATCATGTAATAATGTTAATCAGCTCGTGAAGCCCTTGTACCTACTTCCGAAATAAAACAAAGAGAAAGCAAGGATTTGAACCCACTACTCGTTGCAGCCGGGGAACTCGGGCACGGGCAGCCCGCGGTAGTGGTAGGGGAAGGCGACCATCGACAGCAGCAGGCTGATGGCCGCCTTGCGCAGCTCCCGCTTGTCGATGGCGCCGCACTCGATCCTCGGCTCGCGCTCCGAGAGCACCAGGTCCAGCGCCGTGATGAAGTCCGGGACCAGCACCAGCACGCCGTCCAGGTCCAGTCTGTTTTCGCGTCTGAGATAAGAGTCTCAACGGGGTAGAGCGCAGTCCGCTAAGCTTCCAATGTGTTTTATTGCGAAAAAGTAAATGTAATGTAACAGCCTCTATGTTCATTGCTGGGCAAAGGCCTCCTTTGTACAGAGGGTATTAGGGTTTATTACTATATTATTAGATACTTTAGAATAATGTCAAGAAGTGGAAATTCAAGCAAGTCAGTGTTCAACATTGTCGATTATCTAAATAAAATTTAAAGACAGCACGTTTAAAACTCTCTTTAGTCAGACAATTTCTGTTTGAGATGGAGTTCCAGAGCCGTACAGCTTGACCTTGAAAGGAGTTGGACATAAGGCGGGAACGATAAAGAGAAATATGAAGGGAGAGATTGTGATCAGAGCGAAGGTTGCGAGAGTGAGCATCAGATTGGAAGGAAAATTTTTGTTTCAGATAGTTGGGAACGATGGGATCAAAGAGGATAGAAAATAGGGTACGAAGAATGTGAATGTGACTGTTTCTACGCTCGCGAATCTGCAACCAATTTAGCTGACTTCGAAAATGGGAAATGTGGTCAAATTTTCGAAGTCCATATATGAACCTTATACAATTATTGAGGAGTTGGTCAAGCTTATTAAGAAGATCCTGATTTGCATCCGAGTAACAAAGATCAGCATAATCAATTATATTAATTTTTTTCTTTACTTTTAAGTGAGCACGTGATAATTCAGGAGTTAAAATTAACAAGTTCATTGGTGCCTAGACCGGGAATTGAACTCGGGTTGCTCGAGTATTCTGAAATAAAAAGAAACCGAGTGCGCGGGCAATCGTGCTCAATCGATTGGTATTTGTTGTTGTCTTTATCACAGTTAGGTTTCATGATTTTCGAGCGGGCGCGCGGTTCGAGTCTTTTCGGTGCGTTGCCCCCTACGGCTGTCCGGTTGTCGGTGGCCCTTGGGGCTGGGAGGCGCACCTGAAGATGTCCGCGGCGTCGAGCACCACCGCCGCCGCGGTGGCGGGGTCCCTGAGGCCCCGCTGCAGCGCGCCGTAGCAGCGCGCCAGGTAGGGCGCCAGCACCGCCTCGCGGCACTGCTTCGAGCACACCGCGCGGCACAGCGCGCCCAGCGCCACCGCGCGCCCTGCACCGTGACGTCACCAATCCGTCACCCCATACAGTGACGGGCACAAGCCTGACGCCATATGCATCCCATAGTAACATGACGCCCTCGAGAGACACACCCGGCGCCACTGAACAACCTTACGAGCGCAAGCGACAAGCTCGTCGCCGCACCTATCGACACAAGCCGCGAGCGACGACGTAACAAGCCCGCTTATCGGTGCGTGTGTAACTTGTACGCAAACACGCTCGCACATTCAAACGCGGCTTCAAATTTCCGTATAGCGTAATCAGTGATGTACGGGCGGGTGGCGTGATGATCCGTGCAACGGCGAACACTGTTGCGTGGCCCTACCACTGTTAAATATGCTGTTAACATACGCGATAAACTAATGAAGGTTTTTGATCTTCACTAAAAAGAGATAAAGAGAAACAAAACTAAAATTCTTTCATTTAAAAATTCAATACATATTTTACTTATACACATAAAAAATATACATATTACACAAAAAAAACAAAATACCTGGCTGATAGCTCATCATATTGAGTCTGTAGGTTGCGTCGGAGAACGAGGGGGGAGGCGGTGTACCCTCTGATCTCTCTGTAACACGAAAAATTATTCCATTTGATTATTTCTCAAACGCTTAAGTACATTAAAACTAAAACTTCACCGGACAGCAATTATAACAATACGCTAGCCCCGAGGATGATTTACTATAACGCCAGATTGTACTGTATTTTGTGTCGAAATGATTGCAAATCCTAGCGACCATTGCGATCTACTGTAGTCTTCCCGTCGAAAATGTTGCCTCTTACTGCTGTAGGATAACATTGTCCTGTGTGGTAAGGGCGCTTTACATACAAAATCTCACCGAGGACAAACGCCCAGATCCGATTCAACTCAGGCAAATAATAATAATAAATATTTTAGGACACATTTTTATACAACGTTCTCTAGTCCCGAACTAAGTAACGCTTATACTATGGGTACTAGATAACTGATAAACATACTTAAACATAAATTTTTAAAGTTTTTTATAGTGCTAATCTCTGCACTTAATATTGAACGTTAAAACATGTAGAAAAAGTACGAAAACATTGTCGCCGCTGTGGGAATCGAATCCACGTCTTCGGCATTCGCGGCCTGACGCTACGAACGATAGCCACAGCGACGAAAATCTTAACGCAGGCGTTTTGTACTTTTTCTACATGTTTTAATACTTAAACATACTTTTCTTTTGTAAATAAATACATATTATACATACACAATATAACACACAGACACTGGAAAAACACTAAGTTCATCACACAATATTTTTCGCAGAAGGCAGACACACCCCCTACGCCATTCGGGTCGTCGGACAACAAATAGTTGTCCCGCGTGGGGATCGAACCCGCCCCCCTCTGCGCCAGCCGGCACCTAGGCAACTTCAACCTCCGTCGTCCGCAACTCACGTTGGTTGCTCAGAGCAGGTGTCGTCCCGATGAGCGCCGCCTCGAACAGCCACTCGCCGAACAGGTGCAGTATTGAGTTGACCTTCGGCCGCAGCGGCGCCAGCGGCGGTCTCTCCGAGTCGCCAACTGAAATGCGGTGGCAAACATTGAAATGTGTAGAAAAAAGTACGGTGAGTCTCGCCGCTGCGGGAATCGAATCCACCTTTTTTTTTTTTTTTTTTTTTTTTTTTTTTTTTTTTTTTTTATTGAGAAACTGGTAAACGAGCTGACGGTTCACCCGATGCTAAGTGATAACCACCGCCCATGGACATTTAACAAATATGGCCAATTTATTTTATGTTTTTCAAGAAGGCTGTTTTAACCGACTTCAAAAAAGGAGGATGTTTCTCAATTCGACCGTATATATTTTTATTTATTTTTTATGTGTGTTCGTGGATAACTTCGTCGTTTATGAAACGATTTTGATGATTCTTTTTTTGTCGGAAAGGAGATATCCCAAGGGTGGTACCATGATAAGGAAATCCGTCATCACTGAATGTTATAGGTATTAACAATGTTTTTAATTTTCGGTTTTTTTTTTTGGTTAAAAATTATACTTGTATAGGTCCTACTTGTATTGTGTAAGGAGAATTTTTCATTTGATTTAGTTAATAAAGCGTTCATGAGTATTAGACAGATTAATTTTTAATACATCAAATTTTTCGTTTGAAAACCCTTAGATTAAGTGTTCTACATACGTAGAACGCACGCGCACTAACGTCCTAAGTAGAGGCGCGCCTACTGGAGTGTTAAATAAAATGGGTTCCGGAGACCTCACTTACCAGACGAAGCGCAGAAGTGTAACCCTTTACGCCGGTCTTCTGTGAGGTCGTGGTAATTACCCGGACGGACCTGCCCATTCGTGCAACAATGAACACTGTTGCGTAGTCCTACCACGTCTTCGGGATTTGCGCCCAGACGCTCTAGCCACTAAGCTAAACGGCTAATTGCCACACCTACGAAAATCTCACCATCTTATCTACATAAGTGACAAACAACAACTCGTAATGTCCCACCGTTGGGCAAAGTCTTAGCGGTAGACAGCAGGATTTTTGGTTAGAATTTGTCACAACTTTTTTTACCACTCTGCGACATGCCTGGGGATCATTCCTACAATGGATGTGGTAGCATCCATAGCAAGATTTTCCCGCTATTTTATTAATTAATCGAAATTAATTAAAGATTAATCGGTACATCGAATTATTTTGATTACAATTTCTAGAGAATGGACGAAAAGTTTTTCGTCGCTGCGAGAATCGAATCAACGTCTACTGGATTCGCGCCGAGACGCTTTAACCACTAAGCTTAATGACTGATTGCCACCTCGGCGTTTTGTTTTTTCGCATTTATTTTTTTTTTTTTAAGTTTGGCGCACCTATTACTTCTTTATAGCTGACAAACAATTTCAAATACAGTTTTACCACGATAATTCGATAGTGACGATCAAGTTTGGACCTTCCTGAATGGACGACAAAGTTTATTTTGCCGTGGCTACCTTGTGAAGATATGGAATTGGGCGGCGTCGTGGGCACCACGCTGGGGGGCCGACTTCCCGTCAGACCGATGAGAGATGTGCGCGGCGTACCTGCGCAATGTCATTCAATAACTATACCTGTGTATGTAAGTTCTCTTTTAACAGTCCTATAGGACCGACGACATAGAGTAACGGTTAACCGGTGGATGCAAATGGCAATCGTGTATCGTACTAAAAAGTAGAAAATAATTAAATTATGAATAGTGTGATTAACAAAAAAAATATATTTTGTCGTATAATATTTATATAATATTTTAAAAAGCACAAATACTTTTTTTTTAGTTCGAGCTGACCATCTATGCATTTAAGAGTTAACATCAAAATAATAAAGCTACCATGATACAAAATAAGCGTATACTTTAATAGCGTACACTGTACCATGCAAAGCCCGACACCACGACCCACTATCAAGCCATAAAAAGCAAGCAAGAACCATCCTTATTGCGATAGCGACAAGGTTGAGAACGGCATGCGCCATACTTCGCTCGTTGATCTTCTCGCGCGGCCGCGAGGCGACGCTGAATGACTTGGCGAGGCGTCGGTGCGCGGGTGGCGTCAGCTCGTCCTCCCCCTCCGCCGCCCCCTGCCCTTGCCCCTGCGCCCCCCCAGCGCCACCGCCCCCGCCCCCGCCCCCGCCCCCGCCCGCGCCGCCCCCCCGCCAGCGCTCCGTGCCCTGCCCTGCACCGCCCGCCAGTGCCACCGCACCCCTTTACCACCGGTGACTAGCATCGCCCAAGGGATCGACCCACAGAGCCACAGTGCTCCCCACACATATACAGGACGCGAGACGGAAGATATGTACACACTTCTCTTTCGTGCTACTATCCAATTTACGTCCAGAAAATGCCGTATTGTGGCAACCTGTGATAATTATCACTGTTGTGTGTGTGTGATAATTATATTATTACTCACAAAGTGGGGTGATGTTCGGAATACTGCAAGTTAGGCAGAAATTAACGCGTACCATAACTATAGCTTACTATTCCTTTCTTAGTGTTGATACTAATTAGTTTAGATTTAAAAATTTTGTTTTTTTTTTATATTGTGCATAAAGAAGATAATTGTATCTTGTTAAACCTTTTTTAAATAACAAGTGATTATTTGCTAAATAGACATTTAACCATTGTCACTACATTAGTTTAAACACTATGTGCGAAGGTCAATTGTGATATACAAAAAAACAATAAAAATCTAGTACACACGTCTTTTGCTGTTACCTTGGTAAGCATAAATATTTACTTCAGTCACTAACACTAGTTTTCTAAGAAAACCGGAAATAGTGCATAATATTTACAAAGAACAACCCCACAACAGTAAAGGAGTCCCATCAAAGGAAAACACTTTACAATCCTATAAAAAAACAAACCAATGATTACAAGTGTTTCTAAATATAGTTAATTTTTTGATAATAAATTCAAAATATTTGAAAGTGTAAAAAAGAGTAGTGTTTTTTAACATTTTTACACCATATAAATTATACCAAACAGATTGGCATTTAAAAATATATTCACATAAATATATTAACAGACAAAGCCGTACATTTTACATTGTATAACAAAACTGCTCACACAACATATTGACAAGTTATAATTTAAAAACAGTTTACATTATTTCCTAATATATACATTTCCCGCTGCCAAACTTCAATACATAATTTTAATAGCTATGTATATATTCAATATCACAAAAGTAAAAATCTGATAATAATAGTGATAAAAGAAAAAACTTCAAACACCAAAAATCCAACGCAAGTTATGTTATAATTTTAAAACGTACCAAGGAAGGCATCCACGTGAGCCGCAATTCCCTTCATGGCCTTAAGAAAGATGGCAGGCAACGCCTGGAGGCACGGGTGTGCACTGGGATCTCTTGCGCCCTCTTCTGCCGTCATTGAGTACTATGAAACGTGATACAAAGAAACTCATTAAACACAGAAACTCATCTAAGTAAAAATATAAAACCGGCCAAGTGCGAGTCGAACTTGCGCACGAAGGGTTCCGTAACATTATCTATAAAAACGACAAAAAAATCATGACTGTTGTATGGAAGCCCTATTCACATATTTTTTTATTCTGTACATACAGCCTGGTGACAGACGGGCAGACAGACAGACAGCAATCTTAGTAATATACATTCCCGTTTTACAAAGAGTAAAGGGTAGGGAAAACTAAAAAGAATGTATTTTACAGAATAAATGGAGCAAATGAAATGCGTTTCAATATTATTTCATCGCGACGGATAATTATTTTATAATGGAACAAAGGATTTTTACTGTTCCACAATTATCTAAGTAACTAAATAAATACCTGCTTATATGTTAGTTAACTCAACCCACCAAACACACAGAATAGATAAAGTACAGCACAAAGAACTGTTAAATTTCCATTTTAAAGGTTAGTTTGTTGATTTACAATAAATCAAACAAATTGTTTCAAAGAAAGTGATAAACTTTATTATGTTTTTGATAACTAAAATATCTTGGCACAGACATTTAATAATTACTTATAAATTAATTTAAATATGAAACTTATAAATTAATTTAAAAAATTAAGTGCATCAGGCAATTGATGAGAAGTACTAACCTGTAAGAACTCAGGAGTTTGACTGATCACATGGGGCCGGCAGAGGTCGACTGGATTGCCAATGGTGTGAAGTATACGGTACCAGGTTTGCATGACCGCCTCCGCGCTCATATCTGCTGGTACTAAATTCGCGTCCTCCTCACCTAGTCAAAGCAGTTAAAACATCTATTCATCATCAAACATTATATACTTCAGATATATACCCGTGATAGCTCATTGTCCGGGCGTTCGCTTTTAATTCAATATACTCGAGTAACCTGAGTTCAATCCATGGTGCCGATAACAATGAAATTGTTCATTTTAAGTCCTGAATTATTACTGTTCACGGGTAAAGGAAAACATCGTGAGCAAACATGCATATTTTCGAAAAAAATTTTTCGTTTCAGGAATTTTTCACTAGAATATATTGCAGGAGTTATAAAACTCAATTTTCTCTCAACCAGTCTTTAAAGTTACTTGTGTTAGTTATGCTTTACTTCTTTTCCAACGACTTCAAAAACGGAAATTCTCAAATCGACTGTATTTTTTTATAATGTTTGTTACTTCAGAACTTTGGACTGAGAGAACGGATTCTAATGATTTTTTTATTGTTTGAAAGCTGATGCTTCCCATGTGGTCCCATATTTAATTTCATTGGTATTGGATCTTGGGCTCCGAAGAAACGTAGGGAACTCCTGAAAATCAATTATGTAGTCGGTTTTGTTTTTCGCTAATCATAAAAATTTACTACTGTGATGTACTTAGAACTTGATGGTGTACCTATCCTATAGAAATATATACCTGAACCGTGATAGCTCAGTGTCCGGGCGCTCGCCTTTAATTTAATATACTCGAGCAACCTGAGTTCGATGCCCTGTGCCAGCACCAATGAAATTGTTAATTTTAAGTGCTAAATCACGTGCTCAGCAGTGAAGGAAAACATCGTGAGGAAACCTGCATATTTTCGAAATAATAATAATAAAAAAAAATATTTCGAAGATATGTGAAGTCCGCCAATCCGCAGTGGGGCCGCGTGGTAGACTATGCCCCGATACCCTCTGTACAGCGGAGGCCTTTGCCCAGCGGTGGGACATGTATAGGGTGATACTTCACTTGTTACTTTTGTGTACCTATGGGCATGACGGGGAAGTGCGGCCCGTACATGTGCGCGAGCAGGCGCGCGGTGAGGCAGAGCGAGACGCGCGCCCATTGGTCCGCGAGGGGCGCGCGGTGCCGCCAGCGCACGCACTGCTCGCGCAGCGTGCGCCACAGCGCCGGCGACGGGAAGCACCTAAGATTGTTCGATTAATCACATCATTGAAGGTGTCCTTCAAGAGTGCCCCCTTTTTTGGATGACGGGGTTTCTAGGACCTAAAGAGACAATATCTATAATATATTTCTTCAATTTCGACATGCCTGGTCTTCCGTGAGGTCGATGCACTTCCCTGGACGGACCTGCACATTCATGCATCAGCGAAAACTGTTGCGTGGACCTATTTTTTAATGTAAGAAGATGGCATAGGATCTCATAAAAATGTCCTTATTTATGCCGGTCGAAGAAATCGTTCTGGCAGCGGCGATTCAAGAAAAAATAAACACAGGTTACAACAAAATGCAACTCTTAGCGGTGCCCATAAACTCTCTGACTACATGAATGAAACTGGCTTGCCTCCACAATTGATGTTGATGTACCGTCGAGTGCAGAAGTATAGAAATATATCGCTTAATCAAACTTAAGTTTTTTTTAATATTTTTTTTATATGGAACTGACTAGCGCTTGACTGCCATCACACCCGATGCTAAGTGGTGATGCAGCCGTTGATAGTAGGCGTAGCGCGCCTACTATCAACGACTCAGTAAAAGCTTATTCACTCTTGCCTCGAAGACACGTACGTTATAACACCTACGAAAGACCGTCGCCTGCCTTACACCTAAAGAAACCTGCTCCATAGTACCATTACTAGAGTTGGAGCTAGGTGGGAACACCACGAAGCGAGCGAGGACCCCGCACCCCATCTCCTATGACTTCAACGAGCATTGAAGCGAAGTTTCGCGCACACACCGCCGCCCCCACTGACCTGTGGCAGGCCAGTATCCAGACCTCGAAGAGCACGCACAGCACCCGCTCGCAGAGCTGCTCCGCCCCGTGGTGGGGGGCGGGCGGGGCCAACAGGGCTGCGGCCGCCGCCAGCAGCAGCAGCAGCAGCGCCCGCCACTCTCGAGGCCCCAGGTCTGCGCTGTCAGCCAGCGAGCGGGCCAGGCGCAACACGCGGTGGCATAGCACCGCCTGCTTGCTGATCAGGTCCGCGCCTGAAAGATAAATTTCAACTCTCCATCTCATCATCCTTGACTCAACCTGACCCATGTGTTATGTTTGCCCCAATTGAAAATGTGGGTGGCATCTATTTAATGAATCTTCTAGAAAGCAGGTGGCAAATCTGATATTGAGTGATACCTATCAGCTATTGACAACAACAGTTAGAGCGACAACAAAGCCTTTAGTTCGGCATTGCCTCTAAAATAAATAGTAAAATTCTCAAGTTTTTTCATACTTTTTCCTTTGCCATGGCCAACAATACTATAGGCCATGGGGGAGTTATAAATGTCCTAGGACCATGGGATGATTGTTTTAATGCAGCAACGACGAAGAAAAGAAATTTTGATAATCGAGATAAATCGAAGTTATATTAGGTAATTGAATAACTTACCTATGTCCATTTGGTAGATGAATGTGAGAGCTTGTAAAAAATTATGAAAGTATACATACATAATATACAGTGGAAATAAAATATTCACTTCACACTACTTATTTTCTTAGTTTCATATTAACCGACAAAAGCAAACTTACAGTTCACTTCTTAATATGTTCATCACATAATGTGTTGCCTATTGAAAGATCCTAAATCAGTTTATATAGGGATTAAAATGAGCCATCACTTTAAACAACTAATTTGCGTAGACCTTCATCATCATCAGCCTCAAGATGTGAACTGTTGAACATAGGCTTCCCGTTTAGAAGGCCTTTGGCTCTAAATGAATCAACTCACTGTCATCTGCCCGTGGAATGAACAGGTTATGCAAGTGGCTGAGGATTCTCGCGGCGTAACGACGCGGGTCAGCCGCCACCGGAGCTGGTACGGCGGGTGGCTGAGGGTGCGAGACAGGCGCTGGTGGCAGTAGGGCGCCGAGCCAAGCATAGCAAACATGCACGCATGCTCGCAACGCTTCATGCTCTGTTAATGGCAATGACAGCCCATAGCGCACAACCTCCAACACCCACTCCACCTGGTAGAAACCATATGAGGATTAATTAAAAAAGCTGTTTCAAGTCGATTGGTAGAGCCTTGCAAGCTTGAGGAAGTCCCATGGGTTAACAAAAGCCCGGCGTGAAGGAGAAGACCCTGGTTATCTCACCAGATGAAATGCAGAAGTATAATTCTGCATTTCATCTGGTGAGATAACCAGGGTCCACTTCCAAAAGGTAGTGATGTCAGTAGTTCCATGGATGTTGCAAATGTCCATGGATGGTGGTTATCACTTATCAAGTGAACCTCCAGCTCCCTTGTTCCATTCTTTGATTAAAGAAATTAAACCTGTTTTATTATATGATCTGTTAATAATTAAAATTTCCATTTGTTTAATCAAATTTGTGTCAATAATAATACTGGAATACAAGATAATGTTAATGTTGATTAAAATAATATTCTTAAAATATATTATTATAACTAAATCTGAGCAGATTTATTATAAATATATAAATTACCTCCGAATCCGTGGTGAGCGGGCTAGGTTGATGTGAGGCCAGCTGCTTGACAACTGCCAGCACTACGTCTCTGCCGCCCACTGCGCCCAGTACTCCTTGCCCACCGCCTTCCAGTGGCAGTGAGCTCCATTCTGAATACATACCGTCACTGTCCTTACTCTGTAAAAGATTGGTAATTTATTAATGAAAGACAACTAGAGGCAGTATAATAAGTATGAATTTAAGGTTTGATAACAGAATTTGAACAGCAGAAAGTCTGTCTATGCATACATATTTATTCTATGTTGACATGTCCAATGCTGTGTATTTTTTTTATAACCCAATTATTATAAAACTAATACTATGTATATAATTCACCATCATCATCATTCAGCCCATAGATTGCCACAAAATTACAAGCATTTCAAGGATAAATAAAAATATCACTTAATTAATTATTGAGAAGAAAATAAATTTTAATAATGAGTCTATTCAAATTTAATTAAAGCAGACATTATTATGACATGAAATGAAAGCATAAATTAATTATAAACATAATAAATACATAACAAGCATAGTCAGATCATAGTCACTTAAGACTAAGGTTTTTCCATTAGTTAAAGATTTATAATTTCACGCATACTCGAACGTCTACGGGACCTAAAAGAGGAAACAGCGCATAATCATAAAATATTTCCTTAATTCAGTCAGCTATAAAAATAATTAAACCAGTCATACCTTAAAATTAACTCTGTTAAAAATTCCCACATTCATAAATAAAGAATACCTAACGGTACCGATTCAACAACACTTAATTTTTTTTATCTAAGTATATTAAATGTAGAAGTGCCGGAGTTATTAAGAAGTTATATTATTGGTATTCTGAAACAATTACATTCAAAAAGAAGATAAACAATGAATTGATGGATATATTATGATTTGACCAGATTGACGATATGTCGATTTGTCAAAATTTGACAATTTCCTGACAATCGTGTGACCGTCTGACGTCTCGTGTGTTGACATCAAATTATTGTTATTTTTATTTTTTATTTAAACGTGTAGGGATGTCAAAAATCTATTTATATGTATAAAAATGAATCACTATTTCCTTTGGTCACGCCATCACGCGTGAATGGCTGGACCGATTTCGCTATTTGTTTTTTATAATATTACTTGAAGTAGGAAGATGGTTCTTACGGAGAGAAACATTTTAAAAATTGCCTGAAAAAGTCTAAAACCAACACTTTTCTATATTCCCAAAAGATTCGTAATAATACTTAAAAGTCAATTTGAACTTTAATACCATACCATAAAGTTTAAGTGTTAGTGGAGGGGTTCCGGGAAGGCAAAACAAGTGAGTGACTGAGGTAAAATATCACTTGAAATGTAAACGTCTCTTTGCTGTGCATTAACGGTGGTAGGGCCACGCAGCAGCCTCGGCTGTTGCACGAATGGGCAGGCCCGTCCGGGTAAGTACCACGACCTCACAGAAGACCAGCGTAAAGTGGAAGTATGACAAATACTTTCGCGTTTCGTCTGATGAGTGAGGTAGCCAGAGCCCAATTTTCAAAATGTTGTCAACGCATCTGTAACCCTCGGGTGTGGCAGATGTCCATGGGCGGCGGTATTCACTTAACATCAGGTGAACCGTCTGCTCGTTTGACAACTTTTCGCATAAATTAAAAAAAAATCACTACATAGTATAAAACAAAGTCGTCCCGCTGTCTGTCTGTCCCTATGTACGCTTAGATCATTAAAACTACGCAACGGATCTTGATGCGGTTTTTTTTACTAAATAGAGTGATTCAAGAAGGTTTATATGTGTAACTAGCTGTGCCCGCGACAGCTTCTGCATGGAATTTTAAATAAAAAAAAAGTTACTCCTTATTACATCAGCTATCTGCCAGTGAAAGTCCCGTCCAAATCAGTTTAGCCGTTTCAGAGATTAACCGGAACAGACAGACAGACAGACAGACAGACAGACAAAAATTGTAAAAAAATGTCGTTTTGGTATATGTAGCGAGTATACATCCGTATGAATTTAGTCAAAAGCAATTATTTTAATATTACAAACAGATACTGCAATTTCATTTATCTGTATAGACGGGTCGCTAGTATATTTATATATCGATATTTTTGATTTTATATTTAGGCGAAAAGTTTGGATCTGATATATCAATATACCAATACAAAATATTCAATACCCTTTTCCGCAAGATAACTGTGTGGGGCAGAAAACGGCGTGAACAGTGGTCAACCCGAACAATTCATCAAAGTACTCCCCATGATATATTCGATAGAAAATGCAATATCCCTTTGCAAGGCCAAAGAGTTGCGGCGATCGGAAAAGACCTGGTCGTCGACAATTCGAGCAGCTCTTCGTTGGAAGCGGTCAAATAGAAAGAGCTGGTATTTCGGTGCCCCAGCCCAGAAGTGAGAACAGTAGTCTATGTGCGGCCAAATCTGTGCTGATGCTAATGATGTTGTCCATTTAATATACTGCGGATACTTTTTATATTTATCATTCACACCTTTATGTACTTAACGATTTTTTTATACCTTGGGGAGTTGTTGTTTTTTTGAGCTTATAGCTTTTTATGAGTAGGTGTTTGAGTTGTTGAGGTCGTGCCCGACGATAGCGCTTAGCTTTCTCGTGCTCCCCTACGTTACATTTGCTTAAACATCGCTGCCATGTTATTGTGCGGAATTAGAGTTGACTTCCAACAATCTCACTCAAGAGACATAAGGCAAAAATTCTTAATTTACGCCCATCTTCTGTAAGGCCTTGGTATTTACTCAGTATGAGCCGGCCCATTCAGCAACGGCAAAATAAGATGCGCGGCTCTACACAATGAAAAATGCATTTTATCAAGTTATAGCATATGAAATGGAATGCATTATAGTAAAATTTAAAACTTTTACCTCTTGCTTAAAAAGTAGCATAGAGCCTTTCTCAATAAACAAACATTCTAACAGTGACAGATTTTTTCAATACTAGTCCATGCAATTAGCTAATTCAAACAAACAAACTCTTCAGTTTTATAATATTATGTAAAGTTTCAGCATATATACGTTCCACTGCTGGGTAGAGGCCTCTATTGAGGAGAGGGTATCCGGGGATAGTCCACTACGCGGCCCCACTTCGGATTGCCGGACTTCACATATCTTCGAAATATTTTTTTGAAGTTATACTTCTTTTGGCGCGTTAGGGCAAAACGATGACAGTAAATTTTAACGATGCCTGCGCATACCGTCACGAAAAGCAGACACCCTGAAGTTAGCTAGACGTCTACATACGTTAGTGTGTGAACTGACAACTATATTCACGATATTTATTTATTGATATTTAAATAAACTTTATTTAACTAGATATTGCGTTATAATAAAACTTTCAATGTATTAAATACCTTTTTTCTATTGTGTCGTTTTTTCTACAAACGTAGAATAAGGCGATAGATAAAATTTTTGAAAAGAAAGAGATTATCTTCTTACGCCAAGGAAGTATAACCTCTATGTACATAAGTACACACACACTTTTTTTGTTTGTGTTTCGAAAATACATAGGTTTCCTCATTATGTTTTCCTTCCCCGCAGAGCATATAATAAGTCAGCACTTAAAATCAACAATTTCATTGGTGCCGGCACCGGGGACCGAACTCAGGTTGCTCGAGTATATTTTGAATTAAAGGCGAGCGTCCAGACACTGAGCTATCACGGCTGCACTGAGTTATCACAGTATTAGTATGGATATCCTCTTATTTTTACCCGTCCCATAACTACTAAAAATTCTTTCTAGTGCAGTTCGGGCCGATATCTGCCCACCTCTTTCTCTGGTTTCTGGCTCATTTCCTGTTTAGCAGATCCAGGGGAGAATCAAACATAAGTTGGATTCAAGGTCATTCTAACAGTAGAAATTGTCTACCCAATGCCGGGCGAGAAAGATCCGCCACGCACGGGCGGAAATAGCGTTGGGGGCGCATTTCGACGCGCGCCGCCGCACCAGATGATGGTTTATGATATTATGTGCTGCAGCCATATGACAGATGATATAGTTTTGAGGTCAACATACAATGGAAGTGTCAAAACTGTTCATTTTAAGGGTCTCGTGCGCAAAGGGTTAAATGGGACCCTATTACCAAGACTCACTACTGTCACCAGACAGATAGCCAGACTGGTATCTCATGAAACAAATGATGAAAATTTGATGAATGTCATGAAATTTTCACAGATAATGTATTTCTGTTACCACCGTAACAACAAATACTAAAATACAGAATAAAAAAAATTGTAGGGCTCACATACAACAGACATGGTTTTTTTGCTGTCTTCATTGATAATGGTATGGAACCCTTAGTGCGCGAGTGCGACCCACACTTGGCCGGTTTTATTTAACTTTATATAAACTTACAATTCTTTTTGTTATATTACAATATTTCTATCTTTATAATTTATCAAGACATCTCCAAAGCAATTTTCATACTCAAAATTCGACTCTTTTTTTTTTTCATTAATCATTTTTACAGGACTGAATAGCTAAGATAAATAACATTTTTAAACAAATTATTTTTTATTAAGAAAAAAGCATTATTATATTTACATCATACATTATTTCCAAGATACATATGGCAGATTTTAAATTGTTTTTATTTATTATCTTACTCTTAACATGTAAATGTAATAAAAGTAATTTTTATTGAAAAAATAAGTATAAACTATAGTTTATCATATTGAAAATGCCAAGTGAATACAATAAGGCATATTTAGCAATAGTAAAGAGCCCACTTAAGATGTGACCATGGTATTTAAATAAACATTATAAGTACAGGTTCTCAAAATCAACCAGAAGTTTGAATAAAATTTATAAACATTTAACATTAAAATCAAAATTACTAAAATCTTAAATAAAATTTCTTAGTTAAGTAATTTTTAAGCAATCACATTAAATGTGTACCAACATAACGTGTTATATATAGCTTGCCAATTGTCATATTTATTTAAATAAAAAGAAAGAGCATTCCTTATAATTAGTTTCCTACAAAATTTTCCATATTAAATATGAAATTGAACATAAAATTTAAAATATATAAATTGTTTTATGTAAGTAATGAAAGCTAGCAATATTTAATAGGTTTAAAATATAATTTTTGTCTTATAAGTAGCTTTAGACCTTTATGCAATTTAGTTGGCTTTAATTTCATTTACCACAATCTATAATCTCAGTCTCAAATTATCATACATCCATAAAAATTGTTTATTCATCGCCTTTACCGCTAGTAGCCTTTAATAATTCTTCATATTTAAGTCTCCACTTTGTAGCCTCCTCTTCTAGCTCTTTTACTCTCAACTTTTCATCGTCTAACAAATGTTCAGTTAACTCAAGAACATTTTTTAGCTCTTTATAGTCTTGAGATTCACTTGCCTGTAGATTATTTTCAAGCATAGAGATTTTAGCTTGTTTTACTGTGTCTTCAGCTTGCTTAATTATTTTCTCAGCTTTAAGTTCGAGTTCTGATTGAACAATCAACATAGTGACAAGTCGTTTAATAACAAATGCTAAAAATATTGCAAAGCTTGTGATGTAAAAGTTTCTTTGTGCCCGAAAAAGCTTTACATGCCCTTTCATTTCTGTGGATAGATGCACAGATGTTGCTTCGGTATGGGAATATTTCCTCATTTCCCTTATAGCATCTAGTAAAAACAGGCTTAGAACGCCAAGGAACACGTAGAAATACCACGCGGCGTGTTGTTGAAATATTGCAAATAAACGAGACCTAAAGAACTGGTGCCATCGCCGGGGGCTAAATATTGGTAGTATCAGTATAATGACCACAACAATTTCAAAGTACAGGTATCCAGCAATAAAAGTCCATTGAATAGACATCTTGGTCGCGATTTAACCGGCAAAATGAATTGTTCTTTTATAAGTGATGCAATCGTTAAGAAATCTTCTGGATTAATCTAAGCGAATTTTTTCCCTTACCGTGATTTTTACTATACGCAGTGATCTGTTGAGTTGAAAAGCAGTAGTACACGACCATACACGACTTTAACATACGGAATGAATATTTTATAAAAGATCTAATTTCACACGATTATCTTTTTTCGGAACCGTATACCCTTAGGTACCTTACAATAAGGTACAAAATGGTTTATCAACTTCAGTCTTGCAGTATTATTTATGTTTTTCTACTGAAACTGATTAGTGATTTGACAGTGACAGATATAATTTACAAATAGAATCGACGAGAATATTTTTATGAATGCATTACTGGACGAGAATATTTCTTTTTTAACTTAACTATTTTTTAACTTTTTATAGACATACATTGCAATAATAATTGTATTATACAAAAACGTACATACATATTTCATATCCGCAGTAATTTATATAATTTGCCACTTAAAAAAAATATAATCATCTGAGAGCACGCGCTCCCCGCAAGTTGCTCGCCGGAAAAATATTAAAACGATCTGTTATAATGAACAGATCGTTCGGACAGCCAGGCGGCGCAAAGATCTCAACTATAGGGCATTTCGTTATGATCAACGTCAGATCCCGACGAGATTGAGACGCCGAGGCACTCCTTAAATTAAGAAACTCGTTGATGTTATTCGATGACTTAAATTCCAAACCCTTTGTTTGGTTTAGTAACAGTAGTTATTAATACAAACGGGCATACCCTTTTCAGTTAAAGCCAATTCTTCTTCTTCTTCTTAATAATGGCTTGCTTTGTGAGTTATCACAATTCCGCCAATGTCAAGTTGTTAGCCATTACATGTAGGGGAATGACAGTTTTAAAATATAAATTTAGTTATCGGAGGTTACTGCTTTAAGCATGTTATACCTGAAATAAAAGGACGTCATATACAGGACAACACATACATGAAACAGATAAAGCTGTGGTGATATAAAATTATAGTTTTAATTTGTTATAGGAAATAAATTTAGACAAAAGCTTGGGAATTTGATAATCTCTTATGCTTAATAAGGTTTTCATGCAAATGGGACGAGGAACACAAGTGGGTAGGACGTCATAAAGGGAGATATTTAGTTTGGGACAGTTAAAGAATAGATGGTCCACTGTACCATCCTCGGTTCCGCAATCACATACAGGGTTATCACGTATTTTGAGTTTAGCCAGGTGAACTGGGGTAATAGTATGGCCTATTCTTAATCTACAAATAGTAGAAACTATTCTTTTATTAAGATTCTTCATCTTGAAGAACCATGGTGTAGAAGGAATAGTTTGTAGCCAGTGAGTTTCCCACGACTTAATTAGGAGTTCATGAGCTAATGAGTATAAGTCCTGATGGAACACCTTGGAATACTTAGGAACACCAGAAGAAATGGCAAGTTTAGCACAAGTATCCGCAGTTTCATTGCCTGGTATGCCATTATGGCCAGGGATCCAGGCCAAGACGACATTTACTTTTTTTTGGAGACATCTTATCAATGCCTGATTTTTAATACTATTGCAAATTTAGATTTAGAGCGAAATTGGTTTGCAATTATGGCTTGTAAGCAGCTTCGAGAATCTGTAAAAATTATTGAGTTATTCAGGCAATGTGACTCTATGAATAAAATAGCTTCCAGAATAGCAATGGCTTCACCATTTAAAACAGAGGACACAGGAGGCATTTTAAAACTGAGAATTATTTTATGCAATGGAATCCAAACAGCAGCTCCTATAAAAATGTTACCTTGCAGTTGAGCAGCATCTGTGTACAAGTTAAAGCCATAGTAGGCACGTTGTATTTGACATTGTAAGCCCCCTGTTACTTATCAGGGTACCTCCGAATCTCTTCCAAAATTTTAGATATTGGGATTATATAGAACGTCTTCTTATTGATATATTCTTCTATCGAAGCATTGATCTCCAAATTTCGATAAAATTCCAAATAGAATGAAATCACCCCAGACCACCATTGCGGCGTTCTCCTATCTATCGTCCAAGATTTAAACAGTTTACGAGAATCATCCGATCCGAGTGGATCATGGTAACGATTGATGCCATTTTGAACTGCTGGAGATCCTCAGAGGGCAGTTGTGGGAGAACAAACCCAGAGGCATTGTCTTGAGTGGCACACGGCACACCGTTCTCCCGATAAATTTCTTTAAGCGGGCTTGCACAGATTAGCATAGACGGAAATACGTTGTTTAGGTAGATGCCCGAACGGGTCAATGACCAAAACTACGTCAACACCATTACCACGGCAGTCGGCTCGGCACAGTCTGCATTATTTCACTCGCGAACTTAAACCTTGCATAGTGCGTTCGCCGGCGAATGCAAGCTTCCCGATTTTTAGCCTACGCACCGTGTGCCAGATATTTAATCTACCATTGTTCAATTCATTTATTATATTAAACTTTGCTTATCGTGTATTTGTTCTATAATTTTATAGAACACGTTTGTACATATTTGTTGACTTAATTCAAAGTCAAAAATTACAAACAGCATCATAATGTAATTTAATTAATTAAAAACAAATGTTTTTGTCTATGGAGCAATACTTTAAAATGTCAAGTTGTGCAATTTTAAATTAAATACAAAAAATATTTTAATTTAGAATAAACTATAACAATGGCTAGCATAGAACTTGATATATGGCGGGGTGAGTGGGGCCTAGCCTCTATTGATTTAGAATGTTTAAAGGTTCTGGTTAGTATTACCATTGAATAACCTATCACTGTATCGTAGAACCGGCAAAGAATAAACTGTAATAATTATACATGTAATGTGTTTATTTCAGACTTATATGAAATTTATTGGAGTACCTGTAAAAGTGCATGAAGCAAACAATCCATATTTTGCACCAAAAGGTAGGTTACCAGTCATGAGAGATGGTCGAAGTATACTCACAACTTTTGAGGAAGTCGTGGATCACTTAAAATCATTAGTAAGTAATAATGTTTATGGTAAATTGGTAATGCTTTATTTCAAAGCTATTGGTCAGGGTTTACAAATTTAGTGTACAATTTAATATATCTAGGAATCCTGCAAAGTGGGTCAATGTTCTAAATACTTGGTTTAGTTTTATCGAGGAAGAAATGGAAAGCAATCCTGTTTTGTGATTAAATTGTTAGCAACCATTAAACAAGTTAATTTAAACAACTGAGGTCTTGGTGAAAAAATTTTTGATTAATATAGTAAACCAGTATTAAATAAAAAAAATATAATTGTTGATCAATTGCTTATGCATTGACTCTAATCAAAGTTTTAAAAAATATTAGAAATTCTTTAAAGAAGTTTTAAAAGTTTATGTCCTGGCTTAACATGACAAGACAGCTGGTTATTTTCTCGCTCAATGGTTAAGAGTTTCTAAGTGAAAGAGAAATTCTATTAATGCAATAATAAATTTATTTTTATCATAAAACATGTATATTTTTTGTACATACTTAGCATTACAGCACAGATGTCCACCTGAACACCGCACAGGCAGCAGAAGCAAGTGCTTTTACACAATATCTAAGAGAGAAGCTTTATCCGGCATATCAATATGCTTGGTGGATTGATGAAAAAAATTACAATGACCTCACCCGGCCTGCCTATGCTAAAGCTTTACGAATACCATTCAACTTTTACTATCCAGGAAAGTACCAAAACTCAGCCAAAGAGATGATTGACGCATTGTTTGGGGAACATACAGATTTAAGAGAAATTGAAAGGACAGTAAGTTCACAAAATATTAGTTATTTAAGATAGTGTAAAGGCCTCTACAGGGTCTGCTGGAACACATAATTATAAAGCTAGAGAATACCAATTCAATGCTGGATATGCAGAAATCCAGCTGAGATAAGTCCCCAAGATTGGACAAATTCCTAGGGAGTATAAATTGAATTAAATGTTCATGAAATATGCAAATTCTGCAGAAAGGCCTTATGATGGCATATTTTAAAGACCTTCAAATTCTATAGATATAAATATACATATATTCAACATTGAATGACTATATTAAATTACTTATTTTTTAGATATATCAAGAAGCAGAAAAGTGCCTTAAAACTCTATCCGATCGTTTGGGTGAAAGTGAATATTTCTTTGGTAACAGGCCGTCATCATTTGATGCAATAGTGTTTGCTTACCTGGCCCCATTGGTGAAGGCACCATTCCCTAATGCAACTCTTGCCAATCATGTGAAAGGAATTGCAAACCTGACCAGATTTGTAGCAAGGATTAATCAAAAGAACTTTAGACATGTTACTGATGGTAAGTTAAATGGTACCAGCTACTGGTTATGCAAAGTAGCAGTGGGATTAATACAGATTAGCATTATAACATTTAAATTTTTAATAACAATGGCGACGGAGATTGACTTGAGCGGTTGTAGGTTTTTGACGTACCCACGTGCTTAAGTTTATTTTCTGTAATTTATAATCAAATATTTCAGTTGTGTTTTGTGGTTGTGGTTTTATATTATTAATATTAGTGGGTAAGTGTTATTGCATTACATGTAATCGTTTTCAAGTACGATGTGTGATGCAGGAGATGATGATCCTCCTCCTGGTGGAGGTGGGGTCTTGTCCTCTGATGTAGACAAGTCGGTCCCTATTACTGGTCAATGTGCTTCATCTAGTCGTCCTCTGAAAAGATCAGCGGATACAGAAATCGCCAGTATCCCAAAGAAAAAAAAATATAACTCCATCTGCTTCTATTCAGGATTCATATACCAGGCCTGGTTTTGAACCTGATAAGAAAATTAGGTATGATGAATTTAGCCAAGGTCCTTTCACTGTCCATGTGTCTCGTATTGAAGCTCATCCTTCTGAAGGGCTCTCTATTAAAATCTTAACTTTGCTCAGCTATTGCATAAAAACAAGGTTACTGGTATTGTTTGTGATGGTATCAAGGTATTAGGCCGCAATAAAATTTTTGTCCAATTCGAAAATTATATAGAAGCTAACTCATTTATCCAGAACCCAATGTTACTCAAAAATAACTTCTCTGCAGAAGTCCCAAAGTTTTTAGTTTCTCGAATGGGTGTTGTCCGTCAAATACCTTTGGACTCTACCCTCGAAGAGTTGGTTTCTGGTCTACAGTGTCCCTCCAATTGTGGACCTGTGATAAAGGCCAGACGAATTTATATTAAAAATCGCCTTAATAATAATCCTAAGCCAACTTGGGAACCATCCACCACAGTAGTGTTGACCTTTCTAGGTCAAACCCTCCCTGAGAAAGTTTACTGTTTTCATGCTTCATTTCCAGTTTCTGTTTATCAACTTCCTACCATACAGTGTCATAATTGCTGTAGATTTGGACATGTTCGTGCCCAATGCAGATCTAAATCTAGATGCATTAAATGTGCGCAACAACACCCTGGAGACTCCTGTACGGTATCTGATGCTTTGTGTCTTCTCTGCAGAGGACATCACAAAGCCACAGATCCTACATGTCCAGAACATACACGACAGAAGAACATTAAACACATAATGTCTAGAGAATATTAGTTATCAAGCCGCTTCCCTGTCTCTAGACAGTCATTTGCTGATGTACTTTCCAAGAAATTCTCTTGGTCCTTCCCTCTCCCAGTCAAATATTCCTACTCCCGCAAATTTTCACTGTCCTCTCCCTCCACAACAAACCTTAACCTATGAACCCTCTCCATCCCAACATAAGTCCTCATATTTTAGTCATAAATCTCTTCCTCAGCATCCTCGTCCTAGATCGCCTCTAAGCCCATCTTATGATAAACGCGCCCACCTAGAAATTATTAGAACTCCCAAATCCTCTCAACCTAACGGCAGTGCTATTAGTGTTAGCCCTACTCCACACGTTACTCCTAATGATAATCTGATTGAGTTACTCACATGTAGTCTGATAAACATGGTTTCAAAATTTAGTGACTCACTACCGAGCAATGTCTTGCCCTTATTAGAACAGCTCCTAGATACAATTATAAAAAAAAACCGTGACATTCAACACCCTTCAATGGAATTGTAGAAATGTGCGTCATAAGAAGGCTGATTTAATATTTCTATTAAACAAATATGATCCTGTTGTGTGTGCTATTGCAGAGACTTGGTTGAGACCTGGCTCCAATTTTAGGATTCCAGGGTACTCATCCTTGCGGGATGATAGAGATGATGATTGGGCTGGGTGTGCTTTATTTATTAAGAGATCAGTACCCTTTACAAGGCTCCATATTCCCTCTCATCCTTCAGATTTCCACATTGTTGCGTCTAGAGTTAGTGGCATATCTTTTGTTTCCATTTATATTCCCCATCCCAATCCTAACATCATTTCTAATATTAGCTCTATTCTTTCCTCCATTCCAGCTCCTCTTCTAGTGTTAGGAGATTTTAATTGTAAAAATACTTTGTGGGGTTCCCATGTTTGTGATCCCTCATCACATTTTATTATAGATATGCTAGACAATTTAAATCTGGTTCTATTAAATGATGGGTCACCTACAAGGAGAGTATCACCGCTACAAAATGCTTCTGCCATAGATTTGTCTATCTGCTCAACTGTTCTGTCATCTTCTATTAACTGGTTGGTCCTGGCTAATTCCTATGGAAGTGATCACTTCCCCATTGTTTTAAACCTATTTGAAGTTGTTGTTCCAACAATCAAATATGACCCTCTGTTGAAGTACAGACTGGACTTAGCTGACTGGAACAACTTTTCTCTTTTAGTGGATCAAAAGCTGTCCTCTCTTTCCCCCAATTCATCCCTATTCTATACTAATTTTAATGATACTTATGACTACTTTGTGTCTTCTTTGCTAAGTTATGCTGCTGATAAGGCTAACTCTGCACTAACTTATTTAAGTGATTGGCTTAACAATCAAGGGTTATCCTTAGCAGTACCGAAATGCAATGTGGTGGTATTTACAAGAAAGCGCCATATTCCGAGTGTCAATTTGTTTATTGATGGACATTCCCTTAGCATAGTAGACAAAATAAAATTTTTAGGTGTTATATTAGATTCTAAGTTAACTGGTGTCCACCATCTTAATTATATTAGCAATAAGTGTGAAAATAGTGTTAATGTCATAAGATCTCTATGAGGTGTCCGTTGGGGTTCTCATCCATTTTGTCAAAAGATATTATATAATGCTATTGTTAGATCATATTTTGATTATGGTAGTTTTTTGTTGGAACCATGTAATAAGAATGCATTAAATAAATTACAGAATATTCAATTTAAATGTCTGCGCATCATCACTGGTGCCATGAAATCCTCTTCTAATTTGGCATTACAAGTTGAATGCCTAGAGCCTCCCCTTCACCTTAGAAGACAGTTTCTTGCTGATAGATATCTATTTAACATTTCTCAATACATGCATCACCCCCTTTTAAAAACCTTACATTCCTTGTCTCAATTAGCAAGTACTTCTGATTACTGGAAACATAAGGACTTGCCTCTGCTACTTAAGTCATATCGAAAAATTTGTAATCTTTCTAATCCTGTTTTCAAAATTGAAAAACACCCAATTTTTATGGTTGACTATATGTCATTAGTTTATAGGCCTAGGGTTATTCTGTCCTTGGGAATTGATAAAAACTCACCCTACCCACACATACAATTTAATACGATTCTTGAAAATGAATTTAAAGGTTGGCTCACTCTATACACGGATGCCTCAAAATTGTCTGCAAACTTAGATGTAGGTGATGCAGTCTGGATACCTAAGTATAAAATTATATTGAGCTTTAAATGCCCCTCTGTAACTTCTATTTTCAGTGGGGAAGCAATAGCTTTGCTAGAAGCTGTATCTTATATTTAATCTCATCATCTTAATAAATCTATAATTTTCTCCAATTCATATAGTTGCTTACAAGATATCTTAAAAGTTCCATTTCGCTCTAAGGAGAACTTTTTCATAACACTCAAAATTAAACAAGCATTATATAATTGCCATTGTGCTGGTATAGAAGTAGTTTTAGCATGGATCCCAAGTCACTGTGTTATTTCTGGAAATGAGCAAGCAGATTTTTGTGCCAAAGAAGCAATCCAGATGGGATGTTCCACCTATAATAAATGTTTTGTTCGTGATCTGCGGCTATCTTCTAAACAGGACATGATAAGAACTTGGAGTACTATGTGGCAATCAATTGGACATAGAAGGCGTAAATACTATGGCTTAATTCAACCATTTATCCCTACCAAACCTTGGTTCTTTAAATACCGCTGCTATAACAAAAATACCACATCTATTATCATCAGGTTAAGACTAGGACATGTGTGCTCTCCAGTGTTCTTGGCTAAACTTCATATTCGAAACACTTCCTTGTGTGAATGTAGGCTAGATGAGGGTACACTTGACCATTTATTTTTTAATTGTCCTTTGTTAACTGTCTCTTTATATGATTTACTTCCATCCAATGTTGCTCGCCCTGTGAATGTTAAGTGTCTATTAACTCTTGTTTATACTCCATTTATTAAAACTCTAGTTGAATTTATAGAGATTAACAATATATGTCTTTAAGTTGTTGTCATCAATTTAAAAAAAAAAGAAAAATTATGTCCTGTTTTTATTTTTCATATATTTGAGTGTTGTCTTCCATTATTAATTTGCATGTTACTAACGTTGTGTTGTTCCTTTGTTTACAGGTACACAAATGAAATAATTTTAAACAAAATAATATATATTTTCATTGTCCTAACCTTATCAAGTTGATCTCAAAGTTCTTAGTTATTGGCAAAATCACTGACGTATCAGTGGAGCCATGGTAGGGTAAAAAAAAAAAAAAAAAAAAAAACAATGGCGACATCTCTAGTTTGAATTATTGTTGTAAAACAATATTCAAAATTGTTTGTATGCTGAAAAGGTATAACAATGAATGCGTCAAGTATTGCTCGAAATGCAAAAAATTAATGTAGATAGTGTTTCGTCAATGTGACATTATGCCGTTAAGCTTAATTGTTAAAGTGTCAGGGCGCGAATCGAGGGTTCGAATGATGAAGACGATGGTTCGAATCAAGAAGACGAGGGTTCGATTCCTTCAGCGGCGAGAAAATTTAATGTTTAAATCAATAAGGACAAACCAAAATTAAAAATGTAGATGAAAGTATTTTTCAATATATGCAAAAATGGTTTATTTACTTTTAATTCCTATTTCTTTTTTTAAGGAAAGATAAATATTTCAGTTTTTTCTCAAACATAATAAGATCATAAACTAACTGAAAAATTTATATGTTTTTAAGTAACAAATAAAATATGTGAATTATTTATCAAATAAAATGAGATTATGTGACGAACTTGTTTTCATGCTATCCACTGTTACAGAATACAACCGACAAAATGCGAAGAAGCAGTCAACAGGGACACAGTCAGACAGGGACGTGGCAAATTTTCCAAACCAAACGCGCAACAAAATATTGGCAGCGCTTTTCGCTGCCATAGCGATGACTGGGTATGCAGTGGCAAACGGGATGTTCCAGGTTGGTACACACTCTGAATCAATTGAGCGAATTTTCTCACACTTTTTCTGTATAGCTCTCCAGTAGTAGCGTGGTTCCTGCAAAAACGCAATTATATTGCTAAAATGACTAAGAGTCTGCCATATATGAATTCTTCTCAACTTTAAGTATTACATCCTTATTGTATCTCTTCATTTACAGTAGTAAACAAGTAATCAGAATGGCTTTTGGAATGCAGCCATAAGTAATAGAAATTTATCATAGAAAATTACCTTTTACTTATTTTGCAAGATTATGTTTGTATGACTTAAATTTATTGCTATTCCTTTATTCCATTGATTTTCTTAGATTGTCTGTACCATAAGCATTGCAACTCCTGCATTTACTTAACATGGATTCCAGTGGTACTTAAAAACAGTTAAGACCATAGAGTATTAGCTCAATCTACATTTCCCTTTATTTATGCTTTATGTGCCCTATACACATCTATCAAGTTGTATTCTTATTCATTCTCACAGAATATCTCTTTTGTTCAGGACTTGAAAGATTTCGAACATTCCCGCGATTACAACGAGATGTTTGAGAATGAAGAAGACGACAACTGACCAGCCAATGCTGCCATATGGTGAACAGACATTTGTATTGCCCATTGTTTCGCTATTGTGGCTATTTGTGACTTCAAGATAAAATCCAGTGCAAAGGACCTGATCATTGTTTATGGTTGTAGATTAGATTCATCTTTTTGTGTAACCAGCAAAATAGACTTGTTTTGTCGCTGATCCTGGAAAATTTAAAAATTGATTAGCCCTTCATTTGTTTCAGTAAAAATTTTTATTTGATAATTTTATGGTACATTTTCAAAAACAATTTTATTACTACTTTAATTTTAAGAAGGACACACTATTGCATTTATTTTATTTTAATCTGCTAAACAAGGTTTGGAACTGGAATTGTATTGCTATGAGTATTTTTTTATCTACAAGAGAAACTCATTTACCTCTATTATGTGAATGTAAAACAGAGAAGTTCTAACATCGTTAAAAAAACAAATGTTAAGCATTTATTTACTTTGGTTTATGTGGCCAGAAGTATTTCAACATGTTCCTAAACAATTGATTATTAGGTGCTTTGTTAGAAGTATAAAGTTTATTAGATGCGGCATATAGAAAGAAGTATGTTTACAAAGATGCAACCGCTTTTAGTTTTCAGAATAAGAGGTGGTTTGTTAATTGTTTTAAATTATTTAGTGGTGTTAGTAATAAAGATATTTCGTTCGTTATGAGTTTCTTTGTTTAATTTTTATTATTGTCACTACTAAAATTATCAATATATGCTTTAAAATTTCAATGTAAGTTCATTACTTTACTCCTAACTGATGTTTTCTGTAATGTTAACTGATGATTTCGAGGGCGGCGTCGTTGCCGAATCGAATAAAAAATATAGGATGATTATCTGTTGAGATTTGCGTGAAGAACATTTATGTATAAAATGATTTCAATACAATTTAGAAAATAACGACAAATTTATTGGTTATAGTGGTGATAAAAGAGAGTTCCACTCAATGATCTAAGTTTACAATAATTTCGATACAATTTTGCATCCTTCATTATTTCGGCCCAGAGCAGTGCATTGAAAAATAAGTTAAGAGAGACTTAACACGAATTTGGACGCAGTAAAATCAATTCAGCCATTGGGTCACGAAGATATACATTCAAAACTGTGTTCAAAAAAATAATTGTGATTTAATTATTTTCTATATTTCTTACTCATCAGAAATTGTCTTCGTGGAGTTGGCAGAGGACTGTGCTGTTGAACAAATTCCGCATCGCCAAGAAACACTTCAACAAGATGAAAAAGCTCAAAACGACCCAAAACGGCGAAGAAAGCCAGCTGCCGTAAATTTTATGTAGTTAAAACAATTGATGAATATATCATCTGTACTAATTTGAAACATTAGCTGACCCCGGAGTAATAAAGCGTGGAAGCAGGACGGTGCTTATTGCCCTCTCTGTCGTACTTAGCGATCTTACGGCGAGGTGTTTAATTGCGATATTAATAAGATATATATATATATATGTCAAGATCAGGGGACGTAATACTTCCACGTTTTATTTCCCCGTGGGTAGCGTGTTTTTGCTAATATTATAGCTAGTGATCACTGTCCTACGATGGCTTTACTCGACCAGTCCATTCCCTTTTTCATTCTTATACTGTGTAATATTATTATACTATAGTGTTATTATTTATAATTTTATCGTATGTTTAATAAGCATGAATATGCACCTGAATGTAGTCCCCTTAGGTATTAGGTTATTTCTTACGTCACAGGTTGCATTGACTTTCTTCGCAGTTCCAAAACATTAAAAAGTATTTCTATTACGGACAAATGGGTCGGGCACTGAACTAAGCAACAAAATGCGAATACTGGATTAAAGGATAATCAATCTTATTTGGAAATATCGTTTCGTATTTTTATGTTATAAGTTATCCATTACAAATGCTATGAAAGTAATACATAACTTACCTGTAACTTATTTGTATCATTTAATTGTGAACAACAAATGATTTCTTGTAAACAAATTACACCTTTCATAATGAAAAAGGAGGCATACGAGCAGACGTTAAGTTGTCACCACCGGACACATGGATCAAAGGAGTAACGAATACATTGTTGGCCTTTGAGGTAAGAATAGGCTCTCTTCTATAAGGAACCTAAGTCGTATCGGTACATGAACCACGCTGGCGACAATTGATTCCAAAATTTGGTTGTGCGTGGCAGAAATATGCGCGTAAAATGCAGCGGTGGACTGCCAACCATCGAGGCAGCGATGTTATTTGCCAGTTCGACTCATCGTAAGGTTGTGAAATTCAACAGCCGGTATTAATCCGAGACGAAACATCTCTTCGCAGTTCAGCCCAGAGATGAGGATAGTAATAGTACTCCCATTCTTTTTCTTTCATTTCCCATTCTTTACTCTGGCTTTCTCTTCCCAGGACACCAAGTTTTTAGAAGATAGCTAGGGTTTCTCTTCCTCGAAAGGCAGGAAAAATACTGGCTTTCTCTACCTTGGATACCAAGTTTTCAGAAGTCACTCCTCCTGTGCCAACAAGGGGACTGGTCTCAAAAAGGAGACATGATGAGTGGTTTCTTATACATACATACACATATAAGGATGCAGGAAATAAAACATACATTATCGATGTTTAATTTATTCTTCCGGAAGTGATGTTTGGAACAGACTTGTACGATATTTTCTGTTGTTTTTTATTGGGCATGAACAGCTACTGAGTATATCCAATGGCACTATAAAACCCATTATGTTAACTGTCTCAATATTCTATGATCTAACTACAAAGTAATTAAGACATAAAATTTCTTTTTTCTTCTTTGTTTTTAAAAAACTACACCCTAACACAGTAACAGTTCATAGATATCAACAATTGAATAGTTTTTGGTGCTATGTAAATAAATTATAGTTTAAAAAAAGCAATTTCAATGTCATAGCTTCAATTTATTTATGAAGTGTATTTAAGACAGCTGTGTTGCATATAAGGTACTGATATTGTCTTGCAGAAGATAAGCTCATATAAAATGGTATATAAGTTACACATTTTTGTCAAAATGTCGCCTTGTTTTCTCCCTCCATAACATTTTAAAACTTACAGTATTTTAAAATGTACAGATGTTTTTATCTAATATGGTTGATTCCACAAAGACAAAAATATTAAGACATTATAACCGTATACAAATGAGCATAAACAATACTAACATAAATGTTTTCTAAAATTCAAACATTTAAAAATTTTGAATACTACTTTTTTTTGTCAAAAACAAGTTTTTTTTTTAATTGTTAACCATATTTCCTCTGAATTGTATTTACATCTCATCAAATATCAAATAACATTTTTACAACTTCACACAAATTTTAATTTACTATTGTTAGTAATGGAACAAGTTAAAATAAATAATTAAATGGTAAAACTTGCGTAGATTTAATAAAGTTTTAAGTGTTACAATAACAAATTAATTAACATTAAATCTTAAGCGATCCATTCATTTCAGTCCAATGTATTACCTTTGTAATAATTGGAAGACAATTTGTTATTACACAGTCTATCTGCAATTGTTCACAGAGATAGATATATTAAATAAAACACTAAACACAAATGTTAGCTGCCATATATACAACATATTACAAAAACTAAGGAATAAATTAATTTTGGTCCTCTTAAGTAGCAAGAATTGTAAAGTAATGTACACAATTAAATTACTCCCTAAAACAATCAATTCTTGTATCTCAAAAACAATAAATATATTGTTATGCTTGCAAAAGTTAGATAAAGCAGAATATGTCTATTACATAGTTGTACAAAACCAATTAGTAGTCTCCTCTTAATATTTCAGTTAATAAATGTATACAACTAAACTACAGAATTGTAAATAGTTTTAAATACAGCAGAAACTCGATAACTCGAACTAGTTAATAGTTTGCCTTCACTAATAATGTGCTTAAATAAATATGTACAATAAAACTACAAATTGAGGTACTAAAAAATTCTGCCTTTTAAGTAGAAATGTTGAGCTATTGAATCTTTGTGTCTCGATTTTCGTTTAGTTCAATACTCACTCATCTTTATAACTGAAACTGTTGAAATTCGAGTTATCGAGATTTGACTATAAGGAAGTTTTTTCACAGTAATTATAAGTAACCCAAACCTAATGACTAACAAATAGCTTATGCTATTGCTGTCTAATCAAGCTTGTCTAGTTTGAATATTTTACTAGTTTAATGCAAAATAGTAAATATTGATTTTCACACTGCGGAATTATTGTTGGATTTCAAACTTGCAAACTCACTTACTGCGAGTTATGTGTCAATTTTGGCTAAATGGAGATATAATAGATTTTATAACAACTGATGAGTGCTCTTATGTATTAAGTGACAACATTAAATAATGTTGCCTCTTGAACTATTAATAATAAAGTTTTGTAACAAACTTAATATTAGTTTCTTATAGTAAATAAACAGATACAATTTCAAAAAATGGCGAGTCAACGGAGTCATTTTTAAAAGAAAATAAAAGCAATGTGTCATCTGTACATGAAACTTAATTATAAATGTACATTACGATAAAATGGTAACAATCTGTTTAATACTTACACATAGTTTAAAAATCGTGGCGTCACGGACACCATTTTGTTTCAAAATATAATTTACATTTCTTTAATTTTAAGAATATGTTTGATGAAAAAATAAATAATTTTTTAATATGCAAACATTTTGTTAAAAATTTTGTACCTCTACCTAATATGACGCCATTGCGGTTCCTGTATTAGTCAACCATAGACAACGTGACGTTTCGCCACCTCTTTTTCGTCAACGCCAATTTCGTATTAATTAGCTCTACTCAAATAAATAACTGACGGGCCTAGGCGAATGTTATCACTGATTTGTTCGCGCCGTGCCGACGCTCAATTCCTATGACGAAATAATTTACTTACATCACTACACGCGCATCGACATAGACCCCCGTCCGTTTCCGTTTAGTCGGGGGCGTTGAGCAGCGACTGCGAGTCCAGCAGCAGGCTGGCGTCGATAAGGCTGAGCTGCATGGCGTCCAGGCTTTTGGCCACCTGCTCGTGGCGGCCGAGGCTGAAGGGGTAGAAGCGCGATGCGGGGGGGAGGGGCTCCGCCCCCGCACCAGAATCACTCCCCACGCCCTCCGCGCCATCTGCTCCCCTCGCCTCGCCGTTGGCGCGCCGCGGGCTGAAGATGGACAGCGCGCCCAGACGCTCGTTCAGCTGATGGATCTGGAACGACGCAATGCTCACATTGGTGAAATCTCCCGACCCGATTGGCCTAATGAGTAGCGAGCCTGCCTCTCTCGTCAGAGAGTGTGGTGGTTCGATCCTCACTACTGAAAAAATATTGTGTGAGGAACATAGTGTTTTTCCACTGTCTGGGTGTCTATAATTTCTCTTGAAATTCGAGTTATCGAGATCCTACTATACTAAAGTTTTTTTCAGTAAGTAACTCGACCCTTATTTATAAACAGATTATTTTTTCACCAAAACCATATGTTTAATATGTATTTATTTAAAAACAGAAAAGTATATTTCGGTATGTTTTTGTTTATCAGTTATATGGCACCCATAGTACAAGCGTTGCTTCGTTTTGGACAAGAAAACGTTGTGTATAAATGTGCCCTGAAATATTTATTTAATATTGTCTCTAATGCGAAGGGTTTGGTTAGTAATTCCCAACGACCATTCCATCTTAAAATTCTTCGCTGCGAAAGCTAGATTACGAATCGACAACCCAAACGAAGTTGAAGGGGTTTCCTTGGTAGCCAAGTTGGCCCACCTCAGTTCCCGACTCCTAATATAGTCCACTTAACACCAGGTGAACAACGTTTCGCGCAAAAACTGCAAACAGCATCAGCCGACCTGGGCGCGCAGCCTGCAGTGGTGCAGATGGTAGTGCATCCTGCCGTCGTGGGGCGTGTCCAGCGGCGGCAGCCAGCGCTCGTAGCACAGCGCCCACAGCTCTACGCCGGCTACGGAACTACACGGCCGTAGACGCTCCGCCTCCGGCTCGGTGATCTCGTGCCGAGAGTTGCGCCAGCCCGCCGGCTGGCCTGGTCGGGGTGCAGCGTTCGAATTTAGAAGAAAGTGAAACATGGGGAGAAGGGGTGGGGGGGGGGGAAGGGCCACGCAGCAGCCTCGGCTGTTGCACGAATGGGCGGGCTCGTCTGGGTAAGAACCACGACCTCACAGAACACCGGCGTAAAGTGGAAGTATAATACTTTCGCGCTGTGTCTGGTGAGTGGGGTGGCCGGAGCCCAATGTTCAAAAGGTTGTCAACCCATCTGGCACCCTCGGGTGTAGCACATGTCCTTGGTCGGTGATATTCACTTAACATCAGGTGCACTTTTCACATAAAAAAAAATAAAAGAAGAAGTTGACGTCACACTTTAACTTAGTTTTTCTTGGTACTAGAATTAATGACTCCATGGCGCAGTTGCCAAGGTATGGGTTGCAGCGGGTTCGATTCCCGCCCGGGACCTCTATTTGTGTGGCCCAAAGACACTTGTTTCGTACCTGGGTGTTCGTCCACGAATATAATATGTATGAAATATAATAAATATGTATGAAAAACGCCCTTGTAAAACAGGATAATATTATACTACTTCAAGGGTGTTGTTTTTAAATACCAAAATAACAAAATAAAACAGGCAGTGAAGATGGAACATCTAGCGTCTGGGACATTGGCTAACTGCTGTCTTGGTTCCGTTTTTCAGAATTCTCAAGGGAAAAGTGGCTGTTATTATTTGTTTCCATTGTTCATTGATGGGATCTATCTACATTTAGAGTGTATTTTGATTGGCTAAACATGAATAGCACTCACTTAGCCTATGTGATGTCATCTGTACTGGTTTGTTGAGCATGAAGAGCGGATTGTAGAACAATGCCTTGTCTTGTTCGGAGAACTGCTCGCCCCAGTCCCAGACGGGCCGCGGCACAAAGTTCTGTAAAAAAAGATAAACTTAAATTATTTTAAACTGGAGCCTGTTTAAAATAATAATGGATAATGATTTGCATATTGCTAGCTTTGGGCTACAATGGAACTGCGTTAAAGGAACTTTATTCTACATACATCATGAAATATCTGTTTGATATCTATCTTTTATAATGTTGTTATTGGGTTGCACATTTCATTTTGAGGCCTTCAGGAATATTCAGTATTAGAAGTTGTTTTAAAGAACATTTCCATCTGAGTATGTCTGTTTCAATTTGTTTAAATTTTTGGCATTTAGCAACTTTGAAAACAATCCATTTTACATTTGTTAAAAAAATATAATTCTATATGTATTAAATAGACATTATGTTATTGATAAAAAATACTTTTCAGATCAATTAATAATATTCAAGTGAATTTTTTTGTGTGGTTCTAAAATTATTTAGAATATAATTAATATTCAGACCACAGACGCATCCTGCGTTTGTTTAACTTTTTTACAATACAGTTAAGTAGACATAATAATAATAATGCATGTAACTAGAAATAGTAGGGTTACACGGTGACTTTTGTGGTTAGAACGGGCAACGTTGTTTGAGGAAGTACTAAAGCCACACAGAGATAAAGTGGAAGTATTATACTTACGCAACGCATCTATATCCCGTCTGGTGTTATATGTCAACAGTGAGCCGCTTGCAAACTGTACAAAATTCCCTATTAGAAACACACTTTTCTTCTCTTTTAAGCCCTTCTTACATTGGTCAAGTGTTACAGTTTACAAGTAGTGCAGTTTACAAGTAGTGTAAACCATCGGACAGTGATGACGGCCTAGTTGACTCGCCACTGTTTGACCATTTAGGCTACTGTAGTAAACCCTTGGGCTCTAGGGGTCCACTCGCCTTGGAGAGGGCCAGGTCGCGGTCCCTGGGGCAGTTGAAGAGGAAGGTGTCGAAGAGGTGGTTGTGCGCGCAGTCCCACAGCGTCACCAGGTAGGTGTCGGTGAACTGGAAGGCGGCGGGGAACTGGCGCAGCAGCTGCCACGCGCAGTCCAGGAACAGCAGGAACACGGGCGCCGGCTGCGCCCCCGCCGCGCCCCCGCCCGCCCCCGCGCCGCCCCCCGCCGCCCCCGCCGCCCCCGCGCCGCCCTCCTCGCGCGCCTGCCCGGGCCGCGGCAGGCCCAGCCTGCGCATTCCAGGGAATTATTCATATCTTATCTAGCTGTCTGAGACTCTTTCACCCTTCTGAAATGTTATCGATTTACAAAAATGCAAATGACCGCTTGCAGATTGATAAGTGTTTGTAGCAGCTGGAGTAGGAACTTCTATATCTGATGCAAATTAAAACGTCGAAATCAGAATGGATAATAACGTTTATTCGAAGAAATGCAGGTGCCAAATATAGGTGCCGAAACAAAAGACGAAACATGGTGTAAGTTAAACATATAAAAAATCGTTATACGTTTGAGTAAACAAAGGATGAGTGGTGGCCATCACGGAGTAGCAATACCTCGGAGCCGCCCCTTTTTATCGAAGACAAAAGATCGCTACACGACCATCTTAATTGTGGGCGTTGCACAAAGTTTTTTACCGCTGGCCAGTGCAGTGACGTCGTCGATGGTCCAAGTCAAAGGTGTTAGCGGTAAATTATCGCTACAGTGTAACCTTCACTATTTTTACAACCAAAGAAAATTACTTTTGATCGATAGCTTTTAATGTGGAGAATATGCCTTGGTAGGCTTGCAGAGATATTTCTTTTCATGTCAACCTCGGTAGCAGGTATGAACATCTACGCCGATGAGTACAACCAATAATTTTAGAAACGATGAAAAAAAAATGCTATAAACACTCGTCAATCTGCCCCACGGGCTCGCCTCCTATAGTCCGAGCTTCACGATGATTCCCATGCCCCTTCCCTGGAGCACGAGAATCATCGCACCATGGGCTGGATGGGCGTACTCGCCTGTCGCAGAAGGGGTGCCCCAGCGCCAGCCACTCCTTCTGCACCAGCGACTGGAAGCCGGGCAGCGTGCGGCAGTGCGCGTCCAGCAGCAGCTGCGCCAGGCACGACACGGCCGCGCTGTAGTCCACCCCGTCCCCTGACACCACACCACAATCCAAATCGATCGCACCGGGAGCAAAACGACAGACGACAGAAGCGCACGCTACGTGTGTACGCAGCCTTAAGCGTCCGACTGCTGGGCAAGGGTTTTTCTACCCTCCATTTGGTGGTAACTTACGTACGTATTGATTTTCACAAGAACGCGTAAGCGTCTATGTGATGAATAAAGATATTTTGAATTAGAATATAGAGTTAGAAACCTCAAATATATATATTTTTGAGTAATCAGTACGGTTAGAGGAAAAATGTAAAGATAAATTTGCCGAGGCTTTAATTTACTAGGAATTAAACTTATTACGAAGCTGAAGAAGATACTGAGCTGAAGAGATCGAGATTGTTCTTAGCTATAATGTGAGATTGATTTTGCGCGAGGGAGTTACTTAAAATTGTTAATTATATATCTCACCCTCTTGCAGCACGACTGTGACGTTGGCGGAGAGGTGGGCGGCCGCCTCGTCTGCGAACGCGAGGCAGTTGGCCACGTGGCGCAGCCACCGGCTGGAGTCCAGCATCGAGTAGTATTGGGAGTCCTGCAGCTGTGAAACGAATTAATACGTCACAGTACGGCACAGTATATATAAGCTTTGGGGTCGGCACTTGTGAATCGCGTGGTTAATGGTATTGGCTTGGCTTTTCCGCCAGGCCGCCTGCCAGTCGTCACACCCAGTGCGGAACAAACACTTAGATACGGAACAACTGTCTATGATCACACGAATACTTGCCCTGTGGGGGAAGCGAACACTCATCCCCTTACCCTAGCCCATAGCTTAGTCGCATACATATATACAGTCGAATATATGGCAGTTTAAAAGCTGACCCTTAAGTTATATCATATCGCTTTTGTTAAAAAACAGTTTTCGGGCATTGCACCAGTTGGTCCTTCGGGCCGGATAAGGCGCACCCACCCAGAAGTTGGCGAGCGTGGTGGGCGTGCAGAGGTCGGCTAGCTTCCGGTGTGAGGCCAGCAGCGCCGGGAGGGGGGGCAGCACGGACCCCGCCCCACCCCCTCCCCCGCCGCCGCCACCGCCACCTCCGCCCCCGCACAGGTGGATCACGTGCGGCGGCGTCAGCTTCGGGTGGGAACGGCGCACCTGCGACATAACGCTAATTAGTAAATAATACTTATACATTTGTAACTAAGCGCTGTGGATTTTGTTTCGAAATAGATAATAAAAGGTAAATTAAACGCAATTACACTTTGAACAGAACGGAATTTGAATATTATATATTAAATGAAATTTGAATATTGAAGTACGCCGTATCCCCGCACCGACCTGCTCGAGCAGCACGCTCTCCGCGGTGGCCGCCTGCTCGGTGGGCATCAGCTCGCCGCAGCGCAGCAGCGCGGCGCCCCCCCGCCGCCCCCACACCCACACGGGCACCCTGCCGGCGCGGAAGTGCCTCGCGGCCTCCATCAGCCCGTAGTCGAGCACGGAGCTCGGCACCACGAGCGTCTCGCCGGCGCTCAGCATGAAGGCGTCGGACGTGCCGTTGACGCAGGTGATGCGCCAGTGGGGGCAGCCGCAGCGCTCCAGCTCCCGCCGCCAGTCGGCCGGCCGCTGGAACATGTTCAGCTCCGACGGCAGCGAGGGGTAGTACGGCTCGCGGCACTCGAAGGCGAACAGCAGGTCGTGCCGCTTGGGGAACGCGTGGTGCGCCAGCGCCATGGCGGCCCTGCGCCCGCTCCCGATCGGCGAGTTGGCGAAGCTGAACGTCATCACCTTCATGTTCTGCCGGGCCGGCGGAGGGGGGGAGACAGTCAGAGACGATAGAGAGGGAGTCAGACGATTCATATTCACGCGATTCTACATCGCTAACGGTCGGTCCCGATAATCAATCTACAGATAGATTTGTTTACTGGAGATGGAATTTTTACGTAAGTATTAAATAACTAATGTAAAGGAACGTTTGAGTGTTAGATGCTATTAATTATAGTATTAGTGATTATTTGAATGATAACACACTCTGGAAATGAATTGATCGCTCCAGAAGCTTTCAAGTGGAATTTAATAATTATATTGTACACTTTTGTTATTTTCTTTTGTCAAATTACGTTAAAAATATATCCCGCTGAGTTTCTTTCGCCGGTTCTTCTCAGGTCATTGGCTTTTTATTCCGAAGCGGTAGTAGCGATTTTTGAAAATCAATAAGTATGAATAAAGGTATTTGAATTTCAATGTCAAATAAATATCGCTAGTAACCAAATCTTATCTGTAGATAGAATATTGAAACCGCCGTAAATGAAAGCAATTTTAAGGACTCTTTAATTTTCCGACTTTTCGAACCCTCTCCAGTGTTCATCGTCATATTCAGTCTTTTCACACGCTGAAAAGGGTTCGACGCCTTGGGAAATACAATTGAAAAATCCGTCTATATATATATATATATATAAGTGACGGACGAACGTCCGAATTGATTCATTCATTCCTCATTTTTGAAGTCGGTTAAAAATGATCGCGATAAATCCGTAAAAATAGTTTCATTTAGTGACGTGTAATAGTGTACTTATATTACTCTGTGCAAAAAAGGAGTGTTTTTTAAACTTAATCAGCATTACAATGTTATTTACATTTTGATAATATATTATGTGACCATCGAGTGAGTTTACAATAATAAGCTGTCGAATTAAGAGATAAGAATAAATTAATGCACGCATCGTAACAGTTTAAGCAGTACTTGTAAGTAAGATAAAAATATGTCTATGTTTTTTATACCAAGCATCCGTTTTGCGATCGTGCTACTTTTCTAAATAAAACATTACGGGCACGCTTTTAAGTAAAATTATAAGGTCTGTCCAAATTAGTCCTACTGCAAGTTACACAATAATACGTACAAGCTTTTGAATTTAACGAAAAGATATATTTTTTTATGGTGGGAAGGTGGCGAGAGAGCTGGCAGATCACCTGTTGTTAAGTGAATACCGCCGCCCATGGACATTTGCAACGCCCAGATGCGTATGCGTTGCCACCATTTGATTAATTGGGCTCCGGTTACGTCACTAGAAGTAATGCAGAAGTATAACACCTCCACTACACGCCGCTTTGTGAGGTCGCGGTACTTCCCCGGACGGAGCTGCCCATTCGTGCAACAGCTAAGACTGTCGCGTGGCCCTACTACTATCGATGCTTGTCGCTAAATTACTGTTTGATAATTGTCGAACATAAGAATCCGTGTAAAAGAGTTCATTCCGGATGAAAAGGACAGTATCGAGGGTGTGACGTCATGGGACTACCAATCTAGGTCTACTCGCGTACCTTGCATATGACCTGCAGACCCTTCACCTTGCCGGGCATGTCAGCGTATGGCAGTAGGCGCCGCCTCCTCTGCGGCCCCCCATCCGTGAGCCACAAAGCCCCCACCCCCGTCAGGGGCACGTCGAATGTGCCGAGCAGGTGGTTCCTCTGACCGTACTCCTGGAAGGGGTGAACAGCCCCGTGCTAATTATTCACCAAGTGCGCAAGTACATGGTGGTTGATGCTTTCTATGATAGAATTTTTTGGTACATTGATGGGATTTGATGAAAGACGCGTGTGTGATGAACCATAATAAACAAATTCTTACAATACATCAATAATCTACAATATATTGTTATTGATTATTTAATTGAAATTACAATTTTCTTAAAACCCGAATGTTTTTGGAGTCGATTTTTTGTATGACATGTCTATTTAGAAAGGTAAAATTATTTAAACGCCAAAAACTTATTTGGCGGCTAAGTAATTTTGCCTTTCCAGTGACGATGATAAATTTATATGAGAGCTATTCAAAGGTATTTCTAATATTTAAAGTGTAAACTCTATAATAATATATACGGCATACGAAGACAGGAATTGTTTTGGGGGAAAGAAAATCCTATAATACGTACTTATTGTACCCGACAAGGAGGGAAACGTAAGTTTGGTTTCATTCCAAAGTTTCAAATGACGTGTGCTGACCTGATGTCGTTGTTGACCGGGGCTACCGTCAGACTATTTGGAAATATTACAAAGTCGAATCAGATCGAAACTGTACGCGGCGTCGATGATTACGTCCAGTGGCGGATTTGCCCTAAGGCCCAATAGGCCCGACCCTAGGGCGGCCACATATTAGGTGCGGCCAATTGTGACAAAAAATTCACTCAAAGGGGCGGCTGGCACTTACTACATGGGCTGGGGGCTAGGACGGCCAAGACTACAAATCCGCCACTGTGTACGTCGGCCACAGTCCGGTCGAGCGGAACGGGACTTACGTCGTACTGTGACGTCTCCAACGGCACGAAGGACAGCTTGTAATTGGTCACGAAGAGGGAGCCAAAGCGTCCGCTGTCTCGCTCGCTCAGCGGCGTAAGCAGCACCACGCTGTGCGCCGCTCCCACCACCAGCTCGCCTGTGAAGAAAAGCATGCATTTCGTTTCTCAAGCGTGTTTCTTTTCTGCAACGCCATTTACTTTGATGCTCTAGCTAAATTAATTCTTCAAATATCATTTTAATGCTTATGTTATTTGGTCTTGACGAAGACTGAAAGGTTATAAAAAAATCGTTTGAAAGTTCCTCTAAAGAATCTATTAGCATACATTCTATCTATTGACAGTTGGTTCAGATGAAAGACGGTGAGGTGGGTTAATATGATGTTTCGTGCCTTAACGGCTGATCGGTTTCGGATTAAATTTCGACAGGATCCGTCGCGGCGAACACCCCTTTAAAAGTAATAGGCTAAACTTTTCTTCTATAAGTAATGCACGATACCAGTTCTTGTGTCTAAACCCAACGGCCTAAGGTCACCCTTCTTTGTATGACCTACCGATTTAGCGAAAATTTGCATTTTGCAGCATTGCAGCGCTGATTTTTAACCACTAACAAAGGTTAGGTTATATACATTTTTTAGGTATTTCAGTAAAAATACCAAAACACCGAACAAAGAAAAATTAAAAAATAATTTAACATTAATAGATAATAATTAAATATGAAAATGGAAAATTAAAAAAAATCTGAAATGATCAACCAATTTGAGATAAGAGCGTAAACTACATATTATATTAAGAGCATGCGCTTTATACTATTAGAGGCATTACACTTATTTATTGATTGTCAAACCACTACCACCGGTTCGGAAAAGAAAACCCACCGACCTGAGAAGAACCGGCGAAAGAAACTAAGCGAGAGATTTATTTTTTCATGATACCATGCGGAGCGAACTTTAAAAACAGTTTGTAACACAACATCGGGAAAGACATTACCCTGCATCAGCGAGCAACTCGACCACTTCAGGGAAATCGAACACATTGTTAATAACACAACCGAATGCTTTGAACTTTACGATTAACACTAACAAAACGGGAGCGTCAACAAATGATTCATTCACGATGTAATCGAATGATTTAAATGGAACCTATACATGGTTAAATTTAGGACTGCGTGTGACTAATTTTCGTTATCGCCGTACACATTATTTGTAAAATAATTCGCAGGCGTATGCTTATTAGATAAGTTGTTTTTAATGAAAATATATTCATTCTAAAAAAATCTATAGTTTTTATTAATGAAATTATACAGTAATAGACAAACATTTAGTGCGGGATAATGTTATCGTGCATTATATGGACTTTTCGCTTGGACGAACATTCAGATCTGTAGTAAAGTAAAGTAACAGCCTATACATGTCCCACTGCTGGGCAAAGGCCTCCTCTATACAGAGGGTATCGGGGCATAGTCCACAACGCGGTCCCACTGCGGATTGGCGGACTTCATATATCTTCGAAAAACATTTTTTTTGTTATAATTTCGAAAATATGCAGGTTTCGTCGCGATTTTTTCCTTCACCGCGGAGCACGTGATAAGTCAGCACTTAAAGTTTAAAACTTCATTGGTGCCGGCACCGGGGATCGAACTCAGGTTGCTCGAGTATATTGAATTAAAGTCGAGCGCCCGGACACTGAACTATCACGGCTTTTTATCAGATCTGTAGATCACCTAAATATTTGTCTCGCGTGAGAATCGACCCAGGGCGCCGAAGGCATTAGCTTAGCGTCTGATTGGATCACGTCGTGTGTCTTTGCCCATACAATATTTATTTAATTTATTTGGTTCACCTTTCAAATGATACATTTCTAAATATGTACTATTGCCTAATTTTAAAAACGCTAATATTACCATATTATTGTTTAATCTACATTTTAGCAACGGTCAAAGAACCGTGAAATAGATTAAAGTTTAATCATATGTCATTAGACGATGACATCATTCGACTGAGAGGTGAATCCCGCCCGATATTTGTGCGATAAAAAAGTAAGGAAAGGTAAAAGGTAAAGAAAGGCATTTTCTATTACATAAACCCACTGTAGATATTATTGATCATTCTGATCTTTTTGGCAACTCAAATAACATTTGAAAAGCCATTTGACAGCTGATTAGTTAATTTCTACGGTGATCAGTATTTCAGAAACCGGGCGTTACTGTTTGAAAGTGTGTCGATTTAAAAAGAGTTAAGTCTAGATTTGTAGGCGGTACGTAATTAGTATAATTATATTGGTGGCATAAGAGGTTGATTGTACGAGAAGCATTTTGAATTGTCTCTAATCGGTCATAATGAACCTTGTACCTTGGATTCCAAACTGGGACACGGAATTCAAGAATAATTGTTAATACAGAATTTTTTACTGGAACGAACACAGTTGGATCTTTCAATGGCTTCAGTTGACTAAAAATAACCATTTTTTAAATCGAAAAACAAAACCGATCTCAAATATCTCGCTCTGTATTCATTTCATAATTGATTTTCAGGAGTTCCGTAAGTAATCACCGGAGCCCAAGGTCCAATACCAACGATACTACCAACCGATACCAAGGTCCAATACCAACGACAATACCAACAAGGTCCAATACTACGCCACTGTTTCGTCTACAAAAAGTAAATAAGTCGTTCATGGGGCAAAGTGTGCGCATGTATAATAAAATCCCACAGTCGATATTAAGTCTGCCGCTTGACCAATTTAAATGTAAAATTAAAAATCAACTGATGATTAAAGCATATTATACCATTTCGGAATATCTCGACGACGCCAATGTGTGGAGTTAATACTGTTGATACTCACGTAGGCTAGAATAAGACTATTATACCTGTATATTATATTGTACCCTGATATTTTTGAAAAAGAGCAACTGTTGAGTTTCTTGCCGGTCTCTTCTCAACAGAAACCGCTTTCCGAACCGGTGGTACCTTACGAACCTATACACATAATCTTTGATGTAAAATTTGACGATTCATAAGAGCGCGCAAGCGTCTATTTGAATAAATATATTTTTGATTTTGATTTTTGATTTTGATTAATATGTAACCACATGGGAAGCACCAGCTTTCAAATAAAAACGATCATCAAAATAGTTTCTCTCAGTCGAAAGTTCCGAGGTGACAAACAAAAAAAATACAGTTGAATTGAGAACCTCCTCCTTTTGAAGTAGGTTAAAAATAGGCTACAAGATGAGATACTGTTTCAATAATTGAATCAAAATGTTTGCTGAAGTGTTGATACATATTTACCAACTGGTACTCTAACGGTGGTAGAGCCACGCAGCAGCCTCGGCCGTTGCACGAATGGGCAGGCTCGTCCGGGTAAGTACCACGACCTCACAGAAGACCGGCGTAAAGTGGAAGTATGACAAATACTTTCGCGTTTCGTCTGGTGAGTGAGGTAGCCGGAGCCCAATTTCTAAAAAGGTTGTCAACGCATCTGCAAACCCTCGTTGTAGCAGATGTCTATGGGCGGCGGTATTCACTTAACATCAGGTGAACCGTCTGCTCGTTTGGCAACTTTTCACATTAAAAAAAAAAAAAAAAAAAAAACTGTCTCGCATAGGTCTCTTATAGAAGTCAATCTGGTAAAAAGAAAAACTTTCAGATTGGAGAACCATTGAAGCAGGCTGCCTCTTCTTAGTTGACGTTCTAAAATTTCTATGTTTACACTAGGCACGTTGAATTGCTCTATGGCGTGGTTGTTAAGGCATTGGCTTCGGCGTCGGGGGTCGTAGGTTCGATTCCCATACGAGACAACTAATTTTGTTACCTACAGATAATTGTTTTTATCCGGGTGTTTGTCCACTTGAAATTTAAGTGTGTAAAACGCCCTTTTACAACACAAGATAATGTTATCCTACGGCGAGGCGATGTTTTTGAGGGGAAGATTGCAATACTTATGTGTCGACACAAAATACAAAAAATTAAAAATTAAATTAAATTACATGTGTAGCAGACCCCATGCTCGCAATAAGAAACTTTTTCATGTATCCACGACTAAAACTAAATATGCTTCTAATACTTTTATTAACCGTGTTTGTCAAAGTTTTATCAATAATTTTATTCATATAGATATATATTTCATTTAAGTAGTTTTAGATCAAATGTTCTTCAGGGCTTTTGTAATAATAAGTTTTATTGTAATGTATTCATTTAAGTAAAACAAGTTCTACCGTGTTGTCTGTTATATGAATTTACTTTTGGTGGAAACTTTACTGGCTTAGAGATTTACACTGTATTTTGTTTTATTTGTAAGTTTATTATATAGCCGTTTGTTTTCCTTGAAAAAAAAAATAAATAAATAAATACGCTTATGAAAGCGCGGTGTGCAAATATTACAAAAATTGTTAATAAAATGTCTATACTATAATGTACTAACTGCGGGGGTTAGAAAAGCGTCTAATACTTTTAAAAACAAATCTATCTATGCTAAACATTAACATGTGCTCTATGTTGCGTTCTAAAAAAATTGTTCCATGAAATCATTTCTATATTTGGATTTTTATCAAGCCGCGATTCACACCAATCGGAACGCACATAGCGCCTATCAATCATGCACTTTTGAATCCGACAAATGTTACGATAAACCAATAGAAACGTTTGTTTGTTATATATTTTGGTATTTCATATACACGGTAAAACTAAGTTTATTTTTGTATCGATTTAATGTATTTTTTGGGAATTATACAAATAAATAAATAGAAAAAATAGTTAATTTCTTTACTTTTATAAAAATCTGGCGAGTACTTTTATAGATGCAGTCGAAAACGGTACTTCGCTTCTAGGCCACTTTACATTCGAATCGAACTACATTAAATAAAAGATTGACTTGAGTAATTTATATTAAAGGTTATGAATGAAACTTTAAATAATCTTATCTTCAAAAAAGACGGCTCCCGTATCTTCCGTATCCCGTAACCCCGCAAAAACGTTCGAATGTTCGTCCATGCGGCAACACTGTCAGCTGTCGCGGCGTTAAGTGAATGCCGAGTCGTCCCGTTATGTGTGAATCGTTCTTTAGTTCGAACTTTACACACACGATCATATATCACAACGGACAGTCCTAAGTTGTGATAATTTTACGGGATGAAAAAGAC